TGTGAGACTTACACCTGGCACTAAGGACCTAATGTGAGACTTACACCTGGCACTAACGACCTAATGTGAGACTTACACCTGGCACTAAGGACCTAATGTGAGACTTACACCTGGCACTAAGGACCTAATGTGAGACTTACACCTGGCACTAAGGACCTAATGTGAGACTTACACCTGGCACTAACGACCTAATGTGAGACTTACACCTGGCACTAAGGACCTAATGTGAGACTTACACCTGGCACTAAGGACCTAATGTGAGACTTACACCTGGCACTAAGGACCTAACATAAGACTTACACCTGGCACTAAGGACCTAACATAAGACTTACACCTGGCACTAAGGACCTAATGTGAGACACCTGGCACTAAGGACCTAATGTGAGACTTACACCTGGCACTAACGACCTAATGTGAGACTTACACCTGGCACTAAGGACCTAACATAAGACTTACACCTGGCACTAAGGACCTAACATAAGACTTACACCTGGCACTAAGGACCTAATGTGAGACTTACACCTGGCACTAAGGACCTAACATAAGACTTACACCTGGCACTAAGGACCTAATGTGAGACTTACACCTGGCACTAAGGACCTAATGTGAGACTTACACCTGGCACTAAGGACCTAATGTGAGACTTACACCTGGCACTAAGGACCTAATGTGAGACTTACACCTGGCACTAAGGACCTAATGTGAGACTTACACCTGGCACTAACGACCTAACATAAGACTTACACCTGGCACTAAGGACCTAATGTGAGACTTACACCTAGCACTAAGGACCTAATGTGAGGCTTACACCTGGCACTAACGACCTAACATAAGACTTACACCTGGCACTAAGGACCTAATGTGAGACTTACACCTGGCACTAACGACCTAACATAAGACTTACACCTGGCACTAAGGACCTAATGTGAGACTTACACCTGGCACTAAGGACCTAATGTGAGACTTACACCTAGCACTAACGACCTAATGTGAGACTTACACCTGGCACTAAGGACCTAACATAAGACTTACACCTGGCACTAACGACCTAACATAAGACTTACACCTGGCACTAAGGACCTAATGTGAGAGTTACACCTGGCACTAAGGACCTAATGAGAGACTTACACCTGACCTTAAGGACCTAATGTGAGACTTACACCTGGCACTAAGGACCTAACATAAGACTTACACCTGGCACTAACGACCTAATGTGAGACTTACACCTGGCACTAACGACCTAATGTGAGACTTACACCTGGCACTAAGGACCTAACATAAGACTTACACCTGGCACTAAGGACCTAATGAGAGACTTACACCTGGCACTAACGACCTAACATAAGACTTACACCTGGCACTAACAACCTAATGTGAGACTTACACCTGGCACTAACGACCTAACATAAGACTTACACCTGGCACTAAGGACCTAATGTGAGACTTACACCTGGCACTAAGGACCTAATGTGAGACTTACACCTGGCACTAACGACCTAATGTGAGACTTACACCTGGCACTAAGGACCTAACATAAGACTTACACCTGGCACTAACGACCTAATGTGAGACTTACACCTGGCACTAACGACCTAACATAAGACTTACACCTGGCACTAAGGACCTAATGTGAGACTTACACCTGGCACTAACGACCTAATGTGAGACTTACACCTGGCACTAAGGACCTAATGTGAGACTTACACCTGGCACTAAGGACCTAATGTGAGACTTACACCTGGCACTAACGACCTAACATAAGACTTACACCTGGCACTAACGACCTAATGTGAGACTTACACCTGGCACTAACGACCTAACATAAGACTTACACCTGGCACTAAGGACCTAATGTGAGACTTACACCTGGCACTAACGACCTAATGTGAGACTTACACCTGGCACTAAGGACCTAATGTGAGACTTACACCTGGCACTAACGACCTAATGTGAGACTTACACCTGGCACTAAGGACCTAATGTGAGACTTACACCTGGCACTAAGGACCTAATGTGAGACTTACACCTGGCACTAAGGACCTAACATAAGACTTACACCTGGCACTAAGGACCTAATGTGAGACTTACACCTGGCACTAAGGACCTAATGTGAGACTTACACCTGGCACTAAGGACCTAATGTGAGACTTACACCTGGCACTAAGGACCTAATGTGAGACTTACACCTGGCACTAACGACCTAATGTGAGACTTACACCTGGCACTAACGACCTAATGTGAGACTTACACCTGGCACTAAGGACCTAATGTGAGACTTACACCTGGCACTAACGACCTAATGTGAGACTTACACCTGGCACTAAGGACCTAATGTGAGACTTACACCTGGCACTAAGGACCTAATGTGAGACTTACACCTGGCACTAAGGACCTAATGTGAGACTTACACCTGGCACTAAGGACCTAATGTGAGACTTACACCTGGCACTAACGACCTAATGTGAGACTTACACCTGGCACTAAGGACCTAATGTGAGACTTACACCTGGCACTAAGGACCTAATGTGAGACTTACACCTGGCACTAAGGACCTAATGTGAGACTTACACCTGGCACTAACGACCTAACATAAGACTTACACCTGGCACTAAGGACCTAACATAAGACTTACACCTGGCACTAAGGACCTAATGTGAGACTTACACCTGGCACTAACGACCTAATGTGAGACTTACACCTGGCACTAAGGACCTAATGTGAGACTTACACCTGGCACTAACGACCTAATGTGAGACTTACACCTGGCACTAACGACCTAATGTGAGACTTACACCTGGCACTAACGACCTAACATAAGACTTACACCTGGCACTAAGGACCTAATGTGAGACTTACACCTGGCACTAAGGACCTAATGTGAGACTTACACCTGGCACTAACGACCTAATGTGAGACTTACACCTGGCACTAAGGACCTAATGTGAGACTTACACCTGGCACTAACGACCTAACATAAGACTTACACCTGGCACTAAGGACCTAATGTGAGACTTACACCTGGCACTAACGACCTAATGTGAGACTTACACCTGGCACTAACGACCTAATGTGAGACTTACACCTAGCACTAACGACCTAATGTGAGACTTACACCTGGCACTAACGACCTAACATAAGACTTACACCTGGCACTAAGGACCTAATGTGAGACTTACACCTGGCACTAACGACCTAATGTGAGACTTACACCTGGCACTAACGACCTAATGTGAGACTTACACCTGGCACTAAGGACCTAATGTGAGACTTACACCTAGCACTAACGACCTAATGTGAGACTTACACCTGGCACTAACGACCTAACATAAGACTTACACCTGGCACTAAGGACCTAATGTGAGACTTACACCTGGCACTAAGGACCTAATGTGAGACTTACACCTAGCACTAACGACCTAACATAAGACTTACACCTGGCACTAAGGACCTAATGTGAGACTTACACCTGGCACTAAGGACCTAATGTGAGACTTACACCTGGCACTAAGGACCTAATGTGAGACTTACACCTGGCACTAAGGACCTAATGTGAGACTTACACCTGGCACTAACGACCTAACATAAGACTTACACCTGGCACTAAGGACCTAATGTGAGACTTACACCTGGCACTAACGACCTAACATAAGACTTACACCTGGCACTAACGACCTAATGTGAGACTTACACCTGGCACTAACGACCTAATGTGAGACTTACACCTGGCACTAAGGACCTAATGTGAGACTTACACCTGGCACTAACGACCTAATGTGAGACTTACACCTGGCACTAACGACCTAACATAAGACTTACACCTGGCACTAAGGACCTAATGTGAGACTTACACCTGGCACTAAGGACCTAATGTGAGACTTACACCTGGCACTAACGACCTAATGTGAGACTTACACCTGGCACTAACGACCTAACATAAGACTTACACCTGGCACTAAGGACCTAATGTGAGACTTACACCTGGCACTAAGGACCTAATGTGAGACTTACACCTGGCACTAAGGACCTAACATAAGACTTACACCTGGCACTAAGGACCTAATGTGAGACTTACACCTGGCACTAAGGACCTAATGTGAGACTTACACCTGGCACTAACGACCTAATGTGAGACTAACACCTGGCACTAAGGACCTAATGTGAGACTTACACCTGGCACTAAGGACCTAATGTGAGACTTACACCTGGCACTAAGGACCTAATGTGAGACTTACACCTGGCACTAAGGACCTAACATAAGACTTACACCTGGCACTAACGACCTAATGTGAGACTTACACCTGGCACTAAGGACCTAATGTGAGACTTACACCTGGCACTAAGGACCTAATGTGAGACTTACACCTGGCACTAACGACCTAACATAATACTTACACCTGGCACTAAGGACCTAATGTGAGACTTACACCTGGCACTAACGACCTAATGTGAGACTTACACCTGGCACTAAGGACCTAATGTGAGACTTACACCTGGCACTAAGGACCTAATGTGAGACTTACACCTGGCACTAAGGACCTAATGTGAGACTTACACCTGGCACTAAGGACCTAATGTGAGACTTACACCTGGCACTAAGGACCTAATGTGAGACTTACACCTGGCACTAACGACCTAATGTGAGACTTACACCTGGCACTAACGACCTAATGTGAGACTTACACCTGGCACTAAGGACCTAATGTGAGACTTACACCTGGCACTAAGGACCTAATGTGAGACTTACACCTGGCACTAACGACCTAATGTGAGACTTACACCTGGCACTAACGACCTAATGTGAGACTTACACCTGGCACTAAGGACCTAATGTGAGACTTACACCTGGCACTAACGACCTAACATAAGACTTACACCTGGCACTAAGGACCTAATGTGAGACTTACACCTGGCACTTAGGACCTAATGTGAGACTTACACCTGGCACTAAGGACCTAATGTGAGACTTACACCTGGCACTAACGACCTAATGTGAGACTTACACCTGGCATCAATGACCTCCTCAACACTCCATACAGATGTTGTATCCCTCAGGTTAGGTTGACATGTTGCTTCCAGCTGCTCCCAACCCCTGGGATTACAGACAGGAATTATGGGACACAATACCACACTATCCAACCACACCATCCAGCCACACTACCACACCATCCAGCCACCACCACACCATCCAGCCACCAAACCACACCATCCAGCCAAACCATCCAGCCACACCAAACCATGCAGCCACACCAAACCACCCAGCCACCAAACCACACCATCCAGCCACACTACCACACCATCCAGCAACACCACCACACCATCCAGCCACCAAACCAAACCACACCATCCAGCCAAACCATCCAGCCACACCAAACCATGCAGCCACACCAAACCACCCAGCCACCAAACCACACCATCCAGCCACACTACCACACCATCCAGCAACACCACCACACCATCCAGCCACCAAACCAAACCACACCATCCAGCCAAACCATCCAGCCACACCAAACCATGCAGCCACACCAAACCACCCAGCCACCAAACCACACCATCCAGCAACACCACCACACCACCCAGCCACACCAAACCACCCAGCCACCAAACCACACCATCCAGCAACACCACCACACCACCCAGCCACACCAAACCACCCAGCCACACCAAATCACCCAGCCACACCAAACCACACCACCCAGCCACACCAAACCACACCATTCAACCAAACCACCCAGCCACACCAAACCACCCAGCCACACTACCACACCACCCAGCCACACCAAACCACCCAGCCACACCAAACCACCCAGCCACACCACACCACCACACCACCCAGCCACACCACACCACCCAGCCACACCAAACCACCCAGCCACACCACACCACCCAGCCACACTACCACACCATCTAACCACCCAGCCACACCACACCACCCAGCCACACCAAACCACGCAGCCACACCAAACCACACAGCAACACCACACCACCCAGCCACACCAAACCACGCAGCCACACCAAACCACCCAGCCACACCACCAAACCACACAGCAACACCACACCACCCAGCCACACCAAACCACCCAACCACACCAAACCACCCAGCCACACCAAACCACCCAGCCACACCAAACCACCCAGCCACACCACCAAACCACACAGCAACACCACACCACCCAGCCACACCAAACCACCCAGCCACACCAAACCACCCAGCCACACCACCAAACCACACAGCAACACCACACCACCCAGCCACACCAAACCACCCAGCCACACCAAACCACCCAGCCACACCAAACCACCCAACCACACTGTGTACTGACCATTTAGGAAGTTTTTTGTCATGGGAGTGCAGTAAACATTTGACATGGTAGTGGATGAACTTGATCTTTGACCTCACCGTTTGAATTCTCTCCCCTGGACTGGACCCTTCAACCTCCAGCAACCAAATATCATTAGCATCACCAGTTCCATTCTAGCCAATAGAAAAAATATGGCCCTTAAACATGAAGATTGAACACCACCCTCCCCCACACAAATAAAATCTGACACCCCCATGACCCTAGAAACCAGATGAGAGGACCAAACTTACCTGCCCATACCCAGACACCTGGTAGTACCAGATGAGGGGACCAAACTTACCTGCCCATACCCAGACACCTGGTAGTACCAGATGAGAGGACCAAACTTACCTGCCCATACCCAGACACCTGGTAGTACCAGATGAGAGGACCAAACTTACCTGCCCATACCCAGACACCTGGTAGTACCAGATGAGAGGACCAAACTTACCTGCCCATACCCAGACACCTGGTAGTACCAGATGAGAGGACCAAACTTACCTGCCCATACCCAGACACCTGGTAGTGCCAGATGAGAGGACCAAACTTACCTGCCCATACCCAGACACCTGGTAGTGCCAGATGAGGTGACCAAACTTACCTGCCCATACCCAGACACCTGGTAGTACCAGATGAGAGGACCAAACTTACCTGCCCATACCCAGACACCTGGTAGTACCAGATGAGAGGACCAAACTTACCTGCCCATACCCAGACACCTGGTAGTGCCAGATGAGAGGACCAAACTTACCTGCCCATACCCAGACACCTGGTAGTGCCAGATGAGGTGACCAAACTTACCTGCCCATACCCAGACACCTGGTAGTGATGTTTGCTGAGTGGTGCTGGCTCCCTGTGGCTGTGTAAGTTACGTCGGGTTCTAGAAATACATTAAGTCTAGTATAAATAGACTGCCTGCAGTATTTTATATCAGAAAGCTGTCTCATGTCTATATATATATATATATATATATATATATATATATATATATATATATATATATATATATATATATATATATATATATATATATATATATATATATATATATATATATATATATATATATATATATATATATGTGGTTTGGGTGGGCAATGCCAGGTTTATGATGATTACTAAACACACAGGTAATGGTCTTTAACAGAAAGGTTTTTCACAGAAGCCAGAGCAGGGCCTGGCCGGGACGGCTAGTAGATATATATATATATATATATATATATATATAAAATGGAAATATGTGGGTTTTTGTATCCTTTATGCATGACTATGCCTTTCATCCAATCACAATGAAACTTTGGGGAGTTGATGACAATACTACCAGGGAGGTTTCTTGCAAAAAAAAATATTCAATTTTGGCCCCTGATGGCCACAAAATATTGAATACTAAGAGGAATCAACCAAGCTTAGATTATTTTGGAAAACATATCAACTTGGTTGTTTCCTTTTGTTCATAAAAATTCTATAACAAAACCTGGGATGGGCCTAACATTCTAAAAATAATCTATATATATAATTCTCTTCTGGGAGCCGTTAGAAAACAAGCTGCAAGCGCCTCCTTGCAGTCCGCCCTCTCTCTCTCTCTCTATTACTATCACTACCACCCCCACCCCACCCCCACATTGTCTGGTGAGCAGTGTTCACTCTAAATGTTTACAAAGCTAAATGTTTACAAATCATAGAGCCGTAGAGCAGGGTTTCTATTAGGGGCAGATAATTTAGTTCGATTTTAAACTTACAGGAGGTAACTAAGAAATAACTAAGAGGAGGCTGCTTTCACGGGGGGGGGGGTTTAGTGTTTTAAAGCAAATATTTTCAGTGGCAGCATTGGTACTGTCGAATTCACAAATTATGAATTACTGAAAAGTAAAAAATAAAACAACTAAATAGCGGCTTATGATACGCTGCGGGTCGGCTCGTGATTTGTAATACCTTAAGTATAAATCGTCACAAAAGCTACATTTCTAAAAATAGCAATTGGTAATCAAACTATGCATATAAAATGAAAGTATGTTTGGGAAGTTCTATATAAAACTTGAGCAGCATGTTGTAAAAAAGACACATGGCACATGTCTATGCAACTTACGCAACATGTTCCAGACGAACCAAGTCCCCAGTGTGAATGTAGAGCAGCTCTTGGGGTGGGTCCCTGTCTGCTGGCTTTATCCTCCATTTGTTGTTCTCATCTTTGTGGCTGTACGTGGTCACCTGGTACAGCAAGCATACAACATATGGTACAGCAAGCATACAACATATGGTACAGCAAGCATACAACATGTGGTACAGCAAGCATACAACATGTGGTACAGCAAGCATACAACATATGGTGCCACATGGATGCTCAACTAACAAAGTTTGGGTCAAGCTATAAAAGGTCAACAAAGTTTGGGTCAAGCTATAAAAGGTCAACAAAGTTTGGGTCAAGCTATAAAAGGTCAACAAAGTTTGGGTCAAGCTATAAAAGGTCAACAAAGTTTGGGTCAAGCTATAAAAGGTCAACAAAGTTTGGGTCAAGCTATAAAAGGTCAACAAAGTTTGGGTCAAGCTATAAAAGGTCAACAAAGTTTGGGTCAAGCTATAAAAGGTCAACTAACAAAGTTTGGGTCAAGCTATAAAAGGTCAACTAACAAAGTTTGGGTCAAGCTATAAAAGGTCAACAAAGTTTGGGTCAAGCTATAAAAGGTCAACAAAGTTTGGGTCAAGCTATAAAAGGTCAACAAAGTTTGGGTCAAGCTATAAAAGGTCAACAAAGTTTGGGTCAAGCTATAAAAGGTCAACAAAGTTTGGGTCAAGCTATAAAAGGTCAACTAACAAAGTTTGGGTCAAGCTATAAAAGGTCAACAAAGTTTGGGTCAAGCTATAAAAGGTCAACTAACAAAGTTTGGGTCAAGCTATAAAAGGTCAACAAAGTTTGGGTCAAGCTATAAAAGGTCAACAAAGTTTGGGTCAAGCTATAAAAGGTCAACTAACAAAGTTTGGGTCAAGCTATAAAAGGTCAACTAACAAAGTTTGGGTCAAGCTATAAAAGGTCAACAAAGTTTGGGTCAAGCTATAAAAGGTCAACAAAGTTTGGGACAAGCTATAAAAGGTCAACAAAGTTTGGGTCAAGCTATAAAAGGTCAACAAAGTTTGGGTCAAGATATAAAAGGTCAAAAAAGTTTGGGACAAGCTATAAAAGGTCAACAAAGTTTGGGTCAAGCTATAAAAGGTCAACTAACAAAGTTTGGGTCAAGCTATAAAAGGTCAACAAAGTTTGGGTCAAGCTATAAAAGGTCAACAAAGTTTGGGTCAAGCTATAAAAGGTCAACAAAGTTTGGGACAAGCTATAAAAGGTCAACAAAGTTTGGGTCAAGCTGTAAAAGGTCAACAAAGTTTGGGTCAAGCTATAAAAGGTCAACAAAGTTTGGGACAAGCTATAAAAGGTCAACAAAGTTTGGGACAAGCTATAAAAGGTCAACAAAGTTTGGGACAAGCTATAAAAGGTCAACAAAGTTTGGGTCAAGCTATAAAAGGTCAACTAACAAAGTTTGGGTCAAGCTATAAAAGGTCAACAAAGTTTGGGTCAAGCTATAAAAGGTCAACAAAGTTTGGGTCAAGCTATAAAAGGTCAACTAACAAAGTTTGGGTCAAGCTATAAAAGGTCAACAAAGTTTGGGTCAAGCTATAAAAGGTCAACTAACAAAGTTTGGGTCAAGCTATAAAAGGTCAACAAAGTTTGGGTCAAGCTATAAAAGGTCAACAAAGTTTGGGTCAAGCTATAAAAGGTCAACAAAGTTTGGGTCAAGCTATAAAAGGTCAACTAACAAAGTTTGGGTCAAGCTATAAAAGGTCAACAAGTTTGGGTCAAGCTATAAAAGGTCAACAAAGTTTGGGTCAAGCTATAAAAGGTCAACAAAGTTTGGGTCAAGCTATAAAAGGTCAACAAAGTTTGGGTCAAGCTATAAAAGGTCAACAAAGTTTGGGTCAAGCTATAAAAGGTCAACTAACAAAGTTTGGGTCAAGCTATAAAAGGTCAACAAAGTTTGGGTCAAGCTATAAAAGGTCAACAAAGTTTGGGTCAAGCTATAAAAGATGCACCTGTTGCTGCTTAGGTGGGTGCTCCTCTGGGTACAGGTGAGGGTGGGAGTGCAGGTAAGCCCCACCTGTCCGTCTCTGTTTTAAGGTGATCTCACTGCCATAGGCCACATCTGGGGACACAAGACAAGAATCTATCACACAAGTCAGGTAAGCTGTCACTGACATGCTGACACTGACATGCTGACACTGTGACATGCTGACACTGACTTACACTGTGACATGCTGACACTGACATGCTGACACTGTGACATGCTGACACTGACACTGTGACATGCTGACACTGACATGCTGACACTGTGACATGCTGACACTGACACTGTGACATGCTGACACTGACATGCTGACACTGACTTACACCATGACATGCTGACACTGACATGATGACACTGACTTGCTGACACTGACACTGTGACATGCTGACACTGACTTACACTGTGACATGCTGACACTGACTTACACTGGCATGCTGACACTGACATGCTGACTTACACTGTGGCATGCTGACACTGACTTACACTGTGACTTGCTGACACTGACATGCTGACACTGACATACTGACACTGACATGCTGACACTGACATGCTGACACTGACTTACACTGGCATGCTGACACTGACTTGCTGACACTGACATGCTGACACTGACTTACACTGACATACTGACACTGACATGCTGACACTGACTTACACTGACATACTGACACTGACATGCTGACACTGACTTACACTGTGACATGCTGACACTGACATGCTGACACTGACTTACACTGACATACTGACATGCTGACACTGACTTACACTGACATACTGACACTGACTTGCTGACACTGACTTACACTGTTGCATGCTGACACTGACATGCTGACACTGACATACATGCTGACACTGACTTACACTGTGGCATGCTGACACTGACATGATGACACTGACATGCTGACACTGACTTACACTGTGGCATGCTGACATTATACAGCCTGTTTCCAATGAGCTGAGACTGAAAGCCTGAACTGAAGAACCCGTCTCCATTTCCGCTGGAGGAGAGAAATTTTAAAATTGATTTTCTGATTGTAAAGTCATATTTAAACAGCTAGAGACTAATGAAGCAGACTGACCTGTGGTCAAGCACACGGAAGTGTAGAGCAAAGAATAAACTGTAGACCACAAGAGGTAAGATGATAAGGCCAATAACTCTTGCAATGACGTGGTGACACAGAGTTACCTGCAAGCAAAAGTCCCATCAGTTCAACTTTCAGCCAAACCACTGCTAGATTCAGGACGTTGGCATTGGTTGGACTCTAGTTTTTTAGATTCAGGACGTTGGCATTGGTTGGACTCTAGTTTTTTAGATTCAGGACGTTGGAATTGGTTGGACTCTAGTTTTTTATGCTACTTACTACACACTATTCTGTAGTTTTTTATGCTACTTACCACACACTAGTCGGACTCGACGCTGTATGTAGTTAGTGATACAGAAAATATTACTTTCATATTTATCCAACCTGGTGTCTGTAATTTAATTAGCAATGGCTAATGAACTTGCTGCAGACAAGATTGAACGAACCAATCAGACGCCAGACTCACCATGCTGATGGAGAGGTCAGACAACAGGCCCCAGAGTTCTGTTGCTGTGGTGTAACCTACCAGCACAATCACAAACAGACCAACAAACTTTACCCTGCAAGATACAAACATTTGCTTGACACAAACAGACCAACAAACTTAATCTTGTAAAGCATCTATTTTATAAAATAAAAAATTGAAATACAACATTTGTAAAAGATAAAATATATATCAAACTGTAGGGCCACAACTTACCCTATAGCACAGGCTAGACAAACTCCAGTCACACACATCCATAGCCACCACAGTAGCGTGAAAGGGCTGAAAATATACAGAGCTAAAACATGGGGTTAAAATATACAGAGCTAAAACATGTGGTTAAAATATACAGAGCTAAAACATGGGTCTGAAGATATACAGAGCTAAAACATGGGGTTAAAATATACAGAGCTAAAACATGGGGTTAAAATATACAGAGCTAAAACATGGGTCTGAAGATATACAGAGCTAAAACATGGGGTTAAAATATACAGAGCTAAAACATGGGGTTAAAATATACAGAGCTAAAACATGGGGTTAAAATATACAGAGCTAAAAGTGTGTAGTCACTTACCTGGATTTATACGTCAAAAACATGAGACAAGAGTATGTGGCTGACATGATGAAGAACATAAGGATGGGGTCAAGCAGGATATGTCTGGACAAGGTCAGCGTGCCAGTATCTGGGTCAAAGGTCAGGTTTTAAAAGTCAACAAAACACAACATACAACATACAAGAGACTGGAGATTAGATAACGAATGACATACAACAGATGAGGTACAACAGATGAGGTACAACAGATGAGGTACAACAGATGAGATACAACAGATATAGCAACTAAAAGCTAACAAACGTGCTCACACAAAGCTACCTACCAAAGAGAATGAGGGCTGCAGCAAATATTGAGGCAGGGATGGAGTGAGTCAGGAGCCAGACACTTTGGTAGGACAGTGGCACCAGCAGGGCTCCCATCACAGCACAGAACTGTCAACACCACAGCATAGGCATCAACAACAGGGCACTAGGCCAAGAACATTTTAAACCCGGTAAGCCCACACTCTTATTTCTAAACCAATGTAAGCCCCCAGTGAGACCCATGTAGGCCCCCAGTGTGACCCATGTAGGCCCCCACATATGCCCACTATTGGTCCCCATACTCACCATCCTCATGCCCACATACTGTGTGTCCATGTATTGGTCCCCATACTCACCATCCTCATGCCCACATACTGTGTGTCCATGTATTGGTCCCCATACTCACCATCCTCATGCCCACATACTGTGTGTCCATGTATTGGTCCCCATACTCACCATCCTCATGCCCACATACTGTGTGTCCATGTATTGGTCCCCATACTCACCATCCTCATGCCCACATACTGTGTGTCCATGTATTGGTCCCCATACTCACCATCCTCATGCCCACATACTGTGTGCCCATGTATTGGTCCCCATACTCACCATCCTCATGCCCACATACTGTGTGTCCATGTATTGGTCCCCATACTCACCATCCTCATGCCCACATACTGTGTGTCCATGTATTGGTCCCCATACTCACCATCCTCATGCCCACATACTGTGTGTCCATGTATTGGTCCCCATACTCACCATCCTCATGCCCACATACTGTGTCCATGTATTGGTCCCCATACTCACCATCCTCATGCCCACATACTGTGTGTCCATGTATTGGTCCCCATACTCACCATCCTCATGCCCACATACTGTGTGTCCATGTATTGGTCCCCATACTCACCATCCTCATGCCCACATACTGTGTGCCCATGTATTGGTCCCCATACTCACCATCCTCATGCCCACATACTGTGTGTCCATGTATTGGTCCCCATACTCACCATCCTCATGCCCACATACTGTGTGTCCATGTATTGGTCCCCATACTCACCATCCTCATGCCCACATACTGTGTGTCCAGGTATTGGTCCCCATACTCACCATCCTCATGCCCACATACTGTGTGTCCATGTATTGGTCCCCAGGCTTGTTAAAGGGAAAGCTGCCATCATAACCCGTCAGGACACCAGCTAGACCAATCAGCATCTGAGGTGACAAGGTGGGGGTGTTAGCTCCACACACCACACATACAAGGTGGGGTTTTAGCTCCACACAACACACATACAATAGTGTGGTGTTAGCTCCACACACACATGGTGTGGTGTAAGCTCCACACACACATAATGTGGTGTTAGCTCCACACACACATGGTGTGGTGTTAGCTCCACACACACATGGTGTGGTGTAAGCTCCACACACACATGGTGTGGTGTTAGCTCCACACACACATGGTGTGGTGTTAGCAAGGTTTGAGACAAGAATGGTGAGTGCTACAACAAACACTTAGACAGCTGAAAGAGACATTTAAAAAACCGCCCGTGGATGTAGAACAAAGCAAGGTTTGAGACAACCTACCTAGAACAAAGCAAGGTTTGAGACAACCTACCTAGAACAAAGCAAGGTTTGAGACAACCTACCTAGAACAAAGCAAGGTTTGAGACAACCTACCTAGAACAAAGCAAGGTTTGAGACAACCTACCTAGAACAAAGCAAGGTTTGAGACAACCTACCTAGAACAAAGCAAGGTTTGAGACAACCTACCTAGAACAAAGCAAGGTTTGAGACAACCTACCTAGAACAAAGCAAGGTTTGAGACAACATACCTTGCCGAGTGGTGGATGCACATCAAAGAAGAATGTTCTGTTGATGTACCAGCTCCCCATCTTGCCAAAGTGGGTTTCATCCCAGCTGTAACATGAGTGGTAAGGTTGACAATACTCAATAATGGAATGAGAAGGACAGATTTTTAAAATACATTGAACAAACCAGACCTACCATATATGGGCAGGGGTTTCAATGTTATAGACTCTTGTCAAGAGGGAGAGTGAGGTCAGCACCAGCCAGCACAGGTAGTAGGCTTTTGTCTCTTTCCTTCTCTCATCTTGCTCCCACAAGATCTCGGAGGAACTCTGGCAATCACTAAGGTCACGCCTGTCATCAGGCTTTGACCCAAAATATCCCCGGTCACATGGTTTAGCTCCTTTGGATGTGTGGCTTTGGGTGATATTCCTATGCCGGATGTTTGACAGTTTTAAATCAGCTTGCATTTTCATACAACTTTTCATACAACGACGTGTGGAAAACTGATTCACAGATGATGAGTCTGTGACATCACTTGCCAGAATTTTAACAAAAGATGTATTAGGTGAAGTGGATGATGATTCTGCAGCTAGCCTCTAATTGGACATAGCCTTGAATGACTTTAGCCTCTAATTGGACATAGCCTTGAATGACTTTCCCTTTAGGCAGTATGGAAGTGATTGACATGCCAGCTGTCATCACATGACAACATTACATTCTGACAATAGTGAATAAATTGAAATACAAAAGTTAGGTATATTTCCTTAGCCATATCACAATAATTTACATTAAAAGTAGGCCTAAATTTTGTTATATTTTTATCCATAAATAAAATTATCAGTTAGCTTTATGTTGCTTAATCTAAATTACAAATAGACCTAGTGATTTAGTTTTAGTATAGACCTAAAATTAAGTTACAAGTAGCCTAAGAGATTGTGTACATACAAAGCTATGTAGAATTTTACTATAAGTCATCAGTTTAACGTTTTACGTTGGCTGGTAGCCTATAGCTAATTTAATTATTTTGGGCAGAGGGTGGAGTTGAGCTAGTACTTAAGGTAGATTCGAGATGTACTAACTAGACCTTGCTACTATTAAAATGAGTAGACTCATTAGGAAATTAAGAATGTATTGTTTCTACAAGATTTTTTTTATTTCACTTAACTTGCTTCCTCTGTATGTCATACGGGTGAGAACTGACAAGCAAAATGTTCACCACTTTTAACAAACCAAATTTTTTTTAAAACTATTAAAACTCTGCATGTGGGTCAAGAATTAATTTTAAATTCCTATAGGCCAGTATGTCTCAGTATGAGTATAGTGTATTTTTTCTCACTTAAACTTAATCTAAAATTTACTCAATTTTCAATTTAAACATGATCACTGAATATTAGACATAATTTATAATATTATTTAATCAATTAGGCACTAAAATATATTAATTAGGTTTCAGTTGTGTTTAAAATAAAATACGCTCAACTGGAGGTGAACGTGAAGCGGGTAATAAAATACGCTAAAATGGAGTTTTACTAGATCTAACTTAGTAACTTTTACCCCCTAACTGGCCTAACAAGTTAAAACACTACTAACAGTACTATGTCTAGTACTAGTAGTACTAACTGTAACTAGATCTAACTATTTACTATTTAACAGTAACTTTACCGTAACACTCATTGACCATTGACTCAAAATTAAACAATATTAAATAAAATAATAAGGCCCCAGATCTATAATTTTCTAAATTGGGTAAGTATTTAAGAGGAAAGTTTAAACCTTTTGGGGTTTAGATCAACTTAATATAAAATAAATCTAGATCTAGATAATCTAGATCTAGATCTAAATTCTAAAACCAAGAGTCTAGATTGAGATTCTAGATCTAGTGAATCTAGTGTCTAGCAAATAACAAATAAAGGCAAATTTCAACGAGTACTTTCCCTTACAATGGAATAAATCTAAAAAAATTATTTTTATCAAGCTACGGAACAATTTGTTTTTACAATTACACTAATAATAATATAATAATAATAGATATAGATTCTAGTTAGCCTAGAAGTATATTTCTAGATCTAAATCCAGATTCTATCTAATCTAGAGTATTTTAGAGGTTAGGCCTAGATTCTACTTACTGAAATGAGTAGAGAGTGGCCTGGTATTTATGGCCTTTCTGCAGATTAATCATCCTTGTTAATACATGTATAGGCCAGCATAGACCTAAGTAATTAAATATTATGCCAAAATTATTTTCTTACAATAGATTCTCAATAGAATATTATTCATTAAAGTTTGTTGTTATAAAATATTACAACAAGCCACAAGCAGCCTAAACCTAAAACTATCCTTAAGTCCGTTTAGGGTTAGTAAAAGTAAAACACTAAAACTTTTAAAATAATAAACTAGGAAAAGCTAAACATTTTAATAACTTGTGCTTGGTCTGTAATAATATATATATATATATATATATATATATATATATATATATATAGCAATGTGTGTGTGTGACTGTTTATTTGTCTGTCTTGTATGCATTATTACACCTTTCATCCGATCGCAATAAAATTTTGGGAAGTTGTTGAGAATACTCATGGGGAGGTTTTTTCGAATAAAAATTATTTCAAATTCGCAGGGGTGGCGCCCCGGCAGGGCGCGATTTTTTTTCTCTATGTACTGTGTATAAAAAAAATAAAAATCGATTGCGGTCTGACACCATTCATCTGAGTGCTATGAAATTTAGGGGAGTTGATTAGAACACTCCAGTGGAGGTTTCTGTAAAACAATCTTTTTTAATTTCGCAAGGGTGGCGCCCCGGGAGTGTGCGATTCTTCTCTATTTACGGTATATTAAAAAAGTAAGACACCTTTCACCCGAGTGCTATAAACTTTAAGGAGTTGACGAGAATATTCCCGAGCCGGTTTCTGTTGACAAAATAATTAAAATTTGATACGAGCGGCGCCTGGAAGGGTGCGATTTTCGTCAATACACAATTTGGCGCCCAGAGTTCCAGAGCGGCTATTTTAACCCCTGGACATCCGCTAATCGTGCGTCCTACATAACGGGTAAGGGGTACTACTATATTCAGCGTTAAAACTTTAACAGGCGCAACCGTCGACGCCCCGTAGATTGCACGACCCGAAGCGCCCCGGGTTCCCCTGCGAGCACTATGGCGCCTCTGCGGTTGTGTAATCGGGGGTTCCCGATAGCGCCCCTCTACGTCCCTGACACATGGGCGGTCACCGAAGTGTGTTCTACCTTATTATTTCGGTGAGTGATTAACGTACACTCAAGGTTTTCATGCGGTAGTGTAGGTAAATCCGTGTCCCGATATATATGATCCAAGTGCAGGCATTGTTTACATTTAAATAACTCAGTTTTAGAAAACATGGTCACGCGTCTAAGAACATAGGATTGACAAGGCATTCATGAAACCCGTCTTATATATTTCGTCAGACTTTCTTCTATCACAGCGGCAACGCGCGGTAACGGGTACGCTAGTTTGTGATAAAATTTTTAGCATACAGCACTATTTACTCCCATCACGTCTACTGGTCGTGTGGGGGTAAAATGCGAGACAAAATGTGAATCGACCGACCGTTCTCGGTCCCTTCTCGCATTTTTACCGCCTCGCCATTCCGCGTGTCGCATTTCCCTATGACTCTATTTTACTATATAATAATACACATTAATAATAATTTACATACTTTAAACAATTGGCCTTATTAAATAACAAATTTATTAACAACTTTCGCATAACTTAATTTTTCATTGTTTTTTTTTTTTTGGCAAACTTGAAACAGGCCAGTTTTTTTTTTTTTTTTTACATTTTATGTCGTAAATTTGTTCTGCTATTTTAAATTCTTGTTTTTGAAATCGAGATAACGTGAAACAAGCTTTTCAACATGGCGATATCCATTGCTATTGTTTTGCTATAAAACTTAAGGATATTTTAAAAGTATGCACAGTAGTCTTTAATTATAATGTGCTTTAGTTTCGTGTATAATTTAGTTATTGCTGTATCTCATTAAAATTCACGCAACCAGAGTATTCATTCAAATTAAGTTAATTAACTTATCCGGTGATTCTGAATTCTGGCCTCAGTGAGTGTCTGGCTTGGGTCTTCTGTTCTGGTTCTGAATCTTCTAATCTAATCTCTGACTGATTTTTTGGGAGAATGTTTACACCGTGTCCGATAATGGAATCGTCTTTAAAAAAGGGGTGTTAGGTTAGGCCTACTGATAGTTAACTAATGGCAAATGCACACATGGCTACTGACTGACACTACTGTCACTGTCTCAACTGTCTGTCTATGCTAACCCTGTCCCCCTAGCCCTAAGCCTAATCCTACTAACTACTAACTAGTACTAACTACTAACGGTAATCTATCGTTTGGGTACGTAAAATCGCCGCGACTAGTAATGTGAAAAACAGGTGACTCCATAAATTTTAATAATTTCACATTTTGAGGAGGATTTATATTTTGAAAAATACAATTATTTCAATATTAGTATTAGGCCTATTCAATTTCATTTATGTACCTGTTTTTAAACAATTGAATTAAAACTTTTCAGTAAATAAATGAAGACTAGCGATGTTTCCAACAGATGCAACCATGCTCATTTACTATAACAGCCATCTCGTTTTAACTTTTTTTTTTATAAACTTATAGGGCGAGATTCAGGGGGAAGCCACTCTATTTTACAAATGGCTGCTGTTTATATAGCAAACCTTGCTAGCAAACACTGCTGTTTAAAGTTAATTTCTGACCCATATTGATATATTTAGCCATTGCTTTAGGTTTATTATTCATTTATCTACAATATTAATTTGACACAAATATATCACAATATACTTCCATTAAAGCCTTGACAATGAGGTAACTTTTTTGTACATTACTAGCCGTGGATGATTTTACGTACCCAAAACGATAGATTACCCTACTAACCCCAACCCTGGTCCTACCATACCTAACACCAATTTCTAACCATAAAATTCCATTATCAGACACTGGTATCTATAATCATCCGATTTTTCTTTTCTCACTCCTCTTTGCTTCTTCAAATATAAATAATGTCTTGGCTCTTTATTTCTCAAACTTATAAAGTCAGAGCTATGCTGTGACTAGAGTTTTCACAACTTATTAGTGCGTTTTCTCATTTTATTTTCATTTTACCCTGGCACATGCAAAATGCACTCAGTGCAGCACTGAACTGTCTTCAGTCACTACTTGAGGGCTATCTACTTCAGTACTAGATATAGTGCACGATTTTGTCCTTAGCCTGCAATTTTATGACTTTGATACCCAGGTTATGATATTATTATTATGCTTCAGCTGTACCATTGTTGTCTTATCTAAAAATATCCAAAGTTGACATCATTGTAGCCTAAATTGGATTAATTTTCTTGTGCTAACTTTCAACTTTCAGTTCATGGTTTAAAATTTATGGCAGAGGCTATTCCCATTCAGCTGAGCAATTTTGAGCTTGGTATTTCAAATAGTTAAAATTTAAAATATGAAAGCACTGTATCCATAAATATGAGGGCAGGGGATACCATGTTCTACTTCTTTTTTAAATTCCACCTATGAATTTATTTTATTGTTTATTATGCTTGTATAGGCCTATGCGATAAATAAAGCTACTGGAAAGTTTTAACATATTCTATTAGGCCTATATGACTATATGGTTTACAAGTTAAGTAAAAAAGGACCATGTTAGTGAACACTTAAAAATTTTTCTTTTTTTTTTCTCTCTCTTAGGACTACTCATAGAAATCTAAGGGACATGACTTTTTTTTCTTTATGCAAGTATGCTTGCTTTCATGTCACAAGCAATATTATTGTAGTGATAACATTTTTGACTGGGAATAGACCTAATACTGCTATTTCCAGTACACTGGGAATAGACACTTAGGGGCTTTGTATTCAGCTAGCTAAAATCTCAGCGTATATAGGCCTATAGTACTTCTTGTTTACATGCATCTTCCAGTTCCATAACAATAGCTACCCCCGCCCTCCCCATCCAATATGACTGCAGGTGGGAGTCATTAGGTATAGGCCTATGGTGTGAACTTTAATTGACCCCACAAATTGGCTGTGGCTATTTTCCTATTGAAAATTATAAATCTTATTCACTGAAAGACTGATAGCACATGGACAATATCTTGATTAAACCTTGATTATTTTTTAAAATTTTGCACAAAAAAATAATCAGAGGTTCCAGGCATAAAAAATTAAATTATTTGAGATTAGTTATATAGGCCTAATATTTAAAAATTATTATAAAAATTGTTCTAAATTTGGTGCAATATGTTATTGAATGTAGCTGCTTTTTGTCATTGCGATTAAATTTGTGTAGGCCCTATGTGACCTAGATAAAACTTGTGTATTCCTCAGGTTAAACCAACACAGTGTAATAAAGAATGGATGTAAGTGCTGTTGTATTTTTGTAGTTTAAACACCTAGCTAAGTCATTTTCCCTGTGTTATTTGTAGGTCTGTATGCTATTATTTTTCAAATTTTGTATTATTTCTATTTGACCCAAGTAAAGTAAAATTATCCTTTTTGTTCACAGCCTACAGGGGAATCTGGGGGTAAGTTAGTTGTCAGCTGTCTGATTTTGTTGTAAAGATTCACTGGGGGTAAGTTAGTTGTCAGCTGTCTGATTTTGTTGTAAAGATTCACTGGGGGTAAGTTAGTTGTCAGCTGTCTGATTTTGTTGTAAAGATTCACTGGGGGTAAGTTAGTTGTCAGCTGTCTGATTTTGTTGTAAAGATTCACTGGGGGTAAGTTAGTTGTCAGCTGTCTGATTTTGTTGTAAAGATTCATGTTTGGTATCTTGGAGTTGACCAATATTTGTTTGAGCTTAGTGCAGTTTTTGACCTTTAACCTCTTTTTTCAGATGGACATATGCACCAAGGTGGCAAGCAAATGATGGTAAGTGGGTAATTTGTTGACTATCAGTAGAGGAGGAGGGGGGGGGGGGTAAGTTAGTAATTTGTTTACTATCAGTAGAGAGGGGGGTAAGTTGGTACTTTGTTTACTATCAGTGGGGGGGGGGGGTAAATTGCTTTTTTTTTTTAATTTTTGTCTTTTAATTTTTGCTTTTAATTATTTTTATAGGCTCAAGATGGCCCTGGGTCACAGGTAGGTCTTTACTTCTAATGTAGGAAATATGGAATTCCTCTTTACTTCTAATGTAGGAAATATGAAATTCCTCTTTACTTCTTGACTAGTGAAATATTTTCATAAACTATATGTCACACTATGGAGATTATATTGAGGCAACTTTTCTTGCTTATTGTAGGTTTATACCACCATGATATTGTCAGGTTATACGTCCCCATGTTATTCTGTCAGGTTATACGTCCCCATGTTATTCTGTCAGGTTATACATCCCCATGTTATTCTGTCAGGTTATACATCCCCATGTTATTCTGTCAGGTTATACATCCCCATGTTATTCTGTCAGGTTATACATCCCCATGTTATTCTGTCAGGTTATACATCCCCATGTTATTCTGTCAGGTTATACATCCCCATGTTATTCTGTCAGGTTATACATCCCCATGTTATTCTGTCAGGTTATACATCCCCATGTTATTCTGTCAGGTTATACATCCCCATGTTATTCTGTCAGGTTATACATCCCCATGTTATTCTGTCAGGTTATACATCCCCATGTTATTCTGTCAGGTTATACATCCCCATGTTATTCTGTCAGGTTATACATCCCCATGTTATTCTGTCAGGTTATACATCCCCATGTTATTCTGTCAGGTTATACATCCCCATGTTATTCTGTCAGGTTATTATTATGTCATTGTTATACCATGACATTTTCAGAGGGAAGATGAATTGGCCTGGAAGGTTGCAATGCAAAGACAGTTGTTGGAGCAACAGGAGCGTCATATGGGAGTAAGTGCTTTTGGTTGGTTCTGTGTGCTTTTGGTTGGTTCTGTGTGCTTTTGGTTGGTTCTGTGTGCTTTTGGTTGGTTCTGTGTGCTTTTGGTTGGTTCTGTGTGCTTTTGGTTGGTTCTGTGTGCTTTTGGTTGGTTCTGTGTGTCTTTGGTTGGTTCTGTGTGCTTTTGGTTGGTTCTGTGTGCTTTTGGTTGGTTCTGTGTGTCTTTGGTTGGTTCTGTGTGCTTTTGGTTGGTTCTGTGTGCTTTTGGTTGGTTCTGTGTGCTTTTGGTTGGTTCTGTGTGTCTTTGGTTGGTTCTGTGTGCTTTTGGTTGGTTCTGTGTGCTTTTGGTTGGTTCTGTGTGCTTTTGGTTGGTTCTGTGTGCTTTTGGTTGGTTCTGTGTGCTTTTGGTTGGTTCTGTGTGCTTTTGGTTGGTTCTGTGTGCTTTTGGTTGGTTCTGTGTGTCTTTGGTTGGTTCTGTGTGCTTTTGGTTGGTTCTGTGTGCTTTTGGTTGGTTCTGTGTGCTTTTGGTTGGTTCTGTGTGCTTTTGGTTGGTTCTGTGTGCTTTTGGTTGGTTGTGTGTGCTTTTGGTTGGTTCTGTGTGCTTTTGGTTGGTTCTGTGTGCTTTTGGTTGGTTCTGTGTGCTTTTGGTTGGTTCTGTGTGCTTTTGGTTGGTTCTGTGTGTCTTTGGTTGGTTCTGTGTGCTTTTGGTTGGTTCTGTGTGCTTTTGGTTGGTTCTGTGTGTCTTTGGTTGGTTCTGTGTGCTTTTGGTTGGTTCTGTGTGCTTTTGGTTGGTTCTGTGTGCTTTTGGTTGGTTGTGTGTGCTTTTGGTTGGTTCTGTGTGCTTTTGGTTGGTTCTGTGTGCTTTTGGTTGGTTCTGTGTGCTTTTGGTTGGTTCTGTGTGCTTTTGGTTGGTTCTGTGTGCTTTTGGTTGGTTCTGTGTGTCTTTGGTTGGTTCTGTGTGCTTTTGGTTGGTTCTGTGTGCTTTTGGTTGGTTCTGTGTGCTTTTGGTTGGTTCTGTGTGCTTTTGGTTGGTTCTGTGTGTCTTTGGTTGGTTCTGTGTGCTTTTGGTTGGTTCTGTGTGCTTTTGGTTGGTTCTGTGTGCTTTTGGTTGGTTCTGTGTGCTTTTGGTTGGTTCTGTGTGCTTTTGGTTGGTTCTGTGTGCTTTTGGTTGGTTCTGTGTGTCTTTGGTTGGTTCTGTGTGCTTTTGGTTGGTTCTGTGTGCTTTTGGTTGGTTCTGTCTGCTTTTGGTTGGTTCTGTCTGCTTTTGGTTGGTTCTGTGTGCTTTTGGTTGGTTCTGTGTGTCTTTGGTTGGTTCTGTGTGCTTTTGGTTGGTTCTGTGTGCTTTTGGTTGGTTCTGTCTGCTTTTGGTTGGTTCTGTGTGCTTTTGGTTGGTTCTGTGTGCTTTTGGTTGGTTCTGTCTGCTTTTGGTTGGTTCTGTGTGCTTTTGGTTGGTTCTGTGTGCTTTTGGTTGGTTCTGTGTGCTTTTGGTTGGTTCTGTGTGCTTTTGGTTGGTTCTGTGTGCTTTTGGTTGGTTCTGTGTGCTTTTGGTTGGTTCTGTGTGTCTTTGGTTGGTTCTGTGTGCTTTTGGTTGGTTCTGTGTGCTTTTGGTTGGTTCTGTCTGCTTTTGGTTGGTTCTGTCTGCTTTTGGTTGGTTCTGTGTGCTTTTGGTTGGTTCTGTGTGTCTTTGGTTGGTTCTGTGTGCTTTTGGTTGGTTCTGTGTGCTTTTGGTTGGTTCTGTCTGCTTTTGGTTGGTTCTGTGTGCTTTTGGTTGGTTCTGTGTGCTTTTGGTTGGTTCTGTCTGCTTTTGGTTGGTTCTGTGTGCTTTTGGTTGGTTCTGTCTGCTTTTGGTTGGTTCTGTGTGCTTTTGGTTGGTTCTGTGTGTCTTTGGTTGGTTCTGTGTGCTTTTGGTTGGTTCTGTGTGCTTTTGGTTGGTTCTGTCTGCTTTTGGTTGGTTCTGTGTGCTTTTGGTTGGTTCTGTGTGTCTTTGGTTGGTTCTGTGTGCTTTTGGTTGGTTCTGTGTGCTTTTGGTTGGTTCTGTGTGCTTTTGGTTGGTTCTGTGTGCTTTTGGTTGGTTCTGTGTGCTTTTGGTTGGTTCTGTGTGCTTTTGGTTGGTTCTGTGTGCTTTTGGTTGGTTCTGTGTGCTTTACTTTTGGTTGGTTCTGTGTGCCTTTGGTTGGTTCTGTGTGCTTTTGGTTGGTTCTGTGTGCTTTTGGTTGGTTCTGTGTGCCTTTGGGGTTGATCCAAACAGATGTGAGTGAGTGGTTTAGATCTACCCTCCATATGGGAGTGAGTGCTTTAGACTGACTCTACATATGGGAGTGTGCTTTAGACTGACTCTACATAAGGGTGTGAGTGCTTTAGACTGACTCTACATATGAGAGTGAGTGCTTTAGACTGACCCTACATATGGGAGTGAGTGCTTTAGACTGACTCTACATATGGGAGTGAGTGCTTTAGACTGACTCAAATAAGGGTGTGAGTGCTTTAGACTGACCCTACATAAGGGTGTGAGTGCTTTAGACTGACCCTACATATGAGAGTGAGTGCTTTAGACTGACCACTTTGTCTTCTTGTCTTACAGCTGATGGAGCAGCAGCAGCTGGCGTTGTTGGAGGCTCAGAGAACAGAACAACAGCAGAGGATGATGGCTGGTAGGTTCTCTATGTTCCTTCATCCTAGAGGCTTGTCTGGCACTCAAGAAGGGAGAGCAATCACACTAGCTGGCTCTATAATTGTTTGCTCTTGTTTGCCTAGGTCATCCAATGGGCCCTTCAGGAATGTCAGCCATCACACTTGCTGGCTCTATAATTGTTTGCTCTTGTTTGCCTAGGTCATCCAATGGGCCCTTCAGGAATGTCAGCCATCACACTTGCTGGCTCTATAATTGTTTGCTCTTGTTTGCCTAGGTCACCCAATGGGCCCTTCAGGAATGTCAGCCATCACACTAGCTGGCTCTATAATTGTTTGCTCTTGTTTGCCTAGGTCACCCAATGGGCCCTTCAGGAATGTCAGCCATCACACTTGCTGGCTCTATAATTGTTTGCTCTTGTTTGCCTAGGTCACCCAATGGGCCCTTCAGGAATGTCAGCCATCACACTAGCTGGCTCTATAATTGTTTGCTCTTGTTTGCCTAGGTCACCCAATGGGCCCTTCAGGAATGTCAGCCATCACACTAGCTGGCTCTATAATTGTTTGCTCTTGTTTGCTTAGGTCACCCAATGGGCCCTTCAGGAATGTCAGCCATCACACTAGCTGGCTCTATAATTGTTTGCTCTTGTTTGCCTAGGTCATCCAATGGGCCCTTCAGGAATGTCAGCCATCACACTAGCTGGCTCTATAATTGTTTGCTCTTGTTTGCCTAGGTCACCCAATGGGCCCTTCAGGAATGTCAGCCATCACACTAGCTGGCTCTATAATTGTTTGCTCTTGTTTGCCTAGGTCACCCAATGGGCCCTTCAGGAATGTCAGCCATCACACTAGCTGGCTCTATAATTGTTTGCTCTTGTTTGCCTAGGTCACCCAATGGGCCCTTCAGGAATGTCAGCCATCACACTAGCTGGCTCTATAATTGTTTGCTCTTGTTTGCCTAGGTCACCCAATGGGCCCTTCAGGAATGTCAGCCATCACACTTGCTGGCTCTATAATTGTTTGCTCTTGTTTGCCTAGGTCACCCAATGGGCCCTTCAGGAATGTCAGCCATCACACTTGCTGGCTCTATAATTGTTTGCTCTTGTTTGCCTAGGTCACCCAATGGGCCCTTCAGGAATGTCAGCCATCACACTTGCTGGCTCTATAATTGTTTGCTCTTGTTTGCCTAGGTCACCCAATGGGCCCTACAGGAATGTCAGCCGCTGCGCCCATGAGGGGTGGAGCAGGCAGCATGATCTCCAGAGGTCTTGGATCCAACCATCCGGGCATGATGCAGTCCTCAGCGTCATCCCAAATGATGGGTGGAGGTAAAGTTTTTTATTGTCATGGGTGGAGGTAAAGTTTTTTATTGTCATGGGTGGAGGTAAAAAAAATTATTCTCATGGGTGGAGGTAAGGTGTTTTATTATCACACCTTCCCATAAGTATATTTTTTATTTCCTTAATTTTATTGCATATTGCCAGCTGTGTTCATGTTTTGATATTTTTTCAGGTGGACCTCACAGCCAGCAGTCCATGGCCTCAAGTGGGGGTGGATCTAGTGGCCAGATGATGCAGGGACAGATGGCCCAAGGTGGCCAGATGATGCAGGGACAGATGGCCCAAGGTGGCCAGATGATGCAGGGACAGATGGCACAAGGTGGCCAGATGATGCAGGGACAGATGAACAACCAAATGATGCAAGGGCCACCTCACCTCATGCAAATGAACCACGGGGGGCCTCAGATGATGCATGGTGGGCCCCAGATGATGCATGGGCATCCCCAGATGTCACAAAGTGGAATGCCACCTCAGATGTCCCAGGGAGGTCCCCATATGATGGGCCAGGGGGGCCCCAACCAAATGTTGATGTCTGAATTAGAAGAGGAAGGAGAGGAGGAAGAAGAAGACGACCCTGAGCTGGATGCTAAAGATGCCAAATCTAATGTAGGTGGAACCAGAGGCTGACTCAGCCAAACACTGACTTGACTTTCTCAGCCAAACACTGACCTGACTCTCTCAACCAAACACTGACCTGACTTTCTCAGCCAAACACTGACTTGACTCTCTCAGCCAAACACTGACTTGACTTTCTCAGCCAAACACTGACTTGACTTTCTCAACCAAACACTGACCTGACTTTCTCAGCCAAACACTGACTTGACTTTCTCAGCCAAACACTGACTTGACTTTCAGCCAAACACTGACTTGACTTTCTCAACCAAACACTGACTTGACTTTCTCAGCCAAACACTGACTTGACTTTCTCAGCCAAACACTGACTTGACTTTCAGCCAAACACTGACTTGACTTTCTCAACCAAACACTGACTTGACTTTCTCAGCCAAACACTGACTTGACTTTCAGCCAAACACTGACTTGACTTTCTCAGCCAAACACTGACTTGACTTTCAGCCAAACACTGACTTGACTTTCTCAACCAAACACTGACTTGACTTTCTCAGCCAAACACTGACTTGACTCTCAGCCAAACACTGACCTGACCTAGCTGTTTGCCTCCCTGACAGACCCAGCCAGCCAACCTGGGCCCTAAAGAGATGCGCTTGCCCCAGGCCCTGGAGAAGATGCTGGAGTTCAAATCCCAGAGAGCCAGTGAGCTGGGTGTAGACTTGGACAGTATTGACAACAAAGAGGGTGAGTACTTGGTGTCTGCACATGCTTTATCTAGGTGTCTCACACAAGCTCACTCAATCCTGGTGGGGGGGGGGGGGGGGGAGATCACATGCCCAACATTTTCATGTTCAACCAAGCTCTGTATGATGTACATAAAGCTTTTTACTTTTATTCTAGCTGATGAAAATAATGAGAAAAATGAAGATGATGTAGAAGAGGAGGCTGAAGATGAAGAAAAAGATGGAGTGATAGAGGAAGAATATGATGATGAGATCATAACCAAGGACCAGACAAAAGAAGTAGGTTTTTATCTTTGATACAGTTAAGCTCCAGGTTTTTATCTTTGATACAGTTAAGCTCCAGGTTTTTATCTTTGATACAGTTAAGCTCCAGGTTTTTATCTTTGATACAGTTAAGCTCCAGGTTTTTATCTTTGATACAGTTAAGCTCCAGGTTTTTATCTTTGATACAGTTAAGCTCATTGGATATTAGACCAGACAAAAGAAGTAGGTTTTTATCTTTGATACAGTTAAGCTCATTGGATATTAGACCAGACAAAAGAAGTAGGTTTTTATGTTTGATACAGTTAAGCTCCAGGTTTTTATGTTTGATACAGTTAAGCTCCAGGTTTTATGTTTGATACAGTTAAGCTCCAGGTTTTTATGTTTGATACAGTTAAGCTCATTGGATATTTTTTATTGGAAATTCTGTTTAAAAAATTGTGAAGTCGTGTATGTCAGCAGGACTGTCTTAACTCTATTCCTGTCGTGTATGTCAGCAGGACTGTCTTAACTCTATTCCTGTCATGTATAACAGCAGGACTGTCTTAACTCTATTCCTGTCATGTATGTTAGCAGGACTGTCTTAACTCTATTCCTGTCATATATGTCAGCAGGACTGTCTTAACTCTATTCCTGTCATATATGTCATCAGGACTGTCTTAACTCTATTCCTGTCATGTATGTCAGCAGGACTGTCTTAACTCTATTCCTGTCATGTATGTCAGCAGGACTGTCTTAACTCTATTCCTGTCATGTATGTCAGCAGGACTGTCTTAACTCTATTCCTGTCATGTATGTCAGCAGGACTGTCTTAACTCTATTCCTGTCATGTATGTCTGCAGGACTGTCTTAACTCTATTCCTGTCATGTATGTCAGCAGGACTGTCTTAACTCTATTCCTGTCATGTATGTCAGCAGGACTGTCTTAACTCTATTCCTGTCATGTATGTCAGCAGGACTGTCTTAACTCTATTCCTGTCATGTATGTCAGCAGGACTGTCTTAACTCTATTCCTGTCATGTATGTCAGCAGGACTGTCTTAACTCTATTCCTGTCATGTATGTCAGCAGGACTGTCTTAACTCTATTCCTGTCATGTATGTCAGCAGGACTGTCTTAACTCTATTCCTGTCATGTATGTCTGCAGGACTGTCTTAACTCTATTCCTGTCATGTATGTCAGCAGGACTGTCTTAACTCTATTCCTGTCATGTATGTAAGTGTAAGCAGGACTGTCTTAACTCTATTCCTGTCATGTATGACAGCAGGACTGTCTTAACTCTATTCCTGTCAGCAGGACTGTCTTAACTCTATTCCTGTCATGTATAACAGCAGGACTGTCTTAACTCTATTCCTGTCATGTATAACAGCAGGACTGTCTTAACTCTATTCCTGTCATGTATGTCAGCAGGACTGTCTTAACTCTATTCCTGTCATGTAAGACAGCAGGACTGTCTTAACTCTATTCCTGTCATGTAAGACAGCAGGACTGTCTTAACTCTATTCCTGTCATGTAAGACAGCAGGACTGTCTTAACTCTATTCCTGTCATGTAAGACAGCAGGACTGTCTTAACTCTATTCCTGTCATGTATAACAGCAGGACTGTCTTAACTCTATTCCTATCATGTATGTCAGCAGGACTGTCTTAACTCTATTCCTGTCTATACCAGTCCAAGAACAAACGCAAGAAGAAAAAGAAGAAGAAGGCCAGGCGCAACAGATTTGAACAGCAGAAGAAAATGAAAAAGAAAGACAAAAAAAGCAAAGCCCCTGATGTGATTATAGAGTAAGTAGTAAAATCACTGACCACCTGTTGTATGTTGTATCAACCCACTGACCACCTGTTGTATCCACCCACTGACCACCTGTTGTATCCACCCACTGACCACCTGTTGTATGTTGTATCCACCCACTGACCACCTGTTGTATGTTGTATCCACCCACTGACCACCTGTTGTATCCACCCACTGACCACCTGTTGTATCCACCCACTGACCACCTGTTGTATCCACCCACTGACCACCTGTTGTATCCACCCACTGACCACCTGTTGTATGTTGTATCCACCCACTGACCACCTGTTGTATGTTGTATCCACCCACTGACCACCTGTTGTATCCACCCACTGACCACCTGTTGTATCCACCCACTGACCACCTGTTGTATCCACCCACTGACCACCTGTTGTATCCACCCACTGACCACCTGTTGTATCCACCCACTGACCACCTGTTGTATCCACCCACTGACCACCTGTTGTATGTTGTATCCACCCACTGACCACCTGTTGTATCCACCCACTGACCACCTGTTGTATCCACCCACTGACCACCTGTTGTATCCACCCACTGACCACCTGTTGTATCCACCCACTGACCACCTGTTGTATCCACCCACTGACCACCTGTTGTATCCACCCACTGACCACCTGTTGTATCCACCCACTGACCACCTGTTGTATCATCCACCTGCAGGTATGTCCAGGAGCAGCTTGAGCTTGACCCCACTGACCCCAGCTACCACACATTTGCCAGAATCTTTGAGGCATTTAAGGTACACTCACATCTGATGTGGTTTGTTTTGTCTGGGGTCTAAGGTACACTCACATCTGATGTGTTTTTTATTAGTCAGAAGAGTAGTTTGAATCTTTCTGTCTGTTTTAGTCTCATCCTAGCTCTGTGTCTCAGTATCCTAGCTCTGTGTCTCAGTATCCTAGCTCTGTGTTTCTGTATCCTAGCTGTGTGTTTCTGTATCCTAGCTCTGTGTTTCTGTATCCTAGCTCTGTGTTTCTGTATCCTAGCTCTGTGTTTCTGTATCCTGGCTCTGTGTTTCTGTATCCTTTGAATGAAAGCTGTTTGAACAATGTGCTGAACACATAGGGTAATCTGTACACAAACTATTTGCACCATCCAGATCACAGAACCTGAGAAACCCAAGGAAATGAAAACAGAGGAAAAAGAGGAAAAGAAAGAAGAAGTCCCTATTAAAGCTAAAGGTTTAATTGAAGATGATGATGACGAGGAGGTATTTGCAACTTTTAAAATACTGAACAGTTAACAAAGTCATGTGACACATAGAGTGTAGATGTAACAATATTCTTTCTTCATATAGCCAGGTAAAATAGAAGAAGATGGGCCAAAAATCTCAAAGAAAAAACTGAAGAAATTAACTAGACTTACAGTAGCTCAACTTAAACAAGTAAGTTTTCTATTTTACCCCCTTAACAATCCTATGGTCATTAGGCCATATCATAGTACAGTATATTGTAAAAGTTGAGTGCTAGTGTTGAGCAACTACTAAAACTATAAATCATTGTTCATGTACCAGAAAATTTGGTCTCATAAGATTTTTTTAAAATACATTTCTTGTTGTAATTTCACAAATTAAATGGGTTAACCTTCAAATATAATGTTCTGGTATGGACCCATTGTCCTGAAGTGTTAGTGTTCTAAAAGTTTTCATCCAGTGCTGTTTTGTTGTCTGACAGTTGGTGAATCGACCTGATGTTGTAGAGATGCATGATGTCACTGCCAGAGACCCCAGGTTGTTGGTACACTTAAAGGTTAGTTCCCTTGATCACAATGTTGTTGGTACACTTAAAGGTTAGTTCCCTTGATCACAATGTTGTTGGTACACTTAAAGGTTAGTTCCCTTGATCACAATGTTGTTGGTACACTTAAAGGTTAGTTCCCTTGATCACAATGTTGTTGTTGGTACACTTAAAGGTTAGTTCCCTTGATCACAATGTTGTTGGTACACTTAAAGGTTAGTTCCCTTGATCACAATGTTGTTGGTACACTTAAAGGTTAGTTCCCTTGATCACAATGTTGTTGGTACACTTAAAGGTTAGTTCCCTTGATCACAATGTTGTTGTTGGTACACTTAAAGGTTAGTTCCCTTGATCACAATGTTGTTGGTACACTTAAAGGTTAGTTCCCTTGATCACAATGTTGTTGGTACACTTAAAGGTTAGTTCCCTTGATCACAATGTTGTTGGTACACTTAAAGGTTAGTTCCCTTGATCACAATGTTGTTGGTACACTTAAAGGTTAGTTCCCTTGATCACAATGTTGTTGTTGGTACACTTAAAGGTTAGTTCCCTTGATCACAATGTTGTTGGTACACTTAAAGGTTAGTTCCCTTGATCACAATGTTGTTGGTACACTTAAAGGTTAGTTCCCTTGATCACAATGTTGTTGGTACACTTAAAGGTTAGTTCCCTTGATCACAATGTTGTTGTTGGTACACTTAAAGGTTAGTTCCCTTGATCACAATGTTGTTGGTACACTTAAAGGTTAGTTCCCTTGATCACAATGTTGTTGGTACACTTAAAGGTTAGTTCCCTTGATCACAATGTTGTTGGTACACTTAAAGGTTAGTTCCCTTGATCACAATGTTGTTGGTACACTTAAAGGTTAGTTCCCTTGATCACAATGTTGTTGGTACACTTAAAGGTTAGTTCCCTTGATCACAATGTTGTTGTTGGTACACTTAAAGGTTAGTTCCCTTGATCACAATGTTGTTGGTACACTTAAAGGTTAGTTCCCTTGATCACAATGTTGTTGGTACACTTAAAGGTTAGTTCCCTTGATCACAATGTTGTTGGTACACTTAAAGGTTAGTTCCCTTGATCACAATGTTGTTGTTGGTACACTTAAAGGTTAGTTCCCTTGATCACAATGTTGTTGGTACACTTAAAGGTTAGTTCCCTTGATCACAATGTTGTTGGTACACTTAAAGGTTAGTTCCCTTGATCACAATGTTGTTGGTACACTTAAAGGTTAGTTCCCTTGATCACAATGTTGTTGTTGGTACACTTAAAGGTTAGTTCCCTTGATCACAATGTTGTTGGTACACTTAAAGGTTAGTTCCCTTGATCACAGAGTTGATCACAATCTTTGTATCTACTTAAGTGACATTTGTATGTTGACATGTTATAAATGTAAACAAAGCATTGTTGTGTACCCCATGTGTAGGCTACAAGGAACTCAGTACCTGTCCCACGCCACTGGTGCTACAAAAGGAAATACCTGCAGGGGAAAAGAGGTATAGAGAAAACACCTTTTGAGCTGCCAGACTTTATCAAAGCCACAGGGATAGAGGAGATGAGAGCTGCCCTCCAGGAGAAGGTTAGTACGTAACAGAATGAGCTGCTATGGCAGGACGTAACTTTGTTAGTACGTAACATAGAATGAGCTGCTAGGGCAGGACGTAACTTGGTTAGTACGTAACATAGAATGAGCTGCTAGGGCAGGACGTAACTTGGTTAGTACGTAACATAGAATGAGCTGCTAGGGCAGGACGTAACTTTGTTAGTACGTAACATAGAATGAGCTGCTAGGGCAGGACGTAACTTGGTTAGTACGTAACATAGAATGAGCTGCTAGGGCAGGACGTAACTTTGTTAGTACGTAACATAGAATGAGCTGCTATGGCAGGACGTAACTTTGTTAGTACGTAACATAGAATGAGCTGCTAGGGCAGGACGTAACCGCTGATGTGAAAATAGAGCAGACAGTATTCCAGTTGTTGGTAACTATGGTAACCAGATTGTTTTCATCTGTTGCAGGAGGATCAGAAGACACTCAAGTCCAAAATGCGAGAAAAAGTGCGACCAAAGATGGGAAAGATTGATATTGATTACCAGAAGCTCCATGATGCATTTTTCAGATTTCAAACCAAACCCAAAATGACAATTCATGGGGATCTGTACTACGAGGCTAAAGAGTTTGAAACCAAACTGAGAGAGAAAAAGCCTGGGAACCTCAGTGATGATCTCAAAATGGCCCTGGGAATGCCAATTGGAAATGTAAGCGGTTTCATATATTTCATCTACTAGCTTAATGTGTGAAATGGATGAGTTGAACATTTGATGTGTGAAATGGATGAGTTGAACATTTGATGTGTGAAATGGATGAGTTGAACATTTGATGTGTGAAATGGATGAGTTGAACATTTGATGTGTGAAATGGATGAGTTGAACATTTGATGTGTGAAATGGATGAGTTGAACATTTGATGTGTGAAATGGATGAGTTGAACATTTGATGTGTGAAATGGATGAGTTGAACATTTGATGTGTGAAATGGATGAGTTGAACATTTGATGTGTGAAATGGATGAGTTGAACATTTGATGTGTGAAATGGATGAGTTGAACATTTGATGTGTGAAATGGATGAGTTGAACATTTGATGTGTGAAATGGATGAGTTGAACATTTGATGTGTGAAATGGATGAGTTGAACATTTGATGTGTGAAATGGATGAGTTGAACATTTGATGTGTGAAATGGATGAGTTGAACATTTGATGTGTGAAATGGATGAGTTGAACATTTGATGTGTGAAATGGATGAGTTGAACATTTTTTGTGTGAAATGGATGAGTTGAAGATTTGATGTGTGAAATGGATGAGTTGAACATTTGATGTGTGAAATGGATGAGTTGAACATTTGATGTGTGAAATGGATGAGTTGAACATTTGATGTGTGAAATGGATGAGTTGAACATTTGATGTGTGAAATGGATGAGTTGAACATTTGATGTGTGAAATGGATGAGTTGAACATTTGATGTGTGAAATGGATGAGTTGAAGATTTGATGTGTGAAATGGATGAGTTGAACATTTGATGTGTGAAATGGATGAGTTGAACATTTGATGTGTGAAATGGATGAGTTGAACATTTGATGTGTGAAATGGATGAGTTGAACATTTGATGTGTGAAATGGATGAGTTGAAGATTTGATGTGTGAAATGGATGAGTTGAACATTTGATGTGTGAAATGGATGAGTTGAACATTTGATGTGTGAAATGGATGAGTTGAACATTTGATGTGTGAAATGGATGAGTTGAAGATTTGATGTGTGAAATGGATGAGTTGAACATTTGATGTGTGAAATGGATGAGTTGAAGATTTGATGTGTGAAATGAATGAGTTGAACATTTGATGTGTGAAATGGATGAGTTGAACATTTGATGTGTGAAATGGATGAGTTGAAGATTTGATGTGTGAAATGGATGAGTTGAACATTTGATGTGTGAAATGGATGAGTTGAAGATTTGATGTGTGAAATGGATGAGTTGAACATTTGATGTGTGAAATGGATGAGTTGAAGATTTGATGTGTGAAATGGATGAGTTGAACATTTGATGTGTGAAATGGATGAGTTGAACATTTGATGTGTGAAATGGATGAGTTGAAGATTTGATGTGTGAAATGGATGAGTTGAACATTTGATGTGTGAAATGGATGAGTTGAAGATTTGATGTGTGAAATGGATGAGTTGAACATTTGATGTGTGAAATGGATGAGTTGAACATTTGATGTGTGAAATGGATGAGTTGAACATTTGATGTGTGAAATGGATGAGTTGAACATTTGATGTGTGAAATGGATGAGTTGAACATTTGATGTGTGAAATGGATGAGTTGAACATTTGATGTGTGAAATGGATGAGTTGAACATTTGATGTGTGAAATGGATGAGTTAACTATCTGTTGATGTTGACTGGTGTGTGGATGATGTATGCTCATAGAATCTTCTTGAACCTTTTTTTTCCATTCCAGAATTCTGAGAAAGTTCCCCCACCTTGGCTGATTGCCATGCAGAGATATGGCCCTCCCCCCTCCTACCCCAACCTGAAAATACCAGGTCTTAATGCTCCCATTCCAGATGTAAGTCATGTCTTGTCATTTCATGTGCTGGGGGTGTCTTGTCATTTCATGTGCTGGGGGTGTCTTGTCATTTCATGTGTGGGGGTGTCTTGTCATTTCATGTGTGGGGGTGTCTTGTCATTTCATGTGCTGGGGGTGTCTTGTCATTTCATGTGTGGGGGTGTCTTGTCATTTCATGTGTGGGGGTGTCTTGTCATTTCATGTGTGGGGGTGATTTTTAACTTTTTTTTTTACTTAAAAATCATTGATTAACATTTTCACTCTTATGTATTATGTTTAGGCTGTATGTTTGATGATTATGTTTAGGCTGTATGTTTGATGATTATGTTTAGGCTGTATGTTTGATGATTATGTTTAGGCTGTATGTTTGATGATTATGTTTAGGCTGTATGTTTGATGATTATGTTTAGGCTGTATGTTTGATGATTATGTTTAGGCTGTATGTTTGATGATTATGTTTAGGCTGTATGTTTGATGATTATGTTTAGGCTGTATGTTTGATGATTATGTTTAGGCTGTATGTTTGATGATTATGTTTAGGCTGTATGTTTGATGATTATGTTTAGGCTGTATGTTTGATGATTATGTTTAGGCTGTACGTTTGATGATTATGTTTAGGCTGTATGCTTGATATGAATTTATTGCATTCTGACAGGGCTGTATGTTTGGTTATCATGCTGGAGGGTGGGGCAAGCCCCCAGTAGACGAACATGGCAAACCTCTGTATGGTGATGTCTTTGGTACACAGAGCCTAGACTTTAAGGTAAGCTTTAGCATGGCAAACCTCTGTATGGTGATGTCTTTGGTACACAGAGCCTAGACTTTAAGGTAAGCTTTAGCATGGCAAACCTCTGTATGGTGATGTCTTTGGTACACAGAGCCTAGACTTTAAGGTAAGCTTTAGCATGGCAAACCTCTGTATGGTGATGTCTTTGGTACAGGGCACTATTTTACTTCCCCTTTAAGACTACACTTTTTCAACCACAACCTTTTTTTAAACATATTTTAAAATAACCACTTATATATTAAAAAATATAATTAAAAATATTATATACAAAATTGGTTTTAGTTTATTATGTATGAAGTAAAATAAAATAGGTAACTAACAATACATTAAAATTACATAAATTCCAAAAAACTGAAACAAAATGCTTCTTCTATTATTTCTTTAAAACATGTATTTTAAATGCTAAAAAAATTAACAGTCATTGAAGCTACTTTCTTTTTCATTATCATTGTATTAGGTACAGTATAAATAAAGCCTAATTCAACAGCAAAGGCATTTTAGAATTAATTTCATCAATTATATAGCCCGTAATTTTGAAATGAAAATTCTTAACTTTAGAAAAATAGTAGAAAATGAACCACTAGTAAGGGAACGAAAAAAATGAAACTTTCTGATTCCCGCTTATGCCAGTATCTTCAAAATCTCATTACCAACCCAACTTCCACCACTACACGTAAATAAACATGTACCACATAGTTGAGGTGACCAGGGTGCATAGGTCAGGGTTCTTGTAAGTTGTAGTGTGGTTTATACAGTGTGATTCAACATAAAGCTAATGTTTACTCCCATTACAGAATGAAGTAGAAGAAGAAGAAATTGATAAAACTCAGTGGGGAGAACTGGAGTCAGAGTCAGAATCTGAAGAAGAGTCAGAGGAGGAGGAGGAAGAAGATAAGGATGAGTCAGGTCTCATTACACCAGCTGAAGGGCAAGTAGTTCAAATGTTGTTCTCTTTGTTCCCCCATGCTCAAACAAAATGTGTCTGTTCCCTCATGCTGATACAAAATGTGTCTGTTCCCCCATGCTGAAACAAAATGTGTTTGTTCCCCCATGCTCAAACAAAATGTGTCTGTTCCCCCATGCTGAAACAATGTGTTTGTTCCCCCATGCTCAAACAAAATGTGTCTGTTCCCCCATGCTGAAACAAAATGTGTTTGTTCCCCCATGCTCAAACAAAATGTGTCTGTTCCCCCAGGCTGATACAAAATGTGTCTGTTCCCCAGGCTGATGACACCTGGAGGTATCACATCTGTGCCACTTGGCATGGAAACACCCGACCAGATAGAGCTGAGGAAGAAAAGAATTGAGGACGCCATGGACCAGGGTGGGGACACACCAGCGCTGTACCAGGTCCTGCCTGAGAAAAAGACAACTGTGGGCGGGGCCATGATGGGCTCAGCTCATGTCTACGACATTTCTGCAGTAAGTCACAGTTTGATTCTCATGGGCTCAGCTCATGTCTACGACATTTCTGCAGTAAGTCACAGTTTGATTCTCATGGGCTCAGCTCATGTCTACGACATTTCTGCAGTAAGTCACAGTTTGATTCTCATGGGCTCAGCTCATGTCTACGACATTTCTGCAGTAAGTCACAGTTTGATTCTCATGGGCTCAGCTCATGTCTACATTTCTGCAGTAAGTCACAGTTTGATTCTCATGGGCTCAGCTCATGTCTACGACATTTCTGCAGTAAGTCACAGTTTGATTCTCATGGGCTCAGCTCATGTCTACGACATTTCTGCAGTAAGTCACAGTTTGATTCTCATGGGCTCAGCTCATGTCTACGACATTTCTGCAGTAAGTCACAGTTTGATTCTCATGGGCTCAGCTCATGTCTACGACATTTCTGCAGTAAGTCACAGTTTGATTCTCATGGGCTCAGCTCATGTCTACGACATTTCTGCAGTAAGTCACAGTTTGATTCTCATGGGCTCAGCTCATGTCTACGACATTTCTGCAGTAAGTCACAGTTTGATTCTCATGGGCTCAGCTCATGTCTACGACATTTCTGCAGTAAGTCACAGTTTGATTCTCATGGGCTCAGCTCATGTCTACATTTCTGCAGTAAGTCACAGTTTGATTCTCATGGGCTCAGCGCATGTCTACATTTCTGCAGTAAGTCACAGTTTGATTCTCATGGGCTCAGCTCATGTCTACGACATTTCTGCAGTAAGTCACAGTTTGATTCTCATGGGCTCAGCTCATGTCTACATTTCTGCAGTAAGTCACAGTTTGATTCTCATGGGCTCAGCTCATGTCTACGACATTTCTGCAGTAAGTCACAGTTTGATTCTCATGGGCTCAGCTCATGTCTACGACATTTCTGCAGTAAGTCACAGTTTGATTCTCATGGGCTCAGCTCATGTCTACGACATTTCTGCAGTAAGTCACAGTTTGATTCTCATGGGCTCAGCTCATGTCTACATTTCTGCAGTAAGTCACAGTTTGATTCTCATGGGCTCAGCGCATGTCTACATTTCTGCAGTAAGTCACAGTTTGATTCTCATGGGCTCAGCTCATGTCTACATTTCTGCAGTAAGTCACAGTTTGATTCTCATGGGCTCAGCTCATGTCTACATTTCTGCAGTAAGTCACAGTTTGATTCTCATGGGCTCAGCTCATGTCTACGACATTTCTGCAGTAAGTCACAGTTTGATTCTCATGGGCTCAGCTCATGTCTACGACATTTCTGCTGTAAGTCACAGTTTGATTCTCATGGGCTCAGCTCATGTCTACGACATTTCTGCAGTAAGTCACAGTTTGATTCTCATGGGCTCAGCTCATGTCTACGACATTTCTGCTGTAAGTCACAGTTTGATTCTCATGGGCTCAGCTCATGTCTACGACATTTCTGCAGTAAGTCACAGTTTGATTCTCATGGGCTCAGCTCATGTCTACGACATTTCTGCAGTAAGTCACAGTTTGATTCTGATGGGCTCAGCTCATGTCTACGACATTTCTGCAGTAAGTCACAGTTTGATTCTCATGGGCTCAGCTCATGTCTATGACATTTCTGCAGTAAGTCACAGTTTGATTCTCATGGGCTCAGCGCATGTCTACATTTCTGCAGTAAGTCACAGTTTGATTCTCATGGGCTCAGCTCATGTCTACATTTCTGCAGTAAGTCACAGTTTGATTCTCATCTCTCTGGCCAGACTTGTCCATTGAACTCTTGTTGTATGGGGTAGACACACATCCTAGCCTAACAATGATACACTGGATCTAAATAAATTCATTTTCCTGTGGGTCCCAGTAGAGGTTTGCTCACCAGGTCCTATTAATTTAAAGCTTATTTTGTTTGTTCACTCATTAGGTCCAATTAATGAAATGGGTTCTTTACTCATTTGGTCCAATTAATTAAACAACCTGTTTACTTAGTTAATATTAGTTAAATGGCTGTTTACTCATAAAATTGATTAAGTCATTAATTAAACAGCTTGTTTTTAACTCATTAAGTCCAATTAATGAAATGACTTACTGGTTAGGTCCAGCTAATGAAATGACTTAATGATTAGGTCCAATTAATGAAATGACTTACTGGTTAGGTCCAATTAATGAAATGACTTACTGGTTAGGTCCAGTTAATGAAATGACTTACTCACTGGCTAGGTGCAGAAAAAAGCAGGTGATAAACCCTCCGCTGAAGCTGTAGAAGTGTCCTTGAACCCTGAGGAGCTGGACCTGGACACAGCAGCCATGCAGGCCAAGTATGAGCAGACGGTCAGGGAGCAACAGTCACAGCTAGAGAAGGAGGACCTGAGTGATATGGTGGCAGCACATGCGGCTAAACAAAGGGTAGGTTAAACCATGGGGGAGCACATGCGACTAAACAAAGGGTAGGTTAAACTGGGGAGGGGGAGCACATGCGGCTAAACAAAGGGTAGGTTAAACCATGGGGGGAGCACATGAGGCTAAACAAAGGGTAGGTTAACCCATGGTGGCAGCACATGCGGCTAAACAAAGGGTTGGTTAAACTGTGGGGAGGGGGGAGCTAAATAAAGCACATTATCAGTATACTTTAAATGTGAGAGTCAGAGCAAGACAAAAATGTTGTTAAGTTGGTACATGTTGTGTTGTTTGCCTCAGGTTTAATGAGAACATTTTCTCTTTCATTCTAGAAAAGAAAAAAAGCGCAGCAGGACACTAGTAAAGGAGCTAAAAAATACAAGGACTTCAAATTTTAAAGGAATAACTTAGACCAACACATTGATTTTTGAAAATGGTTTGATTGTAATTCTGGGCCTGAGGGCAATCCTTGATGCCAATAGCACTGAGCCTGTGTTCTAGTAATCTGTGTGCCCCTGAGGTTAAATATTGTTACCTTATTGGTCATTTGTTTTAACAATGCTGGTCTTATGCCATGTTAATGTATCCAAATTTCATTTTGTCATTAAAACTTTTTACTCATATTCTTGAGTTGAATTCTTTTCAAACCTGATCAGAAGTTTTCAGCCATGTGGTTTGCATGCTTCTCAATTATATCAGCCGGCACCTAATACAGCCTCTTATTCATGTTTCACCACAAAACTGTTGTAGAAATGAGCCTCGCTCCTGACATCCATTCAGTTTTGACACCCATTTGAACATGCATTCAGTGCTCACCTCCACAGGTAACAACATAACATGCTGAGCTGTTTGACCAATTGAAAAGGTATGTTCTCACTGCCTGCAGTTGGGAATGGAATCTTTTGCTGCCTCTGATTGTAGTAGCCTACTGTATCCCTAGTGTAGGGCACTAATTTAAAAAATGTTGGCTCAAGGGGATCCCAGGTCACATGACCACCAAGGTGTCAAAGGATGCCTAGGTGAAATTTGACCATTGATTCGTCGTAACTCTCAGCGTGACACCAAATTAGTGTTATACTTAGTGCACAACCCCTTCTTTATCAAAACTTGTTTATGCCAGAAACCCTTCAGGTCGTCTCAACAACTTCGAAGTTTCATTTCGATATGGACGGTGCAGCAATATGGTAAGTCATACATAATTGCATTCATTTTTATATACATACAATTGGTCTATTACAACTCCATTAGTTTCAGCTATTTGTCTAGTACTTACACATTTTTAAACTAATTTTTTTAATGTAATTGAAAGATGTCAAAATAGATTATTTTCAAACAGTTAAGAAAACCCAAATTAAATTTGACTTCGCTTCCTAGATTTAAATTAATATTATTAGTTAATACAAAAACAAATCAATTGCTGGTATATTTAAAACAAATGTTTAATGAGTTACATTAACACATCAGTCTCTACTAGATCTATATACATTCACACATACAGGTCACAATGCACATTCACACATCATACAGGCCACAATACACATTCACACATACAGGCCACAATACACATTCACACATCACTTCTACAATCTCAACATCTTTGACAATCTCAACTCCTCTAGCTCCTTCTCTTCCTGTGCCACTTCATCAGCTCGTTTCTTCTGGAACTCTTTTAACTCCTCCACTGTAAGAGGACCCTTGACAACCTTGACATTGGGAAAGGAGTGGTGAAATTTATTTAGGATAAAAATGTTCTAGAAATAGCTATTTAAACATTATAGCAAAATAAAGAAGTGGGATCAGAATCTCAGGAAACAAAACTTGCTGTTTTCTAATACCATGGTGCCAGAGAGCTAAGAGATGTAAGACCATCTGATAAGACGCAAGCCAGTTGATTCAATTATCAGCCCAAATAAAACAAGTTTTAAAGAGAAGATGTGTGTAGTACCTGAATGCCGATATTGTGGGCCCTTCCAATAATGAGTTGACATAACTGCTGCAGTGTCATGCATGCATAGGTTGGGTCGTCTTTTTTTATCTTGGCTATTTCATACACATGTTTTAAAGTTGTTACCCCGCACACTTGTTTACCTGGGAACATTAGGGCGGTGTTACACATATAACATCCATCTAACAAAGTTAGGTCAGTTATACAATTATATAAGTTATAACATCCATCTAGCTAATTTAGGGCAGTAAGAGGGTAATTGCTTTAAATCAAATTGTTTAGCAGCAAATAGTATCACTAGATTAAAATAAAAAAACCTCAATTTGGCTTTTAATAAAATAGGACATTTTTATTATAACAAGTGTCATTCTGTTTTCATATTTTTTAAAGCAAGTCGCTATTTTTTGTTTGACAAGTTTGATAATAATAGCATTTAATATAATAACCTGCTTTAACCAAGCATGACATACACTAACCTGGTTTAGTAGCTCCTTTCTGAGCACCACATGCTTGCAATAAATAGTAGCTTATAGGTGGACCCAAGAACTTTAAATCGTATGTACGATCTGACTATAAACAAAATAAAAGCACATTGAGCCAAATACCTCAAAATCACAACAATACCTCAATACAGTGCTTTTACTTGCATGAAAACAAATTAATTTATATTATTAAAAAAAGCACTTTTAAAAAACATGGTATACCAACATAAAGTTGTAATATGGACTAAAATTATTTTTTAAAAAAAAACAGCTAAATTCAACAAATTTGATCAAACAGTTAAAAAATATTTGATATACATTTGCTGTTATCTCTGTTTTAATATTTATTCCTTGCTTAATATGTGCAGTCTTTTCATTGAAGTCTTTGCAAAATGCACCAATTTGTATCTGCATCTGTAAATAGAAAGTTAAAATGTCTCTGTTAGTATTTTCATTATGAGAGAAATTCTTTCAACTTTTTAAAAAAATTGCCTTAATTAATTATAAATAAAATTGTTTGAGTCATTAGTTAAACCCAGGACATTTTTAAAAATAAAATATTAATATAGATGTTTAGATCTAGATCTACTTACTAGATCTAGTACATAGATTTTTCTAGTAAATCTAATCTAGTAGTAGAGTATAATTAATAATATATAGATCTAGGCCTATCTAAAGTCTAATTAAATCACTTTTTAATAATTCTATTCAAATAACAATTCTACAATTACGCCTAATCCTAGTAATTATAATTAGACTTTAGAGTTTAGATTTAGTTTAAAAGATTAAATCTTATCTAGATCCTAACGACATTAGTAAAAGTTAAGTAAATTTATTCAAGTTAAATTTAGTTAAAAGTTAAATTACTTCGCTAGGCTAAGTAGTAAAAAATAGTAAGTACTAGATCTAGTTAGTACTAATAAGTAAGTAGTAGTAGGCCCATAGGAAAAAGTATTAGTTATAACTTATTATTAGGCCCTTATTTAATAAATTCAATAAGTAATAAAACTTAATTAATAGGCATAGGCCTAATTAATAGGAATTAATTATAGTATTTATAGGCCTATTTAATAGGCCTACTATTTATTTATTTAAATATTTAACTTTACAATAATTAATAGGCCCTAAGCCCTAAATAATTATTAATTATAATTAAATAGGCCTAACTGTAGGCCCCTTTACTAGATTAATCATAAGTAAGTATTTAAGTAAGTAGGGCCTAAGTAAGTATTATATAATATAGTCTAGTAAGTAATAATTTAATTTAATTATTTAACTTAGGCCTATCTTTTACTTTTTTTATAGGCCTAGGCCTAATATTGTAAAAATGTAATAATTTAAAATAAATGTTTTTGAACTTTTTGTTTAAATTTAAGGCTCACTGAATAATTATTAAAATTAATTAGATCTAGACTAGTATTCATTCAAATCAGTATTTTATATAGATATATACATACCTGTCCTAGCTCCGGTCCTAAGGGTGGTGCTGGTGTGGCTTTTCCAGCAGGAATAAGAACACTCAAAAATGTTTTACGCCTGACCTTTTCTATAACTTTCGCAGCACCTTTTTTAGCAGCCATCTTGTTAGAATATGAGAGTTACCGGTCTTTGTAATAGTGTATCGACCGAAAACAAACCCGTCACTTAAAAAATTAGCAACCAAATTTTTATTTAGTTGCATATTATAAACCTTCACGCAAAAGAAAGTGTTTATGATTGTGAATAATATATTTGGTTAAGCCTGCTTAGAAAGTAATAATTAGTGAGTGCTCTATTGCCGACGAAGAGAACACAATACTCTAATACAGAACAAACTCCATGGAGGTATAAGCATGCATGATATACAAACAAAAATAGACACTTTTAGACTGAAATATATTGCAAATGTTATAAATGAACCACATTACCATCCATTAGCGCACTACTATATCTATATAGGAATTCAACTAAATAAATTATCCAAATTCAATAATAACTCCCCCCATTATGCAGGAACACAACTAAATACCTTTCATGCACAATGCATAAACATTATTAAAGGGAATGAAGCTCTATTAAAAGAAACAAGTAAACAAATCTATAAAAATCTAGTTAAAAAACTACAAACTCCATTATATAATAGAATATCTTGGTGCAAAATGTTTTTGGATATTGATGTAAAGGATACATTTAGAAATCTACATTTGAAAAATATAACTCCAAAGGCCAGGGAAATAACATATAGACTAATTTTCAACACAACACCTATTATTAAGTTTCAAAAAGCTAAATGTCATTTATGTAAGGTACATTTGGAAACAGAATTGCATCTCTTCCTAGAATGCCCCTGTATATTAATAATGAAACAGATCTTAAAAAATATAGTTAGCTGTAACAATCAAACCTGGAATGTTAATCTATCAATTTGTTTAAATAAATATCCTATACCTGTGCATTCAAACAGAAGTGATTTAGAGTCAAAAATAACAATGCAAATTTAAAACCCCATGACCTAGTTTTCTATTTTTAGCTTACAATGTGTACAATAAAATCTATGACGGCCTATCCAATAGCAGGATGCCATTGTTTATGTCGCCATTACACGTAAAAATAATATTCAGATGATTTTATTAAAATTTCCAACTATTTTCTTTTTATAAGCTTTTATTTAGAATCTTAGTTACAATGTCTCTACTTTATGTCCGTTCTTGCAAATAGTGTACTTCGATTTTGACCCACTTCTAATGGAATGATTTTGTTTAAAATGTTCAGATACATTCACCTTCAAAGAATATGCAAGAGTTGATATGATCTACCAATTTTAGAATGACTTGAACTTGCTCCAAATCTCAAAGCTCCATCTACACTTTTCACTTGTGAGCAAAAAGTGAATTATCTACTCAACACACGCAAAAAGTGAATTATCTACTCAACACACACAAAAAGTCAATTATCTACTCAACACACACAAAAAGTCAATTATCTGCTCAACACACGCCATAAGCAAAAAGTGAATTATCTACTCAACACACGCAAAAAGTGAATTCTCTACTCAACACACGCCATAAAGAAATATTCATATAGTCACTGAAGACGTTTGGACCTATAGGATGAAGTAACTTGTAAACGTTTGTGGGCTGGTCCAAACAGCAGATACTTACATCAGTGAAATATATTGCAGTGACAATGGGGTTAAAGTTCAATGTTTGGACAGTAGCACAATGTCCAGCTACCACCAGATCAGCTGATAACACTTGCTCTACCACTAGACCGTATCAGCACCAGAACTGGTCATCATGTATTACATTGTAGCATCTATTACAACATAACAATGGCTGATGTAATCTACAACATAAAAATGGTAGATGTAATCTACAACATAACAATGGCTGATGTAATCTACAACATAACAATGGTAGATGTAATCTACAACATAACAATTGATGTAGAACTGCTAATTGCAATGCCAATAGGTTTTTTTAATTAAATTAAAAAAGATGAAGCCTTTAAAAGAAACAAATTTAATATAAGTCAGTGACTTCATTACATATGCAAAATTACATTTTAAAAGATCAGAAAACTATGATTTCTTGATGAATGATGGAATGTAACCCAGCTGAGAAATGTATGAAGAACTGGCACAGTGTAGCTGATTTTAAACTGCTGTGACTGTTATCAAATGTTGGTTTACACCTAGACCTAAGGTTGTTTAGTCCAGATTTGATCAAAGAACCAATACAGGGCAAATATAAAGACATGAACTCTGTTGACTGACTCATCAAACATGAGTTTCCTCCCCTCCTCCACTGTGACCTCCACTACATCAATCATCTCCCCTTCACTGGCCACACCCCCTCCACTTGCGACTTTCATGGTGTCTGTGATCTCTGCATAATACAAGTGGAGCAGACCGCCTGATGTCCCCACACCACTTCTGTCAATAGACATTTCAATTCTATTTTATACACCACTTCTGTCAATAGACATTTCAATTCTATTTTATACACCACTTCTGTCAATAGACATTTCAATTCTATTTTATACAACACTTCTGTCAATAGACATTTCAATTCTATTTTATACACCACTTCTGTCAATAGACATTTCAATTCTATTTTATACACCACTTTTGTCAGTAGACACTTCAATAATTTTAAGCAATCTTTACAAACTGTGTTGTCAGTATAAACAACAGATAACGCTAAGATTAGTTCAGTTACAAATGTTCAGCTTTTCATACCTGCATGTTGTTATTTTCTTAATATTTTCAATGGGGACCTCATAGCCACATTCCTCCATGATCTCAGACTTGGCAATTTCTGGAACTGACTTGTCTTTGTCAATGATGCCAGCACACAGCTCCATGGTCAGGCCCAGAGTGCCAGGGTACTTGTCTGTGTCCACTGTCTCAATGCCATCCTTGACCTCAGTCTGCACCATGTTGATGTAGATAGCTGGGAACAGATGGCAAGGCTTAGTTTTTAAAACGTCATTAAAAAAATTATTGTAAAAAACAAACGCCATGCCAGTAATACTGATACAAACTTTTCTAGGGCAAGGGACAGCTGGTTAATTAATAATGACTAAAAATGTTTTTCACACACCTGGGCGAAACTGGCGAACAAAAACAAAAACATTCCTTGTGATGTTAAACAGTAAGATGGCTACCCTGTGTGGAAGAGAAAAATTCATCACTCACTGACACACAAGGTTAGACATCAATCACTCACTGACACACAAGGTAAGACATCAATCACTCACTGACACACAAGGGAAAACATCAACTAATATTTTACAGCCCAGGGTAAAGGTTGGGAGAAAAAAGCAGAAAAAAAAACCTAACGTAAAATTGGTCTGACTCCTATACAACTGTAATATAATATATACTAATTGAAGAGAAATTACTGGATAACTGGGAGAAGTTGAAGGACAAACACTGGTTAAACTATATATTTTCTATATACATTCTATATTTTGTCTGGGAAGGAGGGGAGAACTGTATCTTAGCTCAAAAATGACTGAAAGAAACTCTACGTAGATCTACATCTCTACAAAATAAAAATAAAACTTTTTAATACTCTGTAATGCATCAGTTTTCATTTAAATGAACAATATCATTTCATTTATGTGGACATCAGGAAAGCCTTGTCCTAGTAATAGTTTTGTTTGGTTACAAAAATGTGCAAACAAGATTTTATGAGCAATCAACTTTTTGACTCTTACAGTGTTATCTAAAAGAAAATTTAGTTTTATTATTTTTAGTGCATAACAAATTTTTTAAAATGTTTTTAAGCTGAAGAGAAAATATCTTCAATTTCTTTACCCATCATACACTTTCATTGCATCCCAAATTTTCTCAACACCATTCTGAAAAAGAAAGTTACAAAAAATTAGGGTGTCGCCTAAGATTTTAAACTTCATTATTGTTCATGATGACTTACAGAATTAAAAACTTCATGATTGTTCATGATGACTTAAAAAATTAAAAACTTCATTATTGTTCATGATGACTTAAAAAATTAAAAACTTCATTATTGATCATGATGACTTAAAAAATTAAAATCTATATTTATTTACCTTTAATTTGATACCAATATTAATTATCCGATTTAATCAGTAGCCTAGAAGAAAATGATTTGTGAAAAAGCGCGTTTGTTTTTAAATGGCTACGATGATAAGACTAATTTTCAGTGATATGTGGGTTAGTTTTTTAAGGAGTGTTATTGTGATACTATTGACCGTTCACTGCTGTTCAGAAATGTGCCATCTGCTAGATTTCTCCTAATTTAAATACACTGTAGGCAAAATGGACGGGCTTAAGTAGCTGTTGTCTCGATCAAGTTATTTTTTAAAGGTTTTATTTTACCCTGCAAGATTTTAAAAACATTAATGACAATAGTTTAATAGAAAGTAAAAAAGTAAAAAGTAAAGTTCCCTTTTTAAACCTGACGGTCTATAGGGCAAGCGAAGTAGAGTTCACATGTTTCTGTGACCTCGGCATATGAAGAGATAAGGTGGTCAGCACTATGCCCAGCCACCTTTACTTTCCCTAACGTAAGTTAGGTACCCATCAGAGTTGTGTGGATTCAGGGACGGTCTACTAACTTGAACCTTGATTTGAACTCGAGACTTACGAGCAGTCCAGCTCTCTACCACTAGACCACTGTCCCCTGTTTAATAGAAAGCAAGTTATAATTTTCCTATAGTTTAGAATATATTTTCAGTATGTTTAGAACAATATTAAATAAAATTTATAAAGCAATTCACGTTTTGCTTACTTTTATTAAGTTCTGCTCGATATTCTCAGTGATTAGACAAAAAATGTACAAATGGCAACTTTGCAGAGCCGGCGTTAGGCATACGCGGGGCCTAGTGCCAACCATCCGCGGGGCCTGCTTTTTCCATTATATAAATAGCCTATATATATATATATATATATATATATATATATATATATAATATGTATGCACAGTTTTGGAGTCTATAAGCTAATGCCAAACTTCTCACTTTGATAACAAATTTATTTCTCCAACATTTTAACCCAATGTTCTTAATTTTATTTCCTAAGATTAAGATATTAAATAGTTTTTGACAGTTATGTAATCGATGCCAACTCACTTTAATCACATGCCAAAAATTAGGACAAAGTTGTTTTAAATGTTTGATAATGATCAATAGTTTATATAAAAGTCATGCGTTTTAGGTGTATTTAAAAAAGAGACTGTACCGTTTGTAAGCGCTTAATTTGAGACAAATTACAATATCAAAAAAACTAAAGTAATTAAAGTTAAAACAAATAGAAAAATATTGATAGCTTCGGACTTAGCTCAAATCGGGAATAAACACTGGTTACGAATGGTGAAAGCACACTCTATGTTTATGGATGTCCAAAAGAAATTTTTCTCAAATGTAATCTCGGGCGTTCAGTTTTTACAATAAAGCGAAATCGGCCCAATGTATCAAAACAGTTTGGACATCAAAATGTGTTTAGAATCCGTACAATATTTTAAAACCAAAATCATTCATGGTCTTAACTATTGTAAAGGATATCCTTCAATAAAAAAATGTGCGTTTATTAATGACTGCAATATCACTGCCCTTCATTGACGCCCCTTCCTCCATAAAAGTTGTGCGACGCGGACCATTCGATGACTATATTATGTCAGCACCATTGGAAACGATTGTATATAACAATTTGAATGAATTCGGTAAATTAATAATTCTGTTTGGGAACGGATGAATCCTTAAGAAGACACAACATAACGACATTTTTATTTTTCTTCCAAAAAATAAATAATAAATCACTCTGTTGGAAGCCTCCCTCCCACCCCCAGCCCAGTCGCCCTCCTCCCAACCCCTATGCCCGCCACTGAATGTTAATTTTGTTATACCAAGACAAGTAGGCCTACATATACGACAACTACAACAGGACTAGCGTTCATCAAGTTACTGACTGTCTACTATAAGCATCACGCCTGTTCACTACAAAACGTCTTCATCGGGCCGCATACAATAGGATATCTCTTTATGTGTTTTCCAAATTTTCCTCCCTGCTCAGGTCGGGGGCTAATTCGAGGCCACCCATCTCCAGTCACCTCAGGTCAAATGAGAAGCGACAGTACCCTTCACACAGGGAGGTGTGTGACACTATAGTTTACGGCCTATCCCAGTTTAGGTGGGTGATATTTCACTAACATCAACCGTGGCCTCAGTTATAACAATCAACAACGTCGGCCTTCGAACATTTAGTTTTTCCCAAGTGAATTTATTAATTAAGTTTACAAACTAATTCAGATAACAGTGACGGTGCTGAAGCGCGGGGCCCCTCTAAGCGCGGGACCTGGGGCGACCACCCCGTTCGCCACCCCCAAACGCCGGCTCTGCAACTTTGCATCAATCACTATGATTAATCGTTCATAGTTAAAACTAGACCGGTATCGTTGAATAATATGCAAAAATAACAATTTTATTTTTAAGTATTTATTTCTGAAATGACCATAAAACATTGCTAAAAAAAACGTATCACTGTATTGTCATTTTAGGCAGCCACATTACCATGACGACGGTAAAAAGAAGTAGGTCAAGCGACAACCTACAAAAAATTGATTTCATTTTTAGGCTCAGTTTTTAACTTAGATTATTAAGTTTAGAATGATGTTAGTAGTATAATTAAAATAATTAAGGCCTAACTAAAACTATTATTTCTATTATTATTATGAAAGTTAGGTATTAGTTAGTATTATTATTAATTATTAATATTATTTAGTATTAGTCAGTATTAGATTTATTAGATCTAGAAGAATTACTACCACTACAGTATATTAAACTATATTACAGTCATTACTAGATTCTAGATCTCTATATTACATTACGTCATTACGTATTACGAGTATTACGTATCCGTAGTCACTAGACTAGACTAGTCAGTAGTAGATTTAGTATTTACTACTATTTACTTAATATTTATTTATTTAATATTTATGTTGGTTGCACCTAACCTGTTTGTAAAATATTCTTTTTGGTTTTATGTACTTAGATTCGCCACAAGCTTTGACAGTTACTTCCTTTATATCGTCCATATTCAAAATTAATTTAATCTAAATAAAAACTAGAAATAGCAAAGTATTAAAATGATAAAATTTCCCATGCAACGCATCGTACTCGTAGCATATACTCTATCTATTTCTAGATCTAGATCTATATTATTCTATAGATCTATATTAATATTTGTTTATATAAACAAATTACATTATTACTTCCCTTCACATTTTTCGTATTGCCATATTGGCATATTGGCGTCAATTCACACGTTTATATTTGCTTATATATAAATATAAATATAAATATATATATATATATATATATATATATATATATATATATATATATATATATATATATATATATAAGCTTGTAATCGGGTAATTTAGTAATTAGCTTTCAGATACAAAATAGCATTTACTGTAGTTTGAAAGTTTAACCTCAGTATGTACAAAGAACTGTACAATTGTCGAACCGGAGATGTCAACAAACAAGCTCTCACTAGTTACCGTCTTTTAATTTAAATTTCAAAATTCATAAAATGTACTATTTTAGAGAATATAATGAAGGCGCAGAACGTGGGGACTATGGGCATTCTGTCAGAGGTAAGTTTGTAAGATATTTACCAAATTAGCATTAGTTAAGCTCCTTTCTGCAGATCTAAATTTACTTTACTACTTACTTGTACTTCGTACTGACACTGTGTTACTGTACTGTTGTACTGTAGTACTAGTACGGTAGTACCACTGTGTAGTGGCACTTTAGTGTCTTAGTTAGTACTTATTTTTATTTTTTTAAGCCGCCGCTAACGCTGGTCTCATGTACTTAGCAGCCATGCCATGCTATTAGACTACTACTACAGTAATACTAGTAGTACTATTAATTACTACTAGGTCGTAACTTGAGCTAAGTGTTACCTAAAATAATTATTTTTGACAGAGAGAGCGTTTGAAAGCATTGAAGAACTAAGCACAAATCTAGATGGGAGCCCATCAGGTCTGGCAAGTGGAGGGGACTCGAAGCATTACTTGAGGAAGTCTGTACACCCCAGGATACTGACTTGGGAGGATGGAAACATTGAGGAGCCTCGACACACGGAGGCAGCAACTCAGCTTAAAAACACATTGTTTGCTTCAGTTAGGTTACTTCCTTTTTCCTTGGTTACTATTATAACAATGCACATTGTGGGGTTGAATTTTAGAGTCTAAAGTTCAGTTGAATGGTTTGTAGAACTTCCTTGATTGAACTTAGCACTGATGAAAACCTGACTGAAGTTAAGGAAAGTATAAGTATACCATACTTTCGTATGTGGATGTTAAAGAAATGGATGAACTCAGCTTAATATACCCTTTGAGTGCTCTACAATATTACATTATTACCCATCTGATTACGGATGGAATATTCAATTGGAAATATTCGACTAACAACCATTTTAACAATTTATTAATAAAGTAATCCTTTATTTAACTAGATCTGCATCATTTAAAAACAAAATATTCTGTGTACATTACCAACACCAAGAGAAACTTTTGGCATACCTTTCAGATGTCAGCCCCACCAGGACCTCTGCCAAGTCCAGGAGAGGCTGCGACCCTTCTAAAGAACCAGGTGGTATACACAGCCCAGCTGGAGGCCGAGGCTCGTTATGTCAAGGTGTGCTGTGTTTACCTGTAGCATTCTGTATTTACACTCAAACGCACTTGTATGTATTTATTATGTTAGAGTTAGATCTTGGAACTTTTGTCTGTTTTTGGATTTTAAAAGTTCAAATAAATCAAAGGATAACATGATGTATAAAATCAACAACTATAACAAAGGGAAAGTTAGTATTTTTATTTCTATTATTAGTGACATTGTTATTACTTTAAATCTACTTATTTATTGTACTGAAATGTGCCATGCAGTCATGCACCATTTTTATGTCTAACTTGAATGAAAATCTAGGAGGAAATGGCTGTCATCAGAATGAAGCTGGCTGAGGTTTTAGAAGAGAACCGACAGTTACACAATGAACTCAAGACAACAGTGGTCCACGACATCCTTAAAGATGGAGGGGAGATAATTGATGTAAAGAATCTCTGTTTCATCACGTTGGATTTTCTGCTTTGTCCATTGGTTTTATTGTCATCAGCATCTAAATACTTTAATTAACATTTGAATCTGATCTTTACCACTGAAAACTTTAATTAATATCTGAATCTGTTCTTTACATCTGAAAACTTTAATTAATATCTGAATATCTGAATCTTTCAGGTTATGGGTAACTTGGACCAAACATTTGAATCTTCAGCCTCTGCCATGACACGACATGACTTCAAGCGCTGGCAAGTTGAACTGGTCAGTTCTTTTCTTCTGTGTTCTCTACTTAAATCTGGATATAGTGTCTCTTGTAATACAATTATCTAGCCAGTTTTCTCTACTTGAATCTGGACATAGTGTCTTGTAATAAAATTATCTAGCCAGTTTTCTCTACTTAAATCTGGACAGAGTGTCTCATGTAATAAAATTATCTGGACAGTTTTCTGTAAGACTGATTTCTGTAGGGAACAAATATTTGAAGGAATAATATAAAAAAACCAATGTAAGAATCTATGACCAAATTTTCCAGGAAAGATTGAGTCAACTCCACGCTGCCAAATGTGAACGTTTAGAGACCCAGTTGGATTTCTCCAAGTGAGTTATTACATCATTGGTTTCTTGCGCTCAACATTTTTTAGGTATTCATCACAGATCTGATTAAAGCCCTAATCTTGTCCCCCACAGATTAAAGCCCTAATCTTGTCCCCCACAGATTAAAGCCCTAATCTTGTCTCTTACAGATCTGAGGTAGAGAAGCTGGGCCAGATGGTGGCAGAGCTTAAGGCCCAGCTCAGGGTCCAGGAGTCCATCCCCACCCACGAGAACGGCTTCTCCCCCCTGACTTTCCTGTCTGAGACAGAGAGAAACGTCACCCACAGGACCATAGAACATTTGAGCAAGTAGGACATTCTTGGTACTGTAGGACATCTCTTGGTACTGTAGGACATCTCTTGGTACTGTAGGACATCTCTTGGTACTGTAGGACATCTCTTGGTACTGTAGGACATCTCTTGGTACTGTAGGACATTCTTGGTACTGTAGGACATCTCTTGGTACTGTAGGACATCTCTTGGTACTGTAGGACATCTCTTGGTACTGTAGGACATTCTTGGTACTGTAGGACATCTCTTGGTACTGTAGGACATCTCTTGGTACTGTAGGACATTCTTGGTACTGTAGGACATTACTGTAGGACATTCTTGGTACTGTAGGACATCTCTTGGTACTGTAGGACATCTCTTGGTACTGTAGGACATCTCTTGGTACTGTAGGACATTACTGTAGGACATTCTTGGTACTGTAGGACATCTCTTGGTACTGTAGGACATCTCTTGGTACTGTAGGACATCTCTTGGTACTGTAGGACATCTCTTGGTACTGTAGGACATCTCTTGGTACTGTAGGACATTCTTGGTACTGTAGGACATTCTTGGTACTGTAGGACATCTCTTGGTACTGTAGGACATTCTTGGTACTGTAGGACATCTCTTGGTACTGTAGGACATCTCTTGGTACTGTAGGACATCTCTTGGTACTGTAGGACATCTCTTGGTACTGTAGGACATCTCTTGGTACTGTAGGACATTCTTGGTACTGTAGGACATTCTTGGTACTGTAGGACATGTATAGTTGCTACATCTGATAGGACCATAGAAGATTGAACTGTTTGTCTTCAAATTTCCTTCACAGGGAGAGAGATGAACTGATGGATCATGTGACCTCCCTTAAAGGTCAGTTGAAGGTCATGTCGCAGCGAGAAGAGGAGGCCTATCAGCAGATGAAGAAAGGAATACAGCTGGTAGAGCAAGCACAGCTGGAGCAGACACAGGTGGGTGGGATGTCTGTTGTCCAGTGTCACAAATTGTCAAGTGTGTTGGTCAAATTGTCAAGTGTGTTGTCCAAAGTATCAAGTGTGTTGTCTAAAGTATCAAGTGTGTTGTCTAAAGTGTCAAGTGTGTTGTCTAAAGTATCAAGTGTGTTGTCCAAAGTGTCAAGTGTGTTGTCTAAAGTATCAAGTGTGTTGTCTAAAGTGTCAAGTGTGTTGTCCAAAGTATCAAGTGTGTTGTCTAAAGTGTCAAGTGTGTTGTCTAAAGTATCAAGTGTGTTGTCCAAAGTGTCAAGTGTGTTGTCCAAAGTATCAAGTGTGTTGTCTAAAGTGTCAAGTGTGTTGTCCAAAGTGTCAAGTGTGTTGTCCAAAGTGTCAAGTGTGTTGGTCAAAGTGTCAAGTGTGTTGTCCAAAGTGTCAAGTGTGTTGTCCAAAGTGTCAAGTGTGTTGTCCAAAGTGTCAAGTGTGTTGTCCAAAGTGTCAAGTGTGTTGTCCAAAGTGTCAAGTGTGTTGTCCAAAGTGTCAAGTGTGTTGTCCAAAGTGTCAAGTGTGTTGTCCAAAGTGTCAAGTGTGTTGGTCAAAGTGTCAAGTGTGTTGTCCAAAGTGTCAAGTGTGTTGTCCAAAGTGTCAAGTGTGTTGTCTAAAGTGTCAAGTGTGCTTTCCCCAGGCTCTGGTCCAGAAAGAACAAGTGTCTGATGAGCTGAAGAGAACGAGGGAGAGACTTGACAATTACATCAGGGAATCCCAGACGTTAATTAGGGCAGAGAGGGAGACGGCGCGGCGAGAAAATCAAACTCTGGTGGAAGATCTCAACAGCAAGGTGGGCTCGTTTGACCTGTCTATTTGTGTTGACTCAGCTAAGGGTGGTACAAATTTGACCTGTCTATTTGTGTTGACTCAGCTAAGGGTGGTACAAATTTGACCTGTCTATTTGTGTTGACTCAGCTAAGGGTGGTACAAATTTGACCTGTCTATTTGTGTTGAATCAGCTAAGGGTGGTACAAATTTGACCTGTCTATTTGTGTTGACTCACAAATTTGTCTTACAGCTTCAGGAGCTGGGACAACACTACTCCCTGCTGCAGGCCAAGTATGAGAAGGAGGTCAGGGAGAAGGCTGGTCTCAGCAGTGAGCTGAGTGAGCTCAAGTCACAACTGCGCACCTGTGACAGGGAGGTGACCGTGGTAAGTACACCTGTGACAGGGAGGGGACTGTGGTAAGTACACCTGTGACAGGGAGGGGACTGTGGTAAGTACACCTGTGACAGGGAGGGGACTGTGGTAAGTACACCTGTGACAGGGAGGGGACTGTGGTAAGTACACCTGTGACAGGGAGGGGACTGTGGTAAGCACACCTGTGACAGGGAGGTGACAGTGGTAAGTACACCTGTGACAGGGAGGGGACTGGTAAGTACACCTATGACAGTGAAAGTACACAGTTAATTATCTTGAATAAGTTTGTCAGTCAGTCAGCCATAGTTGAGCCATGATTTTGTCCACATCAGACAGCAGAGAGCTACAGGACTGAGACGACCAATGCCTCGCTACAGCGCAACTCTGCCCTGTATGAGTCCAACAGATTGAGGTGTGAGCTGGAGACAGCAAGACATGAATACGAGCAGGTGAGATACACGATGTAGGACACCATGTTTTCTTCTGGTGATTGTTGGCATGAATTAAAGTTTGAAGGATGATTGGTAATAAAACACTTTTCATTATAGTTATGGTTTATTTACTTTCTCGTATATACGAAGTATAGAGAAAGTATTGTTTTACATCTCACTGATACGGAAAAACATAATTTTGCAATCTTGTCCGTATGTCTGTCTGTCTGTCTGTCTGTCTGTGTGTGTGTAAACACGATAACTTGAGTAACGTTACAGTAAGGTTGATGAAATTTCATATATAAGTATTTTATCAAAATCGTAGATCCGTATTAACTTTTGAGCGATTTCCAATAACCGGAAGTGGTACTTTTCCTACTTTGAAATTTTCAAAAGCCTATAACTTGAGTACCATTTCAGATAGATAAACGAAATTTCACATTTAAGTAAAAGATCTAATTCTCTACCTTCTGTTAAATTTTGAGTCATTTCCGTTGAACGGAAGTAGTGATTTACGCTACTTCCGATTTCTCAAAAAACTAATGTAAATTACTAATAATATGCACTTTTTTATTTAGTGTTCACTTGGTGTGCAATTCTTTTGTCTACGAGATTTTATTCTATTTTTAAAACTTTAAGTATTTAAAATGGATTAAAAATCATGTCTATAGCCCGAGTTCCCATTCCCTGTTATTTTATATAAAAATATTCGAGAAAGTTTAGGGGAGATCACTCCCGGTTTATTTTTTCTTGGTTTTATGTGTGGATATCCCAACAGTTGGACCATTTTAGGGAAAGTGTTGTCTCCGTTATTGTGTGCCCTCTGTCAGATGTGAGTTGTCTCCCCTCTGTCAGATGTGAGTTGTCTCCCCTCTGTCAGATGTGAGTTGTCTCCTCTCTGTCAGATGTGAGTTGTCTCCTCTCTGTCAGATGTGAGTTGTCTCCCCTCTGTCAGATGTGAGTTGTCTCCCCTCTGTCAGATGTGAGTTGTCTCCCCTCTGTCAGATGTGAGTTGTCTCCCTTATTGTGTGCCCTCTGTCAGGTGTGAGTTTTCTCCCCTCTGTCAGATGTGAGTTGTCTCCTCTCTGTCAGATGTGAGTTGTCTCCTCTCTGTCAGATGTGAGTTGTCTCCCTTATTGTGTGCCCTCTGTCAGATGTGAGTTGTCTCCCCTCTGTCAGATGTGAGTTGTCTCCCCTCTGTCAGATGTGAGTTGTCTCCCCTCTGTCAGATGTGAGTTGTCTCCCCTCTGTCAGATGTGAGTTGTCTCCCCTCTGTCAGATGTGAGTTGTCTCCTCTCTGTCAGATGTGAGTTGTCTCCCCTCTGTCAGATGTGAGTTGTCTCCCTTATTGTGTGCCCTCTGTCAGATGTGAGTTGTCTCCCTTATTGTCTCCCCTCTGTCAGGTGTGAGTTGTCTCCTCTCTGTCAGATGTGAGTTGTCTCCTCTCTGTCAGATGTGAGTTGTCTCCCCTCTGTCAGATGTGAGTTGTCTCCCTTATTGTGTGCCCTCTGTCAGATGTGAGTTGTCTCCCCTCTGTCAGATGTGAGTTGTCTCCCCTCTGTCAGATGTGAGTTGTCTCCTCTCTGTCAGATGTGAGTTGTCTCCTCTCTGTCAGATGTGAGTTGTCTCCCCTCTGTCAGATGTGAGTTGTCTCCCTTATTGTGTGCCCTCTGTCAGATGTGAGTTGTCTCCCCTCTGTCAGATGTGAGTTGTCTCCCTTATTGTGTGCCCTCTGTCAGATGTGAGTTGTCTCCCCTCTGTCAGATGTGAGTTGTCTCCCCTCTGTCAGATGTGAGTTGTCTCCCCTCTGTCAGATGTGAGTTGTCTCCCCTCTGTCAGATGTGAGTTGTCTCCTCTCTGTCAGATGTGAGTTGTCTCCCTTATTGTGTGCCCTCTGTCAGATGTGAGTTGTCTCCCCTCTGTCAGATGTGAGTTGTCTCCCCTCTGTCAGATGTGAGTTGTCTCCTCTCTGTCAGATGTGAGTTGTCTCCCCTCTGTCAGATGTGAGTTGTCTCCCCTCTGTCAGATGTGAGTTGTCTCCCCTCTGTCAGATGTGAGTTGTCTCCTCTCTGTCAGATGTGAGTTGTCTCCCCTCTGTCAGATGTGAGTTGTCTCCTCTCTGTCAGATGTGAGTTGTCTCCCCTCTGTCAGATGTGAGTTGTCTCCCCTCTGTCAGATGTGAGTTGTCTCCCTTATTGTGTGCCCTCTGTCAGATGTGAGTTGTCTCCCCTCTGTCAGATGTGAGTTGTCTCCCCTCTGTCAGATGTGAGTTGTCTCCTCTCTGTCAGATGTGAGTTGTCTCCTCTCTGTCAGATGTGAGTTGTCTCCCCTCTGTCAGATGTGAGTTGTCTCCCTTATTGTGTGCCCTCTGTCAGATGTGAGTTGTCTCCCCTCTGTCAGATGTGAGTTGTCTCCCTTATTGTGTGCCCTCTGTCAGATGTGAGTTGTCTCCCCTCTGTCAGATGTGAGTTGTCTCCCCTCTGTCAGATGTGAGTTGTCTCCCCTCTGTCAGATGTGAGTTGTCTCCCCTCTGTCAGATGTGAGTTGTCTCCTCTCTGTCAGATGTGAGTTGTCTCCCTTATTGTGTGCCCTCTGTCAGATGTGAGTTGTCTCCCCTCTGTCAGATGTGAGTTGTCTCCCCTCTGTCAGATGTGAGTTGTCTCCTCTCTGTCAGATGTGAGTTGTCTCCCCTCTGTCAGATGTGAGTTGTCTCCCCTCTGTCAGATGTGAGTTGTCTCCCCTCTGTCAGATGTGAGTTGTCTCCTCTCTGTCAGATGTGAGTTGTCTCCCCTCTGTCAGATGTGAGTTGTCTCCTCTCTGTCAGATGTGAGTTGTCTCCCCTCTGTCAGATGTGAGTTGTCTCCCTTATTGTGTGCCCTCTGTCAGATGTGAGTTGTCTCCCCTCTGTCAGATGTGAGTTGTCTCCTCTCTGTCAGATGTGAGTTGTCTCCCCTCTGTCAGATGTGAGTTGTCTCCCCTCTGTCAGATGTGAGTTGTCTCCCTTATTGTGTGCCCTCTGTCAGATGTGAGTTGTCTCCCCTCTGTCAGATGTGAGTTGTCTCCCCTCTGTCAGATGTGAGTTGTCTCCCCTCTGTCAGGTGTGAGTTGTCTCCCTTAATGTGTGCTGATGTGAGTTGTCTCCCCCTAGGAAATGAGCCGCAGCAAGATTGAGGTGGATGACCTGAGGCAGAGGTTGACCAAGGCTGAGAGAGAGTTGATCAACTCCAAGGAGGAGTGCATTCACATGACATCCAACATCCAGGCTTTAGAGAGGGAGGTACGTTGTTGGGGGAGGGAGGTGGGTTGTTGGGGGAGGGAGGGAGGTGGGTTGTTGGGGGAGGGAGGTGGGTTGTTAGGGGAGGGAGGAGGGTTGTTGGGGGTGGGTGGGAGGGAGGGAGGTGGGTTGTTGGGGGAGGGAGGGAGGTGGGTTGTTGGGGGAAGGTTGTGGGGGGTGGGAGGGAGGTGGGTTGTTGGGGGAGGGAGGTGGGTTGTTAGGGGAGGGAGGGAGGTGGGTTGTTGGGGAAGGGTGGGAGGGAGGTGGGTTGTTGGGGGAGGGAGGTGGGTTGTTGGGGGAGGGAGGTGGGTTGTTGGGGGAGGGAGGTGGGTTGTTGGGGGAGGGAGGTGGGTTGTTGGGGGTGGGTGGGAGGGAGGGAGGTGGGTTGTTGGGGGAGGGAGGTGGGTTTTGGGGGGGGGGGTTGGGGGAGGTGGGTTGTGGGGAGAGGGAGGTGGGTTGCTGCACATGGTTTTATTGAAATACACAATTTATAATGTCATTATATTTAAAATACCGATACATTTTGATTGGTTGTCTCTCTGATACCTGTAGCTCCACCTAGCCAAGATGGCTAGGGACACAATAGAGAGGTCACGCTTGGATGACCTGAGGTTGATACAGAAACAGGCCCAGGACAGGGAACAGGAGGTCACCATGAGGATGGAGGAGGCTGAGGACAGACACAGTGAGTTTTTGTTTGACCCAGGGGCAACCGTGTCCCAGGTGGTTTAACATTGTGACAGGTGGTGACTTTTGGTATGACCATGAAACCATGTGACAGTTGGTTTAACCATGTGACATTGGTTTAACCATGTGACAGTTGGTTTAACCATGTGACAGTTGGTTTAACCATGTGACAGTTGGTTTAACAATGTGACATTGGTTTAACCATGTGACAGTTGGTTTAACCACGTGACAGTTGGTTTAACCACGTGACAGTTGATTTAACCATGTGACAGTTGGTTTAACAATGTGACAGTTGGTTTAACCATGTGACAGTTGGTTTAACCATGTGACAGTTGGTTTAACCATGTGACAGTTGGTTTAACAATGTGACAGTTGGTTTAACAATGTGACAGTTGGTTTAACCATGTGACAGTTGGTTTAACCATGTGACAGTTTGTTCAACTGTTGAACAGACCAGGCCAGCCATGAGATGGACACCATGCTGATGAAACAAAGCAAGCTGATCCTCAAGCTGCGGGAGGAGTGCAAGAAGCAGGGCCAGCACCTGGAGAAGACAGTCAAGAAATACAGGTACACGTTTGCATACAGGTACACGTTTGCATACAGGTACACGTTTGCATACAGGTACACGTTTGCTTACAGGTACAGGTGTGCTTGGGTCGGCTGCTGGGGTCAGGTAGTGGGCCAGTTGACAAGTGGCATGTGACCCACATGTTGACAGATGTCATGTTGATAATGTCATGTCACCTCCATGTTGATAATGTCATGTGATCTTCATGTTGATAAATGTCATGTGACCTCCATGTTGATGAATGTCATGTGACCTCCATGTTGATGTGTCATATTACCTCCATTTTGATAAATGTCATGTGACCTCCATGTAAATAGATGTCATGTGACCTCCATGTTGATGTGTCATTTGACCTCCATGTTGATAAATGTCATGTGACCTCCATGTTGATAAATGTAATATGACCTCCATGTTGATAAATGTCATGTGACCATGTTGATGTGTCATATGACCTCCACGTTGATGAATGTCATGTGACCTCCATGTTGATGTGTCATATGACCTTCACATTGATAAATGTCATGTCGCCTCGATGTTGACGTGTCATATGACCTCCATGTTGATAAATGTCATGTGACTTCCATGTAAATAGATGTCATGTGACTTTCATGTTGATTATGTCATGTGACCTCCATGCTGTGTCATATGACCTCCATGTTGACAAATGTCATGTGACCTCCATGTTGATAAATGTCATATGACCTCCATGTTGATAAATGTCATGTCACCTCGATGTTGATGTGTCATATGACCTCCATGTTGATAAATGTCATGTCACCTCCATGTTGATAAATGTCATGTCACCTCCATGTAAACAGATGTCATGTGACCTCCATGTTGACAGGTCAGAGAATGGGAAGCTGCAACAGACCAACACAGAGCTGACCAAACGCCTAGAACGCTTGAGCCAGCGCCTGACAGAGCTGGAGGACCAGACAGACCAACACACCAGGGTCCACGACAAGATGAGGGAACGTCTCAAGGTCATGGACGAACAGGGACAGAACCAGGCAGTTCAGGCTAGTCCTACATGAACATCTAACCCAGCTCAATGTCTGTCTGTCCCCAGCTCTAATGTCTGTCTAATTGAGTCCCCAGCTCTAATGTCTGTTTAATTGTGTCCCCAGCTCTAATGTCTGTCTGTCCCCAGCTCTAATGTCTGTCTAATTGTGTCCCCAGCTCTAATGTCTGTTTAATTGTGTCCCCAGCTCTAATGTCTGTCTGTCCCCAGCTCTAATGTCTGTCTAATCGTGTCCCCAGCTCTAATGTCTGTCTGTCCCCAGCTCTAATGTCTGTCTAATCGTGTCCCCAGCTCTAATGTCTGTCTAATCGTGTCCCCAGCTCTAATGTCTGTCTAATCGTGTCCCCAGCTCTAATGTCTGTCTAATCGTGTCCCCAGCTCTAATGTCTGTCTAATTGTGTCCCCAGCTCTAATGTCTGTCTGTCCCCAGCTCTAATGTCTGTCTAATTGTGTCCCCAGCTCTAATGTCTGTCTAATCTTGTCCCCAGCTCTAATGTCTGTCTAATCATGTCCCCAGTGCTAATGTCTGTCTAATCGTGTCCCCAGCTTGTTGAAGCTCTAACCAAGTTCAGCCAAGTGACAAGAGATCGCCAGCTTTTGGCCAGAGAAGTTGAATTTCTGCGCTCACAGCTGCACCGAGCCAATCAGGTTTCTCCAGATATACTACGCCTCAACTCCTCCTCTAAGGCGTTAGTGGATGACATTCTTAACACTATGACCAAGGATGAGCGGGACGGAACCATTTCTCTCATTCCACAACTTCGCTTTGAGAGAAGTGATCCTCCAGAAAAAATTTCTGTGGAAGATTTACGTCCTGAATAACACCTTCCACCTCAGACCATACTCAGTCATTCAAGATTGTAAGGAAAATGTTATCAAAGTGTAATGAAAATGTTTTGAACATGTCATGAAAATGTTATGGAAGTGTAAGGAAAATGTTATGAACGTGTAAGGGAAATGTTATGAACGTGTAAGGGAAATTTTATGAACGTGTAAGGAAAATGTTATGAACGTGTAAGGAAAATGTGATGAAAGTGTAAGGAATATGGAACTATCTATTGCAGTTGAAGAAACTTGTTGATTGGGGCCCAATAGATTGTGAATGTTTGATTGGTGGCCATGGAGTTTGTAACCCTGGTATTCTTTGTTTGAGTTGATCCATTGATGACATCCATTCTACAGCTAGGATGGCATACAGCACATCAATATTAGGACATCGACCACTTTTACCTGGCCACCCTTAGCCTCACCTGGCCACCCTTAGCCTCACCTGGCCACCCTTAGCCTCACCTGGCCACCCTTAGCCTCACCTGGCCACCCTTAGCCTCACCTGGCCACCCTTAGCCTCACCTGGCCACCCTTAGCCTAACCTGAAGTGGCCAGATACAATTATCTGCCCCGGCAGCATGACTCCTCCTGTCAATGATAGCAATTACACCCCTGTGATACAGTACATGGGATAACAGTTTTATGAAGTTGCTGTCCAACCATTTTATCCTGAGTTGTATGATTGCTGAACCACAGATCTAACCTAGACTGACCACTCAACTAAGATTACAGTTAACCCTCCGCAGTCCTCTGGTTGCCTTAACTATGTATATAACTTCTATTTATGTGTTGTAGTGGAAGCCTCATTGAGAATTTGAAGATACAAGCGAAGCAGGAATTAGGAATCTTTATGGTTGTTTTTTTTTTCTTCAGTACAAGCAACATAATTAATGAAATCCAAAACAAATCAAATGCCTCTGCCATTGAATCGGGCTTTTTTTCCCCACGTTTTCTTTAACTTGCTTTCGCGTCTGTTTGTTTGTCTTTCCATCAAATCTTGCGATCGAAATTTCGGGCACTTCCCAGTTAGCTAGCGCGCTGAAATTTTCAGGGAAGCTTTGTTTCCGATGACAATACAATATTCAATTATTATTATTACTAAATTGATCCATGGAAAAATTTTATTGATCATTTTAGACTCTTATTGATTTGTACAAAAAAGGGACATAACCTAGTAATTGTAATTTGATAAAAACAAGGTTCGGTACTTTCCCTCTTCTGAAATCTACTTTTTAGTTCAATCAGAAAACGTGGGTTTTTTTTTTTTAAATTTAATGATAATTATTGCCTAATAAAGTGACATTGAAACAGAAAGTAGCTCCAGTGACTGTGCTGAATTTTTTTGTAGCATTTAAAATACATTTTTTTTAATAGAAATAGCAGTAGCAGTAGTGTGGTGTCTTAGTTTTTCACGGATTAGTGTAATTTTTATTTATTATTCTATTTTACCTCATACATAATAAACTCAGACCAATTTTGTGTATAATGCTTTTTTTTTAAACACAAGTCGCTATTTTTAAATAATCCTTTTTTAAAAAGTGGCGTGGTTGAAAATGTGTCGTCTTTTTGCCAACCGTAGGGGAAGTAAAAAGTGTTCATGGTTAAAGAACCTGGCCATGTCTTACCTGTCTACTAAGGGCCACAACTTTAGCTGACAATATTGTGTTAGTGTAAATGTATGTATTATTAATCTCCTATGTAGAAAGAAAAATCTATTCCGCAACATTCCTCACAAGGAACCTGCTCATGTGTAGAATAGATTTAGCAGCAATCAATCATCCCTGAACTGAGTTCTTCATTAGTTTGTGATCTTTGTTTGACATCCTCAGAAGTCTAGACATCTCATTTCCAGGGTCTTGATTCTTCTGTTTAGGTCTGCATTGAGGGTCCATGAAAGACATGACCAGTGACCACAAGAGTTGAACTTTTGTGTTAGAGGTATTTTTGTCAAATACATTTAGTATGCAATGTGCTGAAGATGACTTGTACAAAGTTTTTTTTTTTTTTACACAATTATTGTCCATGTAGTCTTTACTTTAATGTTCTATCAGTCTTGTGTTCTGACAGTGTTAGGATCCGGGTATGTTTGTTGTGTCTTCTTATGTTGAAACCCTAATGCAAGCTCTGATAAAATGATATGCCACATGGAGTCGTACAGACAAGGGTAGAGACAGGGGCAAGCCTCCTGGTGCACAGAAGAAAGAACACATGGACAACTTCATAAGTAACATCAAACATTTATTTCTTGAAATCATAGCCAATTCTAAACATTCAACACTTGCACTTCATAACTTGGTATCTGAGAGAGGAAAAAGATGGGGAGCTGTCTTCAAATTATGGGGACAGTGGAAAATGTCAGATTACATAGGGGATACAATTCATAGAAGGTAGACATGGGATGGCATGGTTGGATGCTCATTTTGCACATGATTGCTAAAGTCTCGAGTTCCGATCTCAAATTGTAAGTCCATTTGACATCACTGAGTGAGTCCACCCAGCTCTGATTAGGGAAAATTATGTTGACTGGGCATATTAAGGCTAATTAAGGACAGCATTATCCCTTTATATGTCAAGCTCATTGAAACAGATTAACTCTACTTCTTCTGACTCATGTGTCTTGGGAACCATGGGGAGACTTGATTAGAGTAACTGACCCACCAAAAACATCTTTGCCACCCGAAGGGCTAGGTGTGGCACCAGGCTCAGTTTTGCCATCTGTACCAGCATCAGCGGTACCATCTTTGTCCTGTGCAGCATCAGGTGTAACATCTGTTATGTCTGTCCCCCCTGGGCTACTGGCAGCATCAGGTTGGAACTCACCCTGCTCATCATCTTTATTTTCTTCAGCTCTTTGTTCCTGACAACCACAAAGTTAACATTTGTTAACATTTGTTCTGACAAGCACAAAGTTAATATTTGTTCTGACAAGCACAAAGTTAACATTTGTTCTGACAACTACAAAGTTAACATTTGTTCTGACAACTACAAAGTTAACATTTGTTCTGACAACTACAAAGTTAACATTTGTTCTGACAACTACAAAGTTAACATTTGTTCTGACAACTACAAAGTTAACATTTGTTCTGACAACTACAAAGTTAACATTTGTTCTGACAACTACAAAGTTAACATTTGTTCTGACAACTACAAAGTTAACATTTGTTCTGACAACTACAAAGTTAACATTTGTTCTGACAACTACAGAGTTAACATTTGTTCTGACAACTACAGAGTTAACATTTGTTCTGACAACTACAAAGTTAACATTTGTTCTGACAACTACAAAGTTAACATTTGTTCTGACAACTACAGAGTTAACATTTGTTCTGACAACTACAAAGTTAACATTTGTTCTGACAACTACAAAGTTAACATTTGTTCTGACAACTACAAAGTTAACATTTGTTCTGACAACTACAAAGTTAACATTTGTTCTGACAACTACAGAGTTAACATTTGTTCTGACAACTACAAAGTTAACATTTGTTCTGACAACTACAAAGTTAACATTTGTTCTGACAACTACAAAGTTAACATTTTTCTGATAAGCACAAAGTTGATTAATATTTGATAACACTGTAAAACTTCCTGTTCTGGAATAAAGCAACAAATCAACTGATATCCACGTAAGGTAGTGAAGTAATCCAACCTTACACTGACCACGTGAAGCAGTGAACTACCATAACACTAATGTAATCCAACCTTACACTGACCACGTGAGGCAGTTAACTACCATAACACTAATGTAATCCAACCTTACACTGACCACGTGGGGCAGTTAACTACCACAACACTAATCCAACCTTACACTGACCACGTGAGGCAGTTAACTACCACAACACTAATCCAACCTTACACTGACCACGTGAGGCAGTTAACTACCATAACACTAATGTAATCCAACCTTACACTGACCACGTGATGCAGTTAACTACCATAACACTAATGTAATCCAACCTTACACTGACCACGTGAGGCAGTTAACTACCATAACACTAATGTAATCCAACCTTACACTGACCACGTGATGCAGTTAACTACCATAACACTAATGTAATCCAACCTTACACTGACCACGTGGGGCAGTTAACTACCACAACACTAATCCAACCTTACACTGACCACGTGAGGCAGTTAACTACCATAACACTAATGTAATCCAACCTTACACTGACCACGTGAGGCAGTTAACTACCATAACACTAATGTAATCCAACCTTACACTGACCACGTGGGGCAGTTAACTACCATAACACTAATGTAATCCAACCTTACACTGACCACGTGGGGCAGTTTACTACCACAACACTAATCCAACCTTACACTGACCACGTGAGGCAGTTAATTACCACAACACTAATCCAACCTTACACTGACCACGTGAGGCAGTTAACTACCATAACACTAATGTAATCCAAGCTTACACTGACCACGTGAGGCAGTTAACTACCATAACACTAATGTAATCCAACCTTACACTGACCACGTGGGGCAGTTAACTACCATAACACTAATGTAATCCAACCTTACACTGACCACGTGGGGCAGTTAACTACCATAACACTAATGTAATCCAACCTTACACTGACCACGTCAGGCAGTTAACTACCATAACACTAATGTAATCCAACCTTACACTGACCACGTGAGGCAGTTAACTACCATAACACTAATGTAATCCAACCTTACACTGACCACGTCAGGCAGTTAACTACCATAACACTAATCCAACCTTACACTGACCACGTGAGGCAGTTAACTACCATAACACTAATGTAATCCAAGCTTACACTGACCACGTCAGGCAGTTAACTACCATAACACTAATGTAATCCAACCTTACACTGACCACGTGAGGCAGTTAACTACCATAACACTAATGTAATCCAACCTTACACTGACCACGTGGGGCAGTTAACTACCATAACACTAATGTAATCCAACCTTACACTGACCACGTGAGGCAGTTAACTACCATAACACTAATGTAATCCAACCTTACACTGACCACGTGAGGCAGTTAACTACCATAACACTAATGTAATCCAAGCTTACACTGACCACGTGAGGCAGTTAACTACCATAACACTAATGTAATCCAACCTTACACTGACCACGTGGGGCAGTTAACTACCATAACACTAATGTAATCCAACCTTACACTGACCACGTGGGGCAGTTAACTACCATAACACTAATGTAATCCAAGCTTACACTGACCACGTGAGGCAGTTAACTACCATAACACTAATGTAATCCAACCTTACACTGACCACGTGGGGCAGTTAACTACCATAACACTAATGTAATCCAACCTTACACTGACCACGTGAGGCAGTTAACTACCATAACACTAATGTAATCCAACCTTACACTGACCACGTGAGGCAGTTAACTACCATAACACTAATGTAATCCAAGCTTACACTGACCACGTGAGGCAGTTAACTACCATAACACTAATGTAATCCAAGCTTACACTGACCACGTGAGGCAGTTAACTACCATAACACTAATGTAATCCAACCTTACACTGACCACGTGAGGCAGTTAACTACCATAACACTAATGTAATCCAAGCTTACACTGACCACGTGAGGCAGTTAACTACCATAACACTAATGTAATCCAAGCTTACACTGACCACGTGAGGCAGTTAACTACCATAACACTAAAGTAATCCAACCTTACACTGACCACGTGAGGCAGTTAACTACCATAACACTAATGTAATCCAACCTTACACTGACCACGTGAGGCAGTTAACTACCATAACACTAATGTAATCCAAGCTTACACTGACCACGTCAGGCAGTTAACTACCATAACACTAATGTAATCCAAGCTTACACTGACCACGTCAGGCAGTTAACTACCATAACACTAATGTAATCCAACCTTACACTGACCACGTGATGCAGTTAACTACCATAACACTAATGTAATCCAAGCTTACACTGACCACGTCAGGCAGTTAACTACCATAACACTAATGTAATCTAAGCTTACACTGACCACGTGAGGCAGTTAACTACCATAACACTAATCCAAGCTTACACTGACCACGTGAGGCAGTTAACTACCATAACACTAATGTAATCCAAGCTTACACTGACCACGTGAGGCAGTTAACTACCATAACACTAATGTAATCCAAGCTTACACTGACCACGTGGGGCAGTTAACTACCATAACACTAATGTAATCCAAGCTTACACTGACCACGTGGGGCAGTTAACTACCACAACACTAATCCAAGCTTACACTGACCACGTCAGGCAGTTAACTACCATAACACTAATGTAATCCAACCTTACACTGACCACGTGATGCAGTTAACTACCATAACACTAATGTAATCCAAGCTTACACTGACCACGTCAGGCAGTTAACTACCATAACACTAATGTAATCCAAGCTTACACTGACCACGTGAGGCAGTTAACTACCATAACACTAATCCAAGCTTACACTGACCACGTGAGGCAGTTAACTACCATAACACTAATGTAATCCAAGCTTACACTGACCACGTGAGGTAGTTAACTACCACAACACTAATCCAACCTTACACTGACCACGTGAGGCAGTTAACTACCATAACACTAATGTAATCCAAGCTTACACTGACCACGTGAGGCAGTTAACTACCATAACACTAATGTAATCCAAGCTTACACTGACCACGTAAGGCAGTTAACTACCATAACACTAATGTAATCCAAGCTTACACTGACCACGTGAGGCAGTTAACTACCATAACACTAATGTAATCCAACCTTACACTGACCACGTGAGGCAGTTAACTACCATAACACTAATGTAATCCAACCTTACACTGACCACGTGAGGCAGTTAACTACCATAACACTAATGTAATCCAAGCTTACACTGACCACGTGAGGCAGTTAACTACCATAACACTAATGTAATCCAACCTTACACTGACCACGTCAGGCAGTTAACTACCATAACACTAATGTAATCCAAGCTTACACTGACCACGTGGGGCAGTTAACTACCATAACACTAATGTAATCCAAGCTTACACTGACCACGTGAGGCAGTTAACTACCATAACACTAATGTAATCCAACCTTACACTGACCACGTGAGGCAGTTAACTACCATAACACTAATGTAATCCAACCTTACACTGACCACGTCAGGCAGTTAACTACCATAACACTAATGTAATCCAAGCTTACACTGACCACGTGAGGCAGTTAACTACCATAACACTAATGTAATCCAAGCTTACACTGACCACGTGAGGCAGTTAACTACCATAACACTAATGTAATCCAACCTTACACTGACCACGTGAGGCAGTTAACTACCATAACACTAATGTAATCCAACCTTACACTGACCACGTCAGGCAGTTAACTACCATAACACTAATGTAATCCAAGCTTACACTGACCACGTGAGGCAGTTAACTACCATAACACTAATGTAATCCAAGCTTACACTGACCACGTGAGGCAGTTAACTACCATAACACTAATGTAATCCAACCTTACACTGACCACGTGAGGCAGTTAACTACCATAACACTAATGTAATCCAAGCTTACACTGACCACGTGAGGCAGTTAACTACCATAACACTAATGTAATCCAAGCTTACACTGACCACGTGAGGCAGTTAACTACCATAACACTAATGTAATCCAAGCTTACACTGACCACGTGGGGCAGTTAACTACCATAACACTAATGTAATCCAACCTTACACTGACCACGTGAGGCAGTTAACTACCATAACACTAATGTAATCCAAGCTTACACTGACCACGTGGGGCAGTTAACTACCATAACACTAATGTAATCCAACCTTACACTGACCACGTGGGGCAGTTAACTACCACAACACTAATCCAACCTTACACTGACCACGTGAGGCAGTTAACTACCACAACACTAATCCAACCTTACACTGACCACGTGAGGCAGTTAACTACCATAACACTAATGTAATCCAAGCTTACACTGACCACGTGAGGCAGTTAACTACCATAACACTAATGTAATCCAACCTTACACTGACCACGTGAGGCAGTTAACTACCATAACACTAATGTAATCCAAGCTTACACTGACCACGTGAGGCAGTTAACTACCATAACACTAATGTAATCCAACCTTACACTGACCACGTGGGGCAGTTAACTACCATAACACTAATGTAATCCAAGCTTACACTGACCACGTCAGGCAGTTAACTACCATAACACTAATGTAATCCAACCTTACACTGACCACGTGATGCAGTTAACTACCATAACACTAATGTAATCCAAGCTTACACTGACCACGTCAGGCAGTTAACTACCATAACACTAATGTAATCCAACCTTACACTGACCACGTGAGGCAGTTAACTACCATAACACTAATGTAATCCAAGCTTACACTGACCACGTGAGGCAGTTAACTACCATAACACTAATGTAATCCAAGCTTACACTGACCACGTGAGGCAGTTAACTACTATAACACTAATCCATGCTTACACTGACCACGTGAGGCAGTTAACTACCATAACACTAATGAAATCCAAGCTTACACTGACCACGTGAGGCAGTTAACTACCATAACACTAATGTAATCTAAGCTTACACTGACCACGTGAGGCAGTTAACTACCATAACACTAATCCAAGCTTACACTGACCACGTGAGGCAGTTAACTACCATAACACTAATGTAATCCAAGCTTACACTGACCACGTGAGGCAGTTAACTACCATAACACTAATGTAATCCAACCTTACACTGACCACGTGAGGCAGTTAACTACCATAACACTAATGTAATCCAAGCTTACACTGACCACGTGAGGCAGTTAACTACCATAACACTAATGTAATCCAAGCTTACACTGACCACGTGAGGCAGTTAACTACCATAACACTAATGTAATCCAAGCTTACACTGACCACGTGGGGCAGTTAACTACCATAACACTAATGTAATCCAAGCTTACACTGACCACGTGGGGCAGTTAACTACCATAACACTAATGTAATCCAAGCTTACACTGACCACGTCAGGCAGTTAACTACCATAACACTAATGTAATCCAAGCTTACACTGACCACGTCAGGCAGCTATCATAACACTAATGTAATCCAAGCTTACACTGACCACGTGGGGCAGTTAACTACCATAACACTAATGTAATCCAAGCTTACACTGACCACGTGAGGCAGTTAACTATCATAACACTAATGTAATCCAACCTTACACTGACCACGTGGGGCAGTTAACTACCATAACACTAATGTAATCCAACCTTACACTGACCACGTGATGCAGTTAACTACCATAACACTAATGTAATCCAAGCTTACACTGACCACGTGAGGCAGTTTACTACCATAACACTAATGTAATCCAACCTTACACTGACCACGTGAGGCAGTTAACTACCATAACACTAATGTAATCCAAGCTTACACTGACCACGTGAGGCAGTTAACTACCATAACACTAATGTAATCCAACCTTACACTGACCACGTGAGGCAGTTAACTACCATAACACTAATGTAATCCAAGCTTACACTGACCACGTGGGGCATTTAACTACCATAACACTAATGTAATCCAAGCTTACACTGACCACGTGAGGCAGTTAACTACCATAACACTAATGTAATCCAAGCTTACACTGACCACGTGAGGTAGTTAACTACCATAACACTAATGTAATCCAACCTTACACTGACCACGTGGGGCAGTTAACTACCACAACACTAATCCAACCTTACACTGACCACGTGAGGCAGTTAACTACCATAACACTAATGTAATCCAAGCTTACACTGACCACGTGAGGTAGTTAACTACCATAACACTAATGTAATCCAACCTTACACTGACCACGTGGGGCAGTTAACTACCATAACACTAATGTAATCCAACCTTACACTGACCACGTCAGGCAGCTATCATAACACTCATTGAAAAACTTTGCCTACCTGAATTGTTTTTTCAGCTAAAGGGAAGTAAGACTGCATGAGCTTATGGTAAATATCTTTGTCTTTTTTCAAGAAGAGGCACATGATGATTCTGTCAACCTGTTTATTTAAAAAATGGATCAAATGTTATATTAGAAAGTGTTTGGTTACATTAGACAAATGTTCCAAGAAAAATTGGTCTGAAATGTTAGAAAGTGTGTGGTTACATTAGACAAATGTTCCAAGAAAAATTGGTCTGAAATGTTAGAAAGTGTGTGGTTACATTAGACAAATGTTCCAAGAAAAATTGGTCTGAAATGTTAGAAAGTGTGTGGTTACATTAGACAAATGTTCCAAGAAAAATTGGTCTGAAATGTTAGAAAGTGTGTGGTTACATTAGACAAATGTTCCAAGAAAAATTGGTCTGAAATGTTAGAAAGTGTGTGGTTACATTAGACAAATGTTCCAAGAAAAATTGGTCTGAAATGTTAGAAAGTGTGTGGTTACATTAGACAAATGTTCCAAGAAAAATTGGTCTGAAATGTTAGAAAGTGTGTGGTTACATTAGACAAATGTTCCAAGAAAAATTGGTCTGAAATGTTAGAAAGTGTGTGGTTACATTAGTCAAATGTTCCAAGAAAAATTGGTCTGAAATGTTAGAAAGTGTGTGGTTACATTAGACAAATGTTCCAAGAAAAATTGGTCTGAAATATTAGAAAGTGTGTGGTTACATTAGACAAATGTTCCAAGAAAAATTGGTCTGAAATATTAGAAAGTGTGTGGTTACATTAGTCAAATGTTTTGGCCCCTTGCCTCACCTCCTTGGCGTACTCCTCCTCCTCCAGCCATCCCCTGATAGTGCCCAGAGCCACCTTAGCGGCATCTTCGTTAGGGTAGCCTGCAGGTGTACAAGGTTAGTTATAAATAGTCTGCAGGTGTACAAGGTTAGTTATAAATAGCCTGCACGTGTACAAGGTTAGTTATAAATAACATGCAAGTGTACAAGGTTAGTTATAAATAGCCTGCACGTGTACAAGGTTAGTTATAAATAGCCTGCACATGTACAAGGTTAGTTATAAATAGCCTGCAGGTGTACATACTACAAGGTTAGTTATAAATAGCCTGCAGGTGTACAAGGTTAGTTATAAATAGCCTGCATGTGTACAAGGTTAGTTATAAATAGCCTGCAGGTGTACAAGGTTAGTTATAAATAGCCTGCATGTGTACAAGGTTAGTTATAAATAGCCTGCATGTGTACAAGGTTAGTTATAAATAGCCTGCACGTGTACAAGGTTAGTTATAAATAGCCTGCAGGTGTACATACTACAAGGTTAGTTATAAATAGCCTGCAGGTGTACAAGGTTAGTTATAAATAGCCTGCAGGTGTACAAGGTTAGTTATAAATAGCCTACAGGCGTACAAGGTTAGTTATAAATAGCCTGCAGGTGTACAAGGTTAGTTATAAATAGCCTGCAGGTGTACATACTACAAGGTTAGTTATAAATAGCCTGCAGGTGTACAAGGTTAGTACATGTACAGATTGGACAATAAATGGACAATCATAACTCAGTAGGTAAAGTTTTGTACAAATGTTGGCATATACTAAAAAATGAATTGACTTACCAAATATTCCTGTGGAAATACAAGGAAAAGCCTGAAACAAATTATTTCAATTTGAGATATTTTTAAAGTATGTAAATATGGGAAAATACAGAAATCTTCAAGTGATTGGAAAATTAACAGCCAACTACTCACAATACTTTTGAGCTTGTGTTCTTTCAAGATACTCAAACAGTTCTTGTAGCATAGCTCTAGTTTATCTGGATCTTTCCTCCTGGGGCCAACTGTGTGAATGATATCTGCAACAAGCCAGCAACATTTTTAGTGCCTACACAAGACTCAAACACTAAGAAATCAGCAACACAAGACTAAATCAATGAGCAAGAAAACCTGTAACCCTAGTCTAGTACCAGTAGGCTGTCGCAAGACTTACTTTTTTTTACCGTCGTCATGGTAATGATGCCCGCCAAAAATGACTATAACAGACTTCCATTTATTAACGTTTCATGGTAACTTCAACAACACATACATTACTTTTGCATTTTATTCAAAGAGACAGATCTAGTTTTAACAATGGACGAGTAGTGTTTCAGTGTTTGGTGTAAATTCAGAACATTAACATAAGAAAAATGTAAATTTCTGTATTTAATACTATTCTGGCAATACTTTGAGATTATCATTAATAGTACATTATATATTATGTCCTACAAAACTAATTACATTAATTTAAAAAATTCTGCAGGCTAAAAAATAAATTCATTATAAAATATAACTTGATCAAGACAACAGCCAACTAAGCCCGCCCAATTAGGCCGTTGTGTATTTGAATGAAAAGAAATCTAGATGACGAATAATTTCTGCTGAACGGTCAATCACGTCACAACAACACTCCTTAAAAGCGAACCCACTGTATCAGTCTTAGCGTTGTAGCCATTTAAAAATAAACACACTTTTTCATTTACTAGGCTACCGATAAATTTTGGTAATTAAAATTGGTATCAAATTAAAGGTATTTAAATGTAGTTTTAAATTGTTTAAGATATCTAGAAAAATAATAAAGTTTAAAATCTTAGGCGTCACCCTAAGTACAAGAGCTGACCCTCAAGGAGCAACAGCTGATCATTATGTGCTAACTGGAGGCCATCTGTACATCAAGGGAAACAACTCACATTTAGCAGGCAGTTTAAAGCCACCAGTTAGTTTTGCTTCCCCTGCATCACAGCCACCTAGTCCCCTGCACTCATCCACAAGGATGGGCCCAGCTGCTGTGTGGATGGCGCCATCAACTGCAGAAGGAAAAGTAAATAAACGCAACATGACTGCAGGCACTTGTATGTTCATCTATCTGTGAGATGGCCTAAACAATAGTTGCTAAGATCATTCAATGTCAGAAAGTTAGACAACTACCAATATGACTGTGAGAAAGTGACAACTACCAATATGACTGTGAGAAAGTTAGACAACTACCATATGACTGTGAGAAAGTTAGACAACTACCATATGACAGTGAGAAAGTTAGACAACTACCATATGACTGTGAGAAAGTTAGACAACTACCATATGACTGTGAGAAAGTGACAACTACCATATGACTGTGAGAAAGTTAGACAACTACCATATGACTGTGAGAAAGTGACAACTACCAATATGACTGTGAGAAAGTTAGACAACTACCATATGACTGTGAGAAAGTTAGACAACTACCATATGACTGTGAGAAAGTGACAACTACCATATGACTGTGAGAAAGTGACAACTACCAATATGACTGTGAGAAAGTTAGACAACTACCATATGACTGTGAGAAAGTGACAACTACCATATGACTGTGAGAAAGTGACAACTACCATATGACTGTGAGAAAGTAAAACAACTACCATATGACTGTGAGAAAGTGACAACTATCATATGACTGTGAGAAAGTTAGACAACTACCATATGACTGTGAGAAAGTTAGACAACTACCATATGACTGTGAGAAAGTGACAACTACCATATGACTGTGAGAAAATTAGACAACTACCATATGACTGTGAGAAAGTTAGACAACTACCATATGACTGTGAGAAAGTGACAACTACCATATGACTGTGAGAAAGTTAGACAACTACCATATGACTGTGAGAAAGTGACAACTACCAATAAGACTGTGAGAAAGTTAGACAACTACCATATGACTGTGAGAAAGTGACAACTACCATATGACTGTGAGAAAGTTAGACAACTACCATATGACTGTGAGAAAGTGACAACTACCATATGACTGTGAGAAAGTTAGACAACTACCATATGACTGTGAGAAAGTGACAACTACCAATAAGACTGTGAGAAAGTTAGACAACTACCATATGACTGTGAGAAAGTGACAACTACCAATATGACTGTGAGAAAGTTAGACAACTACCAATATGACTGTGAGAAAGTTAGACAACTACCATATGACTGTGAGAAAGAGACAACTACCAATATGACTGTGAGAAAGTTAGACAACTACCATATGACTGTGAGAAAGTTAGACAACTACCATATGACTGTGAGAACGTTAGACAACTACCAATATGACTGTGAGAAAGTTAGACAACTACCAATATGACTGTGAGAAAGTTAGACAACTACCATATGACTGTGAGAAAGTTAGACAACTACCATATGACTGTGAGAAAGTTAGACAACTACCATATGACTGTGAGAAAGTGACAACTACCATATGACTGTGAGAAAGTTAGACAACTACCATATGACTGTGAGAAAGTTAGACAACTACCATATGACTGTGAGAAAGTGACAACTACCATATGACTGTGAGAAAGTTAGACAACTACCATATGACTGTGAGAAAGTGACAACTACCAATATGACTGTGAGAAAGTTAGACAACTACCATATGACTGTGAGAAAGTGACAACTACCAATATGACTGTGAGAAAGTTAGACAACTACCAATATGACTGTGAGAAAGTTAGACAACTACCATATGACTGTGAGAAAGTGACAACTACCAATATGACTGTGAGAAAGTTAGACAACTACCATATGACTGTGAGAAAGTTAGACAACCACCAATATGACTGTGAGAAAGTTAGACAACTACCAATATGACTGTGAGAAAGTTAGACAACTACCAATATGACTGTGAGAAAGTGACAACTACCATATGACTGTGAGAAAGTGACAACTACCATATGACTGTGAGAAAGTGACAACTACCAATATGACTGTGAGAAAGTTAGACAACTATCAATATGACTAAAAAAGTGACAACTAATCACTGAGCAGTGAAAATGTATGTTTAATATACCTCCTCCACCCCCAAGAAGACTTTCATTAGCAGCATTAACAATAGCATCAATCTCCAAAGTGGTGATATCTCCACAAAACAAGGAGAGTTTCTGGTTCCAGTCCTCACGCACCTCAACACCCTCTAGTCTGTCACCTGGTGCTACTGTAAAGAATTATTTCATTTTGTATCAAGTCATTCTACAGCAAACTTTATTACACACAAAATGAGATTTAAAAAAATAGACATTAAAATACAACATTAAAAATCAATATCATAACTTGTTCAAAGTTAACAAATCTAGATTCTATTCCTTCTTCTTCTTTGTTCTCAATTGTAATGTTGGCCAGTGTGTCCTCCAATTAAGTATTATGTGTCAACATATTATGTGCCATATGGCCCCTTGGCTCAGATTTCAGCCTGATTTTCTTTCTGGATTTGCTTTCAATACCACAGCCTTTGTCCATCCAAGAACAAACTACAAGACAGCAGTTGCTTAACTTTGGAGTTTTCTCTGCCAGATGGGTTGCCTTGTCTGTTCTGGGGTATGAGCTCAGGACTTTACAGTTTATTTTATCTTTACCAGCAAAAACATCTTTATTAAAATATAAATATAATACATTTAATACTGTATTGCCATAACTGTTATATAAAGAAGTGTTCTTAGAATTAACATTGAATTACCAGATGTGATATTTTCTTCTATGAAATAATCTGGCCAGCTTTTCACATCCTTTAATTGAGTGTAGTTAGATTTACATTTGTAAAGTCTTCTTTTTGTTTCAATGTCCAGATTTAGGATCGTCTCTAGAATAAAAAAATTAAAATAATGTTAACTTCTACTGTACAAATGCTACATAGACTACCAAAATCACTCATCAACCATTTTGTGGTTAGCAGGATAAGCAGTAGTAACAAACTCATTCTTCAATATACACTCAACATATCTAATATACTGTTATGGTCTAAATGTCCTCAAACTTAACCTCATTTTAGTATTCAATGGAATAAAATTAATATTTGAATTAAGATCTAACAATGTTTCTAAAAGTTGTAGACCAAGTGGGTATTTGGACTTTAATCAGTCTCATATTTACTTTGATTCTATAAAGGGCCTAGTTAATATACCATTATTATGCTAAGCGGGAGAATTTTTATACCAGTGTCCATAATAGAATCTTCTTTAAAAAAGGGGTTTATAGGTTACTGGTAGTTAACTAAATACACATATTGCTGGCTAATGTCAATGCTAACCCTGTCCCTAACCCCAACCCTAGTCCTACCATACGCCTAACCCAAATATTAGTCGAGATTACAATACTACTAACAACCCAACACACCTATTTTATGGAAGAGTCTATTATCGGACATCAGTATCTAATATCTATTATCTAAAATTATCCCTTTACTTTAATGTTGTAATTAGTTAGGCCCTACTGCTTGAAAAATTCAGCTAGCAGATATATTTTTATTTTAAACATTCAATATTTATGTGTAGTTCTAGATTTTAGTCTGTCTACTTTGTGACTAGTCTAGTCTACAGTCTTAGACTAGAGTCTAGATCTAGATCTACACACTATTCACTATGACTTCCCTTTTTCTTCAAGAGCACTGATATATCTCCGGTTTGCTTTTGGGTCCTTTATTGAGTATAATTCTGTCTTAGAATTAGATTTGTCCTCATGTACTTCAGTTTCCATCTCTTCTATAATGCTTTTTTTCCCTTCAGTATCTGAATGTGATGATCGCTTAGTGTCTTCATTAGATTTAGATTTAATGGATTCATTAGATTTAGCTTGCTTAGGAGAATCATCTGCGTCATTTTTCTTTTGATTGCTTTCTATGTTGGACATAGTGGTTAAAAGACGCAACGGCAACGAGATTGGTAACTTATTGTACTTGACTTCGACGAATCTGAAATTAGATATAGATCTAGATCTAGATCTATACGTATTTCCTATTGTTTTAGAAACAAACTTTGTAACCGTAAAAATATTTGCCGATCCTTTCTGCATTTGGGATTACTCTCTAAAAAATGAACAGCGGCTGTTTGAAGGTTTTGTTGATTTTCAGTTTCAGAAGTCAATGTTTTTTTTTCGCTTCCGGTTTGATATTTGAGCATTGTAAAGTTAAAGTCACTAGACTATAGCTAGAGTCTTAGATCTAGAATTCTAGATCTAGTCGTATTAAAAAAAAAAAAAAAAACATTGAAATATGCCTCTATCTACTGAATAAATCTATTCCAATAGCATTTTTGTTATTTCTTATTCTAAGTTATTTTAGCATTGCACTGCATTTTCCTGCCTCATCATTGACATCATGCCACTTAGTGACTAACAGTAACATCTATGATAACTCTAGCGAAATCTCTCAGCAGCCTAAGTGGCAAAACAAATCGTTCACCCTCGCCGTTATTTTTTAAAATAACATGTTTTTAAAAATATGAACCCCCCCCCCCCCCCAACCCCATTTACGAAAAAAAAATGCGTAGCCTTTATTCCAAGAAATACAATTTTATAAATAGAATCGGCAAAACTATTTTCACATTTTTTGTGGCGTTTTTTTTTTCAAACATAAACAAAATAAACGTCACATGATCATAAACATATTTGATATTTCGCACTAGATATCTAGATAAGAAATATAGATCTAGAATCTAGATCTATATTTCTTAGAGAGTGACTTAGTTTTTAGATTACATTTAATGACATAGATCTAGATCTAGTCTCCTAGTCTTCATTTATTACTGAAAAGTTTTAGATCCTAATTCAATTGTTTAAAAACAGGTAGAATCTACCTACATAATAATTATAATACATAAAAATGTATTTTTCAAAACATAAATAATAAATATTAAATCCGATTAAATCCTCCTCAAAATATGAAATAATTTAATTAGGTCTATTAAAATTTAAGGAGTCACCTGTTTTTCACATTACTAGTCGCGGGCGATTTTACTTACCTAAAACGATAGATTACCACTATAACTATATATTAATATTTAATTATTTACTAGACTAATATTTATTTAAGCCTAGTAGTGCCTAGTACAGAACTAGTTAGTATTTTTTTACTATTTTATTATTTATATCTAGATCTATGTCCAAGCCTGCCTGTACTGTTTCTAAATTTGAAAATTTCTAATAATCTCTTGTCATTACTATTATTACAATTTATTAGGTCTAATGACTAATCGACATGATTATTTTTAAAATATATTAAATTAATAAAGTTGCCCATGCTGCTGTTTTTATATGATTAAGTTGGCACAATTGGACAATACATCTAAAATCTTATGTGATCAAAATATGATATTATCTTTTTCTTATCCAGACAATTAGCATTAAAATAACATTAAGCAAAGAAGTAAATCAGTTATTTATCCTGTTACTCTATCCTGCAGAAATGATCCCAGGGCTAAAGTTGCCATAAAAGATCCAGCACCATGGCTGAGGCTATCAGTTTACTGGAGCAGAGGACAGGCCCGCAGCAGGACACACAAGTAAATAGTGTCAACATCTGGAGAGAGCATGAGAGATTGGATGCTATCCTGTCTTTAATTCCTAGAAAAGCCCAACATGGTGTCTTGATGTCATGTGACCTAGTGTTGACGTGTATAGATGCCAATGAACACTTCATCGCTCTGGGTACCAACGTGGGAATCACTTTTCTCTACTCACGCAGGGAGCATGTCATGCAGAGGCTAAAAGCTGCTGTATGTATTTTAACTGTTTTACCAGGAGAATACCACAATAAAACCACTTGAACCTCAGGCTTAAAATAGGTTTATTCTATACAAAAATATTTCTTTTCCTTTAAACTTCTTTATCAACCATTGTATTATTAATTAGAAAATAATGAACTAATTCTGGCTAATTGTGCCCTAGAACCCCAGTGATGTCATTACCTGCGTGAGGCTCCACCATGGCATTGATGACCAGCTGGCAACTGGCATGGCATCTGGAGACGTAACTGTCTTCTGTATGCCAGGCAAGACATCCATGCAGAAAAAACAGGTCTTTTTCATTTTCAGCTTTAGTTTATTTTTCTAAACAAACTTGTCATGCAATTTTGAGTAAAATTCTGAGTGTAATTAGGTCAATGACCATGTCGTGTACAGATGCAGAAATTTGATGTGCGTGACTTACATAAACACTACATCACCTGCCTGGCCTGGAGCACCAATGGCATGAAGGTCTACAGCGGCGACAAGAATGGGCAGGTGGTTACTACAGAGCTGGATTTTTACCAGGTGACCCAGGTTTTATATAGTACCACATGACCCAGGTTTTATACATAGTACCACATGACCCAGGTTTTATACATAGTACCACATGACCCAGGTTTTATACATAGTACCACATGACCCAGGTTTTATACATAGTACCACATGACCCAGGTTTTATACATAGTACCACATGACCCAGGTTTTATACATAGTACCACATGACCCAGGTTTTATACATAGTACCACATGACCCATGTTTTATACATAGTACCACATGACCCAGCTTTTATATATAGTACCACATGACCCAGGTTTTATACATAGTACCACATGACCCATGTTTTATACATAGTACCACATGACCCAGGTTTTATACATAGTACCACATGACCCAGGTTTTATATATACAGCCTCCTGTACCATGTGTACCATGTGTACATGTACAAAGTTTGTCCCCAGGGTCAGTGTTCCTCCAGCCTCCTGTACCAGTGTACCATGTGTACATGTACAAAGTTTGTCCCCAGGGTCAGTGTTCCTCCAGCCTCCTGTACCATGTGTACCATATGTACATGTACAAAGTTTGTCCCCAGGGTCAGTGTTCCTCCAGCCTCCTGTACCATGTGTACCATGTGTACATGTACAAAGTTTGTCCCCAGGGTCAGTGTTCCTCCAGCCACCTGTACCAGTGTACCATGTGTACATGTACAAAGTTTGTCCCCAGGGTCAGTGTTTGTCTAGCCTCCTGTACCATGTGTACCATGTGTACCATGTGTACATGTACAAAGTTTGTCCCCAGGGTCAGTGTTCCTCCAGCCACCTGTACCATGTGTACCATGTGTACATGTACAAAGTTTGCCCCCAGGGTCAGTGTTCCTCCAGCCACCTGTACCATGTGTACCATGTGTACATGTACAAAGTTTGTCCCCAGGGTCAGTGTTTGTCTAGCCACCTGTACCAGTGTACCATGTGTACATGTACAAAATTTGTCCCCAGGGTCAGTGTTCCTCCAGCCACCTGTACCAGTGTACCATGTGTACATGTACAAAGTTTGTCCCCAGGGTCAGTGTTCCTCCAGCCTCCTGTACCAGTGTACCATGTGTACATGTACAAAGTTTGTCCCCAGGGTCAGTGTTCCTCCAGCCTCCTGTACCATGTGTACCATGTGTACCATGTGTACCATGTGTACATGTACAAAGTTTGTCCCCAGGGTCAGTGTTCCTCCAGCCTCCTGTACCATGTGTACCATGTGTACCATGTGTACCATGTGTACATGTACAAAGTTTGTCCCCAGGGTCAGTGTTCCTCCAGCCTCCTGTACCATGTGTACCATGTGTACCATGTGTACCATGTGTACATGTACAAAGTTTGTCCCCAGGGTCAGTGTTTGTCTAGCCACCTGTACCAGTGTACCATGTGTACATGTACAAAGTTTGTCCCCAGGGTCAGTGTTCCTCCAGCCTCCTGTACCAGTGTACCATGTGTACCATGTGTACATGTACAAAGTTTGTCACGAGGGTCAGTGTTTGTCTAGCCACCTGTACCAGTGTACCATGTGTACATGTACAAAGTTTGTCCCCAGGGTCAGTGTTTGTCTAGCCACCTGTACCAGTGTACCATGTGTACATGTACAAAGTTTGTCCCCAGGGTCAGTGTTCCTCCAGCCTCCTGTACCAGTGTACCATGTGTACCATGTGTACATGTACAAAGTTTGTCCCCAGGGTCAGTGTTTGTCTAGCCACCTGTACCAGTGTACCATGTGTACATGTACAAAGTTTGTCCCCAGGGTCAGTGTTCGTCTAGCCACCTGTACCATGTGTACCATGTGTACATGTACAAAGTTTGCCCCCAGGGTCAGTGTTCCTCCAGCCTCCTGTACCATGTGTACCATGTGTACCATGTGTACCATGTGTACATGTACAAAGTTTGCCCCCAGGGTCAGTGTTCCTCCAGCCTCCTGTACCAGTGTACCATGTGTACATGTACAAAGTTTGTCCCCAGGGTCAGTGTTTGTCTAGCCACCTGTACCAGTGTACCATGTGTACATGTACAAAGTTTGTCCCCAGGGTCAGTGTTCCTCCAGCCTCCTGTACCAGTGTACCATGTGTACCATGTGTACATGTACAAAGTTTGTCATGAGGGTCAGTGTTCCTCCAGCCTCCTGTACCATGTGTACCATGTGTACCATGTGTACATGTACAAAGTTTGTCCCCAGGGTCAGTTTTCCTCCTGTACCAGTGTACCATGTGTACATGTACAAAGTTTGTCCCCAGGGTCAGTGTTCCTCCAGCCTCCTGTACCAGTGTACCATGTGTACATGTACAAAGTTTGTCCCCAGGGTCAGTGTTCCTCCAGCCTCCTGTACCAGTGTACCATGTGTACCATGTGTACATGTACAAAGTTTGTCCCCAGGGTCAGTGTTCCTCCAGCCACCTGTACCAGTGTACCATGTGTACATGTACAAAATTTGTCCCCAGGGTCAGTGTTCCTCCAGCCTCCTGTACCAGTGTACCATGTGTACATGTACAAAGTTTGTCCCCAGGGTCAGTGTTCGTCTAGCCACCTGTACCATGTGTACCATGTGTACATGTACAAAGTTTGTCCCCAGGGTCAGTGTTCCTCCAGCCTCCTGTACCAGTGTACCATGTGTACATGTACAAAGTTTGTCCCCAGGGTCAGTGTTTGTCTAGCCACCTGTACCATGTGTACCATGTGTACATGTACAAAGTTTGTCCCCAGGGTCAGTGTTCCTCCAGCCTCCTGTACCAGTGTACCAGTGTACCATGTGTACATGTACAAAGTTTGTCCCCAGGGTCAGTGTTCCTCCAGCCTCCTGTACCAGTGTACCATGTGTACATGTACAAAGTTTGTCCCCAGGGTCAGTGTTCCTCCAGCCTCCTGTACCAGTGTACCATGTGTACATGTACAAAGTTTGTCCCCAGGGTCAGTGTTCCTCCAGCCTCCTGTACCAGTGTACCATGTGTACATGTACAAAGTTTGTCCCCAGGGTCAGTGTTCCTCCAGCCTCCTGTACCATGTGTACATGTACAAAGTTTGTCCCCAGGGTCAGTGTTCCTCCAGCCTCCTACTGGTGGAGCAGGCCACAGAAATCACCCAACTGGACTACAGACATAAAGTCCTGCTCGTCTCAACACGACTGCGCAGCTTTGTTGTCCGCATCGACCTCAAATGTCAGATTGTTCATATTGGAACAAAGGACAGGAAAATGTGAGCACAATCTCTTTTTCTTGGCTGATAACTTATACCAAACGTAAAGGGCTGCTTAAGTTTCAATAGAAAGTTGTCTACAACTCCAGTACACCACATATTATCTGAAGTTTTTTCTTTTAAAGATAAACAGCTGTTTATTTTTTTAAATAATGCAATATTTCAGCAAAATGTCGTTATAAATCTTGTTAAAATAATAAAATTGTTTGAAAATCAATAGCCTGGATAATTTGTTAAATTGTTTTACCATTTCATGTGCACTCTGCCCACAGTCCAGGGCCTTTTGGCGCCTGCTTTATTCCTGGACTCAGCAAGACAGACGATGCCAAGCTTTATGCTGCCCGGCCTGGGTGTCGCCTGTGGCTGGCAGACATGCAGGGGTCAGTCATCAGCACTGTCATCTTCCCTGACCCCTGCGCGCCTGCAGTCCCAGAGATCCCCCTGCTGTCCACAGGAAAACTTCAGACCAGCAAAACAGAGTTCCAGTTTGGGAACCTGCGCTGGCTGGGGCAGAAGGAGGTCGTGACCTGGTCAAGCTCTGCTCTTGTCATCCTTGACCCTGCAGCCAACAAGGTCGTGGCCAGCCAGTCGAGGTTGAGTGGGATCATTGATGTAGCCGTGGTGGAGGAGACGGGGGAGATCTTTTTGCTGCGGAGACACGCAGACGCCAGGGTCATCCGCATCTCCCAGCAGGCTGAGCACAGAACTTGTAAAGGTCAGTTGCTCAGATTGGTCAATAGCTCTTTGGCCTGTGCTCATGTTTGTCCTCTGTGTTGTAAAGGTCAGTTGCTCAGATTGGTCAATAGCTCTTTGGCCTGTGCTCATGTTTGTCCTCTGTGTTGTAAAGGTCAGTTGCTCAGATTGGTCAATAGCTCTTTGGCCTGTGCTCATGTTTGTCCTCTGTGTTGTAAAGGTCAGTTGCTCAGATTGGTCAATAGCTCTTTGTCCTGTGCTGATGTTCTGTGTTAGTCACTGTGTTGTTGCCAGGCAACAGAACTCACCCAGACAAATGTTTTCCCCACAGTTGCCCCATCTCTAGCCACACCAGTGCTGCACCAAGAAGACAAGCCAGCCAGACATGAAGAAGAAAGTGATTTTGTTTCCAAGATATCATTCTTGAAGAAATTCACCAACCCACTAAAGAAATCTGAGAAACCAGTTGCACAGGATATTTCTGATGTCATGATTCCTACAGCTATTAGGTAACCCCTCAATATCGGGTCTTGAAAACCCATTGCCCTGTCAACCTCTTGTCCTGCCAACCCATTTCTCTGTCAACCTTGTCCTGCCAACCCATTTCTCTGTCAACCTTGTCCTGCCAACCCATTTCTCTGTCAACCTTGTCCTGCCAACCCATTTCTCTGTCAACATCTTGTCCTGCCAACCCATTGCCCTGTCAACCTCTTGTCCTGCCAACCCATTTCTCTGTCAACCTTGTCCTGCCAACCCATTTCTCTGTCAACCTTGTCCTGCCAACCCATTTCTCTGTCAACCTTGTCCTGCCAACCCATTTCTCTGTCAACATCTTGTCCTGCCAACCCATTTCTCTGTTGTTTACCTTTACATTTTTTGCCAGCCCACCTGACAGCTCACCTGAGTTACCACCTGTTGTTTACCTTTTGTCTCCGGAGCTGGAAGGTGTCAGACTGTACACTGGAGGGCCAGACACAGCAACGGCTTCAACAACACCTCTCATAGGTTGGTTTCTACCTCTGTCTGTGTCTGTACTCAACTGTCTATGTTTGGGCACACCTGTCTATGTTTCTACACACCTGTCTATGTTTGGACACACCTGTCTATGTTTGGACACACATGTCCATGTTTGGACACACCTGTCTATGTTTGGACACACCTGTCTATGTTTGGACACACCTCTCTATGTTTGGACACACCTCTCTATGTTTGGACACACCTGTCTATGTTTGGACACACCTGTCTATGTTTGGACACACATGTCCATGTTTGGACACACCTGTCTATGTTTGGACACACCTGTCTATGTTTGGACACACCTATCTATGTTTGGACACACCTGTCTGTTTGGACACACCTGTCTATGTTTGGACACACATGTCCATGTTTGGACACACCTGTCTATGCTTGGACACACCTCTCTATGTTTGGACACACCTCTCTATGTTTGGACACACCTCTCTATGTTTGGACACACCTGTCTATGTTTGGACACACCTGTCTATGTTTGGACACACATGTCCATGTTTGGACACACCTGTCTATGTTTGGACACACCTGTCTATGTTTGGACACACCTATCTATGTTTGGACACACCTGTCTGTTTGGACACACCTGTCTATGTTTGGACACACATGTCCATGTTTGGACACACCTGTCTATGCTTGGACACACCTGTCTATGTTTGGACACACCTGTCTATGTTTGGACACACCTATCTATGTTTGGACACACCTGTCTATGTTTGGACACACCTGTCTATGTTTGGACACACCTGTCTATGTTTGGACACACCTGTCTATGTTTGGACACACCTGTCTATGTTTTACACACCTGTCCATGTTTAGACACACATGTCTATTTTGGACACACCTGTCTATATTTGGACACACCTGTCTATATTTGGACACATCTGTCTATGTTTGGACACACCTGTCTATGTTTGGACACATCTGTCTATGTTTGGACACACCTGTCCATGTTTGGACACACCTGTCCATGTTTGGACACACCTGTCTATGTTTGGATACACCTGTCTATGTTTCTACACACCTGTCTATGTTTCTACACACCTGTCTATGTTTGGACACACCTGTCTATGTTTGGACACACCTGTCTATGTTTCTACACACCTGTCTATATTTCTACACACCTGTCTATGTTTAGACACACCTGTCTATGTTTGGACACACCTGTCTATGTTTGGACACACATGTCCATGTTTTGACACACCTGTCCATGTTTGGACACACCTGTGTATGTTTGGTCACACCTGTCTATGTTTGGACACACCTGTCTATGTTTGGTCACACCTGTCTATTTTTCTACTCACCTGTCCATATTTGGACACACCTGTCTATGTTTGGACACACCTGTCTATTTTTCTACTCACCTGTCCATATTTGGACACACCTGTCTATGTTTGAATCACCTTTAGCCGTCCACTCTGACCATCCGACAGACATCCAAGTTACAACAACTGAAGCACTGGAAGAGACGACCTTGAAAGAACATGTGAAGGTCGCTGACCAAAAAGTATTTTTAGCCCCAGAGGATGACCAGATTGTCTTTAGCCATAAAATGAAGAAAAAAAAGAAGAAGAAAAAATTAGGTTGGTTTATTTCACACTTGTGTTCACATGACCAGTTTTTAGCAGTTCCACTTGATCAAAATTCCACAATTAGCACTTGGGACATTTTTTGTATTTTTGTCTTGTAAAACTAGTCTGTATATCATAATCACCATGACCTGAAGGGGTTAAACTAAAATGTCCTTGAACTTTGTCCCTAGGGTCGCAGAAAGAAAAAGACGAAGACTCTGTGAGCCAGGTATCGACGTCCAGCCAGCTTTCAGATGAGTTTACCCTGACCTCCACCCCCAACAACACCCCCGTAGTCCTTGACTCCCCATTGGCTGCCATCAGACGTGCGGACGAAGTCCTGAAGATGATGGAAAACTTTAAACTGGGGGAAGTCAAGTCTGACGGGGGTGAGACAACTCTGACCCTTGTAGCAGGCGGGGAGCTGCCACAAAATGACACCAGCTCTAAAACTTTGTTTGAAACATTAGCTCCCTTGAGCTGTGTAGGGGCGGGCATGGCTGGAGAGAGCCAGGCCAGCTCTCAGCTGGATGGAGAGAATGTGACGAGGGAGAGTGTGACGAGGGAGAGTGTGTTGTCCCAGCCTGACCTGCACATGCCACCTGTCAATACGCTGGACCAGTCAGCCTCGCAGTCGGCCTCGCAGTCGGCCTCGCAGTCGGCCTCGCAGTCAGCCTCACAGCCAGCCTCGCAGTCAGCCCCGCAGCCAGCTGGTGGGGATCAGCAGGGCGGACCAAAGGAAATCAGGTCCAAACTTTCTTCCCACGTCTCCCTGACAGACGCATTGAATGAAATTGCTGCGATAGAAGCCACTGACCCCTTCCGTAAAGGTTATAAAAAAGAAAAATCAACGGATGATTTTTATTCAATTTTCCTGGACACATCGCCCGAGTCGCCTGAGTTTCCTGTCACAAGAAGCCATAAGAAACCCGCTGGGCCTTCAGTCCTGTCTGCTGACAGTGAGCGCTCCACTGAAATGCAGGACATTGCCCAGCGGCGCCTGGCCAACAGCTGGTCTGAGTACACGACCCCCACCAACATCTACAGTCTGGCGCTCAGTGCCAGCCACATCTGGTTCACAGACAAGGCTGAGAACATCCACTACTCCAACATTGGAAGCCCTAAAGGCATTCTCTGGCGGAAAGCCACGGGGAATGCCAGTCAGATATCCGTGTCCCCCTCAGGGCATATTGTGTGGCGGCTACACAGGGGCACCGTCTACGCGGGCACCAAGATCAGCAGTCGTCACCCGGAGGGCTTGAAGTGGGTCGAGGCAGTGAAAGACGTGGAGTACATAGCTGTAGACGACCATTGCGCCTGGTACTAATATTTTTTTATCAGTCCAACCTTGTCTAGCCAACACTTGTTGTGGCATGACCTCATGCTCTGACCTTGTTCCCATTGTTTCCATGACCTCATGCTCTGACCTTGTTCCTAATGTATCATTGACCTCATGCTCTGACCTTGTTCCCATTGTTTCCATGACCTCATGCTCTGACCTTGTTCCCATTGTTTCCATGACCTCATGTTCTGACCTTGTTTTCATTGTTTCCATGACCTCATGTTCTGACCTTGTTCCAATTGTTTCCATGACCTCATGTTCTGACCTTGTTCCCATTGTTTCCATGACCTCATGTTCTGACTTTATTCACCTGTTGTTTCCATGACCTCATGTTCTGACCTTGTTCCTCTGTTGTTCCCATAACCTCAGGTACATCAAGCGCAATGGTGAGGTGATGTTCCAGAAAGGTCTATCGCAGGAGCGGCCATGCTACAAGTCCATGAAGGTGGAGTGTCCCTATAAAGTCAAGCAGATTGTCTGCAGACAGGGCGTGGTGTGGGCAGTCACAGACTCTCTCAGCCTGATCATGAGGACTGGCGTCACCCACGACACACCTGAGGGCAAATATTGGGAGCTGAATTACAGGTGGGTCTCATCTACAGGTGGTGCACTGTCATAACGGCCCGGGACAAATCGGCCCCGTCAAAACGGCCCCGTTAATATGACCCCGTCAAATCAACCCCTGACAAAACAACCCAGTCAAAATAGCCCCGTCAAAAGGGCCCCGACTTATTGGCTCCTGTCAAATGGGCTCCCGTTATATTGACTTGCGACATATGGGCTCCCAGCAAATGAGCTACCGACATTTATGCTCCCGACAATTGGACTATCGACATATTGGCTCCCGACAAATAGGCTCAGGACATACTGGCTCCTGACAAAGTGGCTCCCAACATATTCGCCCCCGACATAAGGGCTCACAACAAATGGGCTCCCGACAAATGGGCTCATGACATATTAGCTACCAACAAATGGGCTCCCGACATATTGGTTTTTCATGAACCAACATCAATTATCAAACATATCAAGCCCTTAAGAGTGTTGGATAAGCTAACTCTAAAGAATATTGATGAAGGGGTCCCACTGGCAGGTGTCATATTCAATGAGACCGCTATGCCGGGAGACTTAGTCTCTACATAAACAGTATTGTCAGTGGTCCTTTTGTCTGGAGCCAAATTGACAGGAGCCTTTTTGTCGTGAGCCAAAATGACGTTAGCCTATTTGTCGGGAGTCGTAATGACAGGGGCCGTTTTGTGGAAAAAAACAAAATGATGGGAGCCTATATGTGGGGAGCCTATATGTCGGGAGCCAAAATGATGGGAGCCTTATTGACTGGAGCTCTTTTGTCGGGAGGCTATATGACGGAAGCCTATTTGTCGGGAGCCTAAATGACGGGAGACTATTTATTGGCAGCCTTTATGACGGGGTCCATATGTCGCTGGCCATTTTGACGGGGCTCTTATATCGGGGCCAATTTGTCGGGGTTGTTTTGACGGGGCCGTTTTGTCATTGGCCGTTTTGACGCTGCACGTCTACAGGTGGGTCTCATCTACAGCTTGTATTAGCTTCCCCTGTAAGTCTTCTGATCTTGTTCCCCTGCTGAAAACATGTTTACAGTCGTCATTTTTGTTTTAAAGATTCAGACTTTTGTCAAGGGTTAGGTAACTGATAGCAACTTAACGAATTCAAAGTACCAAAAGTTACAATAATATACCATCATTTTAGCTATGTTTTCCTCAAATATTCTTAATTTATTGAACACTACTAACAGTTATTAAAAACTTTAAACTTTAACAATTAAACATTTAGTCATTGACGTCTCCTACAGAGAAAGCCAGCCCTATTTATTTTCCCATGTGAGCATCGACCACGAGAGGATTGGCTGGGCTATTGACGTCCTCGGTCAGATCTGGTTCTGTGATGGACTGACCCCAGACAACCCCCAGGGGTCTGACATCTGGTGGCAGGTGGGTCCCTGTCTGTCCTAGGTTCTCTCATCAGGTGTGTCATGTGATGTCAAACCTGCACCCAAACTGCCTATCAGTTTAAATGTTGATCTCTCAATAGGAAAAGTTTATCCCCCACCCACCTGAAATAAAACCTATCCAATATATTGTTTTATCTGGCGCCCCAGATTCCACATAAAACACATCCAATACATTGTTTTATCTGGCGCCCCAGATTCCACATAAAACCTACCAATACATTGTTTTATCTGGCGCCCCAGATTCCACATAAAACCTACCAATACATTGTTTTATCTGGCGCCCCAGATTCCACATAAAACCTACCAATACATTGTTTTATCTGGCGCCCCAGATTCCACATAAAACCTACCAATACATTGTTTTATCTGGCGCCCCAGATTCCACATAAACCTATCCAATACATTGTTTTATCTGGCGCCCCAGATTCCACATAAAACCTACCAATACATTGTTTTATCTGGCGCCCCAGATTCCACATAAAACACATCCAATACATTGTTTTATCTGGCGCCCCAGATTCCACATTAAACCTACCAATATATTGTTTTATCTGGCGCCCCAGATTCCACATTAAACCTACCAATACATTGTTTTATCTGGCGCCCCAGATTCCACATTAAACCTACCAATACATTGTTTTATCTGGCACCCCAGATTCCACATAAAACCTACCAATACATTGTTTTATCTGGCGCCCCAGATTCCACATAAAACATATCCAATACATTGTTTTATATGGCGCCCCAGATTCCACATAAAACCTATCCAATACATTGTTTTATCTGGCGCCCCAGATTCCACATAAACCTACCAATACATTGTTTTATCTGGCGCCCCATATTCCACATAAAACCTATCCAATACATTGTTTTATCTGGCGCCCCAGATTCCACATAAACCTACCAATACATTGTTTTATCTGGCGCCCCAGATTCCACATAAACCTATCCAATACATTGTTTTATCTGGCGCCCCAGATTCCACATAAACCTACCAATACATTGTTTTATCTGGCGCCCCAGATTCCACTGAGTGAGTACATCCTGCAGGACGAGACCACCATTGACATGATCAAAGCTGTGGCCAGAAAATTTGACCCCAAAAAATTGTCGTACATTTTGAGCACAAACAGGGGTGGGCTTATCACTGCTGGCACCCAGGGGGTGTGGCTGGCACTGGATTTCAGGAACATTCTACAGGTGTGTCAGGGTAGTGTCCAAGGTATGTTAGTGTCTTGTGTCAGTGTCTTGTGTCAGTGTGTTGTGTCACTTTCTTGTGTCACTGTCTTGTGTCACTTTCTTGTGTCACTGTCTTGTGTCAGTGTCTTATGTCACTGTCTTGTGTCACTGTCTTGTGTCAATGTCTTGTGTCACTGTCTTGTGTCACTGTCTTGTGTCAGTGTCTTATGTCACTTTCTTGTGTCACTGTCTTGTGTCACTGTCTTGTGTCAGTGTCTTGTGTCACTGTCTTGTGTAACTGTCTTGTGTCAGTGTCTTGTGTCATTGTCTTGTGTCACTGTCTTGTGTCACTGTCTTGTGTCACTATCTTGTGTCACTGCCTTGTGTCACTGTCTTGTGTCAGTGTCTAGTGTCATTGTCTTGTGTCAGTGTCTTGTGTCACTATCTTGTGTCACTGTCTTGTGTTACTGTCTTGTGTCAGTGTCTTGTGTCACTGTCTTGTGTCATTGTCTTGTGTCAGTGTCTTGTGTCATTATCTTGTGTCACTGCCTTGTGTCACTGTCTTGTGTCAGTGTCTTGTGTCACTGTCTTGTGTCAGTGTCTTGTGTCAGTGTATTGTGTCATTTTCTTGTGTCACTGTCTTGTGTCAGTGTCTTGTGTCATTTTCTTGTGTCACTGCCTTGTGTCACTGTCTTGTGTCAGTGTATTGTGTAACTGTCTTGTGTCACTGTCTTATGTCACTGTCTTGTGTCAGTGTCTTGTGTTACTGTCTTGTGTCAGTGTCTTGTGTTACTGTCTTGTGTCACTGTCTTGTGTCAGTGTCTTGTGTCAATGTCTTGTGTTAGTGTCTTGTGTCACTGTCTTGTGTCATTGTGTTGAGTCAGTGTCTTGTGTCACTATCTTGTGTCAGTGTCTTGTGTCAGTGTCTTGTGTCACTGTCTTGTGTCAGTGTCTTGTGTCACTTTCTTGTGTCACTGTCTTGTGTCAGTGTCTTGTGTCAGTGTATTGTGTAACTGTCTTGTGTCAGTGTCTTATGTCACTTTCTTGTGTCACTGTCTTGTGTCACTGTCTTGTGTCAGTGTCTTGTGTCACTGTCTTGTGTAACTGTCTTGTGTCATTGTCTTGTGTCACTGTCTTGTGTCACTGTCTTGTGTCACTATCTTGTGTCACTGCCTTGTGTCACTGTCTTGTGTCAGTGTCTAGTGTCATTGTCTTGTGTCAGTGTCTTGTGTCACTATCTTGTGTCACTGTCTTGTGTTACTGTCTTGTGTCAGTGTCTTGTGTCACTGTCTTGTGTCATTGTCTTGTGTCAGTGTCTTGTGTCATTATCTTGTGTCACTGCCTTGTGTCACTGTCTTGTGTCAGTGTCTTGTGTCACTGTCTTGTGTCAGTGTCTTGTGTCAGTGTATTGTGTCATTTTCTTGTGTCACTGCCTTGTGTCACTGTCTTGTGTCAGTGTCTTGTGTCATTTTCTTGTGTCACTGCCTTGTGTCACTGTCTTGTGTCAGTGTATTGTGTAACTGTCTTGTGTCACTGTCTTATGTCACTGTCTTGTGTCAGTGTCTTGTGTTACTGTCTTGTGTCAGTGTCTTGTGTTACTGTCTTGTGTCACTGTCTTGTGTCAGTGTCTTGTGTCAATGTCTTGTGTTAGTGTCTTGTGTCACTGTCTTGTGTCATTGTGTTGAGTCAGTGTCTTGTGTCACTATCTTGTGTCAGTGTCTTGTGTCAGTGTCTTGTGTCACTGTCTTGTGTCAGTGTCTTGTGTCACTTTCTTGTGTCACTGTCTTGTGTCAGTGTCTTGTGTCAGTGTATTGTGTAACTGTCTTGTGTCACTGTCTTGTGTCACTGTCTTGTGTCAGTGTCTTGTGTCAGTGTCTTGTGTCACTGTCTTGTGTCACAGCCAGCTGTATGTGGCAGCCAGCTATGTGTGCTCCTCTAGACCAATGTGATCTGTTGCAGGCTACCATTGGCTAGAAGCTCACCCTGCCCAGATCTCTCCATCCTCAACATGGAAGCATATCTGTGCTAACATTTCTCATTTAGACTGGGGTAAGTTCAACCTTATACAATGGTCCCATTTAGACTGGGGTAAGTGCAACCTTATACAATGGTCACATTTAGACTGGGGTAAGTTCAACCTTATACAATGGTCACATTTAGACTGGGGTAAGTTCAACCTTATACAATGGTCACATTTAGACTGGGGTAAGTTCAACCTTATACAATGGTCACATTTAGACTGGGGTAAGTTCAACCTTTTACAATGGTCACATTTAGACTGGGGTAAGTTCAGCCTTATACAATGGTCACATTTACACTGGGGTAAGTTCAACCTTATACAATGGTCACATTTAGACTGGGGTAAGTTCAACCTTATACAATGGTCATATTTAGACTGGGGTAAGTTCAACCTTATACAATGGTCCCATTTACACTGGGGTAAGTTCAACCTTATACAATGGTCACATTTAGACTGGGGTAAGTTCAACCTTATACAATGGTCCCATTTAGACTGAGGTAAGTGCAACCTTATACAATGGTCTCATTTAGACTGGGGTAAGTGCAACCTTATACAATGGTCACATTTAGACTGGGGTAAGTTCAACCTTATACAATGGTCCCATTTAGACTGGGGTAAGTTCAACCTTCTACAATGGTCCCATTTAGACTGGGGTAAGTTCAACCTTATACAATGGTCACATTTAGACTGGGGTAAGTTCAACTTTCTACAATGGTCCCATTTAGACTGGGGTAAGTTCAACCTTCTACAATGGTCCCATTTAGACTGGGGTAAGTTCAGCCTTATACAATGGTCACATTTAGACTGGGGTAAGTTCAACCTTATACAATGGTCACATTTAGACTGGGGTAAGTTCAACCTTATACAATGGTCACATTTAGACTGGGGTAAGTTCAACCTTATACAATGGTCACATTTAGACTGGGGTAAGTTCAACCTTATACAATGGTCACATTTAGACTGGGGTAAGTTCAACCTTATACAATGGTCACATTTAGACTGGGGTAAGTTCAACCTTATACAATGGTCACATTTAGACTGGGGTAAGTTCAACCTTATACAATGGTCACATTTAGACTGGGGTAAGTTCAACCTTATACAATGGTCACATTTAGACTGGGGTAAGTTCAACCTTATACAATGGTCTCATTTAGACTGGGGTAAGTTCAACCTTATACAATGGTCACATTTAGACTGGGGTAAGTTCAACCTTATACAATGGTCTCATTTAGACTGGGGTAAGTTCAACCTTATACAATGGTCACATTTAGACTGGGGTAAGTTCAACCTTATACAATGGTCTCATTTAGACTGGGGTAAGTTCAACCTTATACAATGGTCACATTTAGACTGGGGTAAGTTCAACCTTATACAATGGTCACATTTAGACTGGGGTAAGTTCAACCTTATACAATGGTCACATTTAGACTGGGGTAAGTTCAACCTTATACAATGGTCACATTTAGACTGGGGTAAGTTCAACCTTATACAATGGTCACATTTAGGCTGGGGTAAGTTCAACCTTATACAATGGTCTCATTTACACTGGGGTAAGTTCAACCTTATACAATGGTCTCATTTAGACTGGGGTAAGTTCAACCTTATACAATGGTCACATTTAGACTGGGGTAAGTTCAACCTTTTACAATGGTCACATTTAGACTGGGGTAAGTTCAACCTTTTACAATGGTCACATTTAGACTGGGGTAAGTTCAACCTTATACAATGGTCTCATTTACACTGGGGTAAGTTCAACCTTATACAATGGTCTCATTTAGACTGGGGTAAGTTCAACCTTATACAATGGTCACATTTAGACTGGGGTAAGTTCAACCTTTTATAATGGTCACATTTAGGCTGGGGTAAGTTCAACCTTATACAATGGTCCCATTTAGGCTGGGGTAAGTTCAACCTTATACAATGGTCACATTTAGACTGGGGTAAGTTCAACCTTAAAAAATGGTCTCATTTACACTGGGGTAAGTTCAACCTTATACAATGGTCTCATTTAGACTGGGGTAAGTTCAACAATTCACCATGGTCACATTTAGACTGGGGTAAGTTCAACCTTATATAATGGTCACATTTAGGCTGGGGTAAGTTCAACCTTATACAATGGTCACATTTAGACTGGGGTAAGTTCAACCTTATACAATGGTCCCATTTAGACTGGGGTAAGTTCAACCTTATACAATGGTCCCATTTAGACTAGGGTAAGTTCAACCTTATACAATGGTCACATTTAGACTGGGGTAAGTTCAACCTTATACAATGGTCTCATTTACACTGGGGTAAGTTCAACCTTATACAATGGTCCTATTTAGACTAGGGTAAGTTCAACAATTCTACAATGGTCCCATTTAGACTGGGGTAAGTCTCATTTATATTTATGTTAGTTCAGCCTTTTATAATGATGACAATGAGATCATTGAAACAGATGTCCCTGATCATGTTTTGCTATTGTGTTGATGAGCTCTGACCTTGACCTATGAGCAGGTTGTGTCTGGGCCCAGCAGCCCATGTCCACCGACCTCTTCACCTTCAAGCGAGCACAAGGGGAGGCCACTATGATTCAAGGCTCAGAGGACTTCTGCTGCATTTCTGTTGGTCCAACAGCAACATGGGCGCTAACTAACAAGGGCGAGGTCAAGGTCAGGACAGGCATGGGACCCCACTGCCCACAGGGCAACAGCTGGGTGGACCTAGACATTTCCCAGCTAGGTCAGTCAATAGCAGTGTGCCTGTGACAATAATCATTTCAGTTTTAAATTTCAAAATGGCTCATGTCTAAAAAATGTGTGTATAAAAAGCTGAAGTGTAATGAACTAATGCAGGGGACGCAAGACTTGTCCATCTGAGCTGCAACTCCCTGTACGTGTGGGCGGTGGAGGCGGAGGGTGTGGTCTACCAGAGGATTGGGGCCAAACCTCCCACAGAGAACAACCTCAACCCAGCCTGGCTGCCCATTGAGACGTTTGGGGACATTGTCTTCACACAAGTACACACTGGTCCACTCGATTGGATGGTCAGTTCTTTGTTTCATTTCATTACTTGCCACATGGCTATTTGTACGCCAGATTTTTCAATAATGACCAGATGGCCTTTTGTACTTTAATTTTGGCCAGACTTTCTAGTTACCAGATGGCCATTTGTACTGGAGATTTGGCCAGATTTTTTAATAGTTATCAGATGAACATTTGTACACGAGATTTGGCCAGATTTTTTAATAGTTATCAGATGAACATTTGTACTGGAGATTTGGCCAGATTTTTTAATAGTTATCAGGTTTTGACACCTTGACAAAGTCCACTGAACTTTGAACTGTTTCTCAGGTTTGGGCCATTGACAATAGGAGATTGACGTATGTCAGGGCTGGAATCACAGAGAACATGCCCATTGGTAAAGAGTGGATTCATGTGCCAGGTAGGTTTGCTGTCCATTGACTTGTGAATGTATCCTAGCCATAGGTCTAGCTTTGACTTTTTCCTTCAGGTATACAAGCTCTAGACCTGGCGCTGACTAAAACAGGTGTCTGGGCACTCACCACCAATGGGGAAATTTTTTTCCGTTACGGCATCTCAAGGGAGTTAACCAGTGGGGATTACTGGAAAAAAATTCCTGGAATTTTTAGAAAAATATCAGGTACCTCATTTTTTGTACAAACACAACAGCAGACCTACAAACACACCTGCTGACCTACAAGCACACCTGACCTACAAACACACCTGACCTACAAACACACCAGCCCTACAAGCACACCAGCCCTACAAGCACACCTGACCTAGAAACACACCTTTAAAAAGTGTCTCTCTTCCAGCCTCAGCCAATGATGAACTGTGGGGGGTCACCAGAGAGGGGCATCTCATGCAGTGTAGCCTCAAGTGCTTGAATCGACAACACCATTTTCCTGAGGCCCCAACTGGCCGGCTGACCAGTTCCAGCAGTTTAAGTGAAGATGTGGACTGGGAAATTGTCTAGCATTCAAATTCATTAGGCTATTTTCAATTATTTTCTCTGTGTCTGTTTAATCATTGTTTGCCATTGAAAATAAATCCAACTTTCAAATTAATTAAGTAAGGTCCCTCATCAGTTATAAAGCTGTTTTGGTATGAAATATACCCATAAATTTAGACCTGCTTCCAAATGGACAAATATTTGATCAATGCCAATGAGTGTCAGTTATCTTGTTTAGAAGTGAGTGCTTTTATTTCTGTCCTGATGGAACTTGGTTGAATTGTTCGTCAAGTGGAGTTACTAACTAGTTTAAATCTTTCCTGTTGACAAAAATGGCCAATATTTTTTTTTTGTGTGCTGGCATTAAAAAAAAATTCTTGCCGTGACAATTGATCTGTCATTGTCTGCTGCACATTTAGATATACTCAGTGTTCAGAATGGCTAAACAAGCGCTGTGATTTTTGTACCATTTGGTGTAACCATTTCATCATCTTTTTTTTTACCAAAGTGCAATGTTTCAGGGTCTGCTTCCAAATGCTGTCATTTTAACTGTATGGGTCAACTCTCTTAGAAAAATGTTTATATGCTTAGAAAAATGACACATTTGAGCAAATAACTGTGTTGTGAATTTAATATTTTTGGTCTGTCAGATTTTTAAAATTTATTATTTGAATTGTGCCTGCTCCCTGCCTGTGTTTAGCTGCTTCAGGTTTTTAAATTGAAGTTTTACTCTGATCCAATATTATTCCTATCTTTTGATAAAAAGTTATTGTCCTTGAATATTCCACTATTTGATCATTCATCTAAATAATGTGCTTTAATATGACTTTTATATTTAAATCCTAATTTCACCCTTGTTTTTTACAATGCAAGATTTTGAACACACTCATGCACAAAGTCACCTTGAATTATTTATTTGACTCTTATTTTTGTCATAAAAATAAACGGAATATTTTTAATATAATTTTGCCGTCTATTATGAACAAACTGTTTGAATGTAGTGTGTAAAACAGCAGGCACAGCATAGCCTACCACAACATGTGAGATGAGTGTATGGGGGGGGGGGGGGGAAGGAGGGGGGTTGCAGTGCCACAGCCCCACCCCAGACAAAATAGAATTTATACATAAAATATATACTTGAATCAGTGTCCACCCCATCCCCACCTTAAATTTCAAGTGTACCCCCCTCCCCCATGGAGAAAAGAAATACTGAATGTGGGAGAAATAGCTTCATTTCTTATTGTTGTCTATTAGCACTTGTGTTGTTTGCAGTCATGTCTTGTCCTGCAGTGTTTTTGTTTTATGATCAGGGTCTGTTGCTTATTGATATTGATCTAATAATACTTCAGTGTTATTTATAAACATTGTGGGCAGTGCTCATTAAAACTCTTTATTGGCTGACTTCTACCTTTTGTCTAACAAAAGTTATTCCAAACCCTGATGTTCTTATCATTGTCATCTAGCAGGTTATTATTTTTATTGATGCAGGATGTTTCTACAAGCTTTTATTTAGTTTGCAACGTCTGTTTGTCTGTGGGTTTATGGCAAATCTTGTAACTCAATTTTGACACACTTCCAATGCATCAATTTCGTTTAAACTTTGATGTCAATACAAACCTATCTATTTTTAAATTTAATCAGATGTTTAATTAGTCATTAAAAATTAATTAATCCGAAAGGGAGATAACAAAATTAAATAATTCAATAAATTACTCATTTACTGTATTCAGTAACAGAAGAGGAGATAGTAGCTAGCTGCGATCACCCTAACAGTCTGATGAGCTGTGGTTCACGACAATGTTATCAGGGGCAGATCATAAAGATTTGAAACTAAGGGGAGGTAACAAGATCTGGTTGTTAACGTCTGTAAACTGTTGTCACGGATGGCTGCTTTCGCGGGAAAGGGGGGGGGGGAAGAATTATCATCTTTCAGTGAAAGACTTTCACGAGCTATTTATAGTATTTTAAAGCAAATATTTTTAGATGCAGCATTGGCAGATATATATTATGAATTACTAAAACGTAGAAAATAAGACAAATCTAAAAAAAACTTTCAAATAGCACGCTTTCAAATGCACTGAAAATAAGAAAATAAAACACATTTTCTTTCTTTCATATAAGCTTTGGTTGCTAAAATATGCAAAAAAAATATCTCACGAGCAAATTAGTTTTATTTTCAGTGCATTTAAAAGCTTGCTCTATTTTATATATTATTTTTTTCTATAAAAGTGTTGCTCCTCTACCAGTGGCGTAGCTACTGTAAAGCTAGTGTAAGCAAGGCATAGGGGCCCAAAGCAAATAGGGGCCCTTTTCCCCCCTTCAATTTTCTTGAAAACTTTTACATTGGAAAGTTAATATTTGTATTATAAAAATAATTTTTAAAAGAAAACGGAAATCCAGTTTCTTTCCTACTGTAGAAGTAATAATTTTTTAAAAAGCCCCCCCCCCCCCCTCCCCCAAACCTTTCTTACTGGGGAGGGGGAGGGGGTTGTACAAGGCTCATCGGTATTAATAACACTATAGGCATTGTTTCATTGTCGGGCAAGCCGTTGAGAGAATTAGCCTATAAATGAGAGATTGGCATCCGGCACCCACAAATTTATACGCATCGCTAAAAACTCTCTATACCACCAACCTGCACCCCCTCCCCTCTCAACTTTCTTCAGGGGGGGGGGGGGACACTGTTAAAAGTATATATTTTCTATATAAATTATATAAATTTCATTTCGTTCGGGGGGTGGGGGGTTTTTGGGGGGGCTCTCTGTAAGAAACTCTGCACCCATGAGAAGCAGTGTCTCCCCTCCCCCCCTCGAAGAGAAGCCAGAAAGAAACTCTGACTCATGCAAAGTTTTCTGCCATTAATTTTTTTTTCTATTTTGTTCGGAGAGCGGCCCCTTGATAGTAAGGCGGTGCGGTTTGCCACCCAGAGTTTCCCAACGGCTTACTTAGCACCCGCGGCAAGTTAATAGGGTGTCCTGCACAAGGGGTCAGGGTTACTGCTTAATTCAACGGTCAAGCTGCACAAGTGCATCAGCAGGCACCCCGGGCTCCCCCCGTGAGCACTACAGTGCATACACTTGTTTTAGTGAGCGACATGCCCTAGGGATACAGAGGGCTACTATAATCAATGGCTAAAGAAAAAAAGGGGTGTCCTCCAGCCACCTCGGCACTAATATACAGTTGGGCGCCCCAAATTTTATGAGTTTTGGTCATGGTGTTACGCCTAAATTGTGAGGCCCCTGCCCTGTGACGCTACTGTGTTAGTTTACTTAAAAGTTACAGGCTTACAGTTAATTTGTAAGTTGTTTTTTTTTACATCAAAGTGATATAAAAATCAAAGATATTTTACGCTAAGTGGAACTACATAATAATACCGTATAAATACACAACTATGGAGTATAAAATACAAAATTTACAGATTAACGTAGGGACCCAATAAGAATTTTTGCATAGGGGCCCAAAAATCCTAGCTACGCCACTGGCCTCCACTAGTATTAAACAACACAGCACCTCTTCTTGTTTATACTATAATTGGAGTCTCAACAACAGAGTTGATTGAGAAATAATCATAAGGCTCGTTCTAGGCCAACATCTTTGATAAAGGGCTCAACGATAGTGTCGATGAGAATAGTGTTAAATCGGCTGAAACGATTTAAAACAAGGGAGTAAATAATAATATACTTGGCGAATTTTAAATTCGCAGTGCTCTTTTCTTAGAAAAAAATTCATCATGGCGGAAACAAACGCGTTTACGATAAAATTATTAAAATACGACTAGACCTAGACTAGATCTAGATTCTAGCTTGAGTGAGAGTGCTTTGTGGTTATCCTAACGTTTTTACCAGTGAAAAACAATGTGTGTATTACAGTAATAAAAGAAGTAAGAATAAATTATTGTCTTTTTAGATTTGCACTTCAGCAGTAAAAGCAGAAAAAATGCTAAAAAACTTAAAAGAGGGAAGGTGGTGCTCAGCTGCTCAAGCAATGAAGCAAGCACTGTGAATTTCAGTACTGTGAATTTAGATCTAATCTAGGTTCTAGATTTAGATCTAGATCTAGTTTTAGTAGAATTTACTAACTCAACAATGCTTCTTACGCCATCTAACAACTTATTAATTTATTGATTAGATTAATAAATTAGGAGAGGTGATTAGCCTAATGCTGGGTCTATCACATCTCCATCTTCTTTATGATCTTTTGATTGCAGTTTTGGAAATCTGGTCTTCTTCGCCTTCAATAATATTAATAAATAATAATTGTAGAGTAATGTAGAGTACAGTTTAATTGAGTTTAAGTAGGCCTACAGTACTACAGTAGTCTTGATGAAATTTAGGTCATTCACCAGTAGTCCTATTGAGTCGGTTATTATTCTGGAATAGTAGGCCTATAGTTTAGACGTATGTGGCGTATAGCAGTAAAAACAGTAAAATAATGGCATATTCTGTTACACAGTTCTGGAATCTACCCGAAGTACTGCTAGCATTTTAATTTTCATGAAATACAGATATTATAATAATAATATTCCAGTACCATAACTGAAGAAAGAGAGAAAAATTGAAAAAAAAAATTGAGTTAAGAAAAGACCTAAGTATTACAGTTTAAGGTGAATTTAATATTTGCTGAGTAAATGATTCATTATGAACTCTTATTATGTAGCACTTTTGTAGATGACCAAACCCTAACCCTCAGTCAATGTGTAACCACTAGGGTGACCTGGAAGACTCCTGGCTGCACCCTTGAGCATTATAACGCCTATGTTTGTTTTAAAGAGTGCCATACACTAGGGACAGAAGGGCTAATCATTGACTAAATTGAGTCAGATGGTTCACCCGGGGTCAAGTGACCAGCTGATGTGTCCCGGGCCCCCACATGAACACTGTAGCTTCTATATTTGTTTTGACACTATAGGGTTGGTAAGTAGGTCACCAACCAGTTCTACGGCTCAATAAAACCTGCATGAGCCATAGAACTGGTTGGTGACCTACTTACCAGCCCTATAGCATCTGTATTTGTTTTGACACTGCAGCATCTATCTATATTTATTTTGACAGTTATTGAATGAAAACTTGAGTTTTAATATTAATTACTGGATTCATTTTTTTTTAAATTTCAGAATTCATGCATTTCTTCATCTGGTTATGTGCCAATTATGTTTGGAGCTGAAGGGAGCAAACTCTAAGATTGTTTTGACATTTACAGCAGGTTTGAAGTAGCTTAAAGTAAAGCAATGTTTAACTGGAACGCTCAGATGCGAGGGGCAGGTTTCAACCTCCCTCACCCACAAATGATGCCCTTTCCAAGTGGACAGGCCCCTTTTCACCCGACTATGGCTTTTCAAGGTCACCCACATCAGCCAAACTGGCAGCAACAGCAGCAGCACAACTTTCAGTGCATGCCTGGCATGGGCATGATGATGGCGCAGCCCTGGGCGGGTCAGCCGTCAGCTGTCTTTACTGGTTTCCCAGCTGACCCCATGGGCTTATCAGTTCCTGGTCTGATGGGGCAAATGAACCCAGTCCCACCTTCTCAGCCCCCTCCAGAAGAGAAGCCTCCATTGCCTGCGGAACCTCCTCCACCTCTACCTGTGTCACCCAAGGTAAAACTTCTTTCAACCCTCTTGTTCTTATAATAGTTCTTTCAATCTTTCCTCCAGCTATGAACAGCATTATGTTTGTATTTGTATGGTTGCGTATGTTACTATTTTCATTTTCTCCTGTTCTAACTTATAGACAATTCTAAAACAGCAGCAGTTTAAAATGTTAACTTGTTTGTGTTCAGCTGTTGCCCTCTTTATTGTGACTTTTCTATGGTGCTTTTCTCAGCCTCCCTCTACACCTCAGGAACAGGGCAAACCTCCATTACCTGGACAGGCAAAGGGCAAATGGGATCAGACACCTCAGGAACAGGGCAAACCTCCGTTACCTGGACAGGCAAAGGGCAAATGGGATCAGACACCTCAGGAACAGGGCAAACCTCCGTTACCTGGACAGGCAAAGGGCAAATGGGATCAGACACCCCAGGAACAGGGCAAACCTCCATTACCTGGACAGGCAAAGGGCAAATGGGATCAGACACCTCAGGAACAGGGCAAACCTCCGTTACCTGGACAGGCAAAGGGCAAATGGGATCAGACACCTCAGGAACAGGGCAAACCTCCGTTACCTGGACAGGCAAAGGGCAAATGGGATCAGACACAAAAAGATGTAAGATTGAATGGATTTATTAGCTGTTTCTAATTTTAACATCTCCCAATGTTTGTAGGAAATGCAAAATTTTTGTTTAAAGGTAACTTTCAGCACACAAAAAAACAGTCAAAAGTCCAAAACTGTTTCTCTTATCCATTTTCCTGAGATATTTTTTGCTAATAACTTTTTAATGGTCTTTTTTTTTTTTGCAGACTTTAATATGTTCATTAACTGTAATGCTCCACCATTACAATATATTATATTAAATGCGTATTTATTCCATTCTAAATGACACCATACCACTCTTCTAAATGCCATTGTTCCTCTATTTTAGCCACCCGCTACACCTGCTAAATGCCATTGTTCCTCTATTTTAGCCACCCGCTACACCTGCTAAATGCCATTGTTCCTCTATTTTAGCCACCCGCTACACCTGATCAGATCAAAGGGCAGACAAATACTCAGACATCTGGTCAACCAGTAGCACCCTATGGCCCACCTCCATCCAAGCCAGCCCCTCCCACAGAACCTGCACCATCACAGCCCCCTCCACCAGACAAACCCAGTCCAGGTAAGACAAGCATGACTCAGGTACTTGTGTGTCCCAGCTTTAGGTTTTTAGCTCATCTTTTTTCAGGTGTTTATATAAGGGCAATGAAATACCAAACAAAAGACAAAAGAAGTCATTTATTTATGACTTCCACAAATATTTTGGATTTCGTGTCCTTTTTGGACAAACACATCCCCCCCCCCTACCTGATATGGATGTCACAAAAATATAAAAGGCCTCTCAAAACATACTTCCAATTTACTATTTCAATAACATATGTACCATTTACTGATACACAGCTTGAATATTTTTATAATATCATTAGGCTTAAATATTAATAGTAGAATCTAGAGTTAGAGATAAAAATTAATGTTTTAAACGTCAAAGTATTACTTTTTTTTTCAAGGATTACCAACTAAAAATGTATGCAAAGTTCTAGCTAGTCATCAACAGATACATTTACCATCAAATTCTGCCTTTGTTGTGTGTCCCCACTTTACTGGACATTTGCTACAAACATAAGCCTACATAGCCACAACTACTTACTAGTCTTGTTACAGACATCCCCATAAGCCTACATAGCCACAACTACTTACTAGTCTTGTTACAGACATCCCCATAAGCCTACATAGCCACAACTACTTACTAGTCTTGTTGTTTAAATCTGTCTTTTTCATGTGGTTATCATGAGGTGATTATTTCCAAGTAAAAAACAAATACAACCCCTAAGAATAGATAAAGGTAAAGGTTTATCAAGAGATGAAATTAATGCAGTGTAAATTTAGGGAAGTTATTGAAGTCTTTAATTAGCTTGTCACGGTTTATCAAGTCACAGTTATTTTTAAACTTACTTTTCAGTTTCTCAATTTTCCCCAAAAAATTCTCACCTTGGAATTGTGTGGAGAAATTGAATGTCTTAAATATGTTTGCTATTAGCTGGCAACATTATTATTATGTGGGGAGGGGGGTACTGTGTTTGTAAGAAAAATTATGTTGTGAACATTGCTTTTCTAAAACTAGACCCAAAATTGGTATCTGATCTTGCAAGAGTGAAACAAGAGCAGGCGGCATTCTTAGAGCAGTACAAACAGTGGAAGCAGCAGTATGATGATTGGAGGGAGCAGAACCAGAGTAAGTCTTGCTTGTGGTTGGTCCAGTGTGCTAGGTCAAGGTTAGGATATTTGCTTGTGGTTGGTTCAGTGTGCAAGGTCGGGGGTCAGGATATTTGCTTGTGGTTGGTTCAGTGTGCTAGGTCCAGCGTGCTAGGTCAAGGTCAGGATATTTGCTTGTGGTTGGTCCAGTGTGCTAGGTCAAGGTCAGGATATTTGCTTGTGGTTGGTTCAGTGTGCTAGGTCAAGGTCAGGATATTTGCTTGTGGTTGGTTCAGTGTGCAAGGTCGGGGGTCAGGATATTTGCTTGTGGTTGGTTCAGTGTGCTAGGTCAAGGTTAGGATATTTGCTTGTGATTGGTTAATTGTGACCAGTGTGATGTGTTAGGGTTGGACCAGTTTAATGTATTAGGGTTGGACCAGTGTGATGTATTAGGGTTTGACCAGTGTGATGTGGTTGATGAACTTTGTTTCCATTGTTTTAGACCACCCAAACAAAGAGCAGTTCAAACAATATTTGGAGCAGTGGCAGACGTACGAGCAGCAGATGGAAGTCAGGAGGAAGATGATTGACTCACAGATTGAAAACTTGCAGGGACAGCTGGCACAAACTAACAAGCCAGCAGATAATCCACTTCCCAACCAGTGGTCAGCGGACAATCCTTTGCCCAACCAGTGGTCATCAGATAAGCCCACGCCCAACCAGTGGTCATCAGATAAGCCCACGCCCAACCAGTGGTCATCAGATAAGCCCACGCCCAACCAGTGGTCATCAGATAAGCAGACGCCTAACCAGTGGTCAGCAGATAATCCACTTCCCAACCAGTGGTCAGCAGATAAGCAGACGCCCAACCAGTGGTCAGCAGATAAGCCCACGCCCAACCAGTGGTCAGCAGACAATCCTTTGCCCAATCAGTGGGCATCAGATAAGCCCACGCCCAACCAGTGGGCATCAGATAAGCCCACGCCCAACAACCGGTGGTCAGCAGATAAACAGACGCCCAACAACCAGTGGGCATCAGATAAGCAGACGCCTAACCAGTGGTCAGGCCCATCCCAGTCTAACAGTGCAACAAACCAGTCCCAGCCGGGGTGGGGCCAACACGAGCCAGGTACAGCTCCTTCCACTGGCCTGGGCCCATCTGCACTGGGTGAGCCTCGGTACCCGCAGAAGTTTGAGCACAAGGACAGGTCTAGTGCCCCACGCAGTGAGTACACCCCCACAGAGAGCAAGGTGAGAAAGTTTGGGGGGGAGGAGGACGAGAAGGGTGAAGAGGACATGAACCTGGACAACGAGGAAGATTCCGGTGGGATCATAGAGAGTGGTCAGCAGCCTGACTGGCCAGCCCAGCGCTGGAGCTCAGGCCAATGGAACACCTGGGACCAGGAGTCTGGAGACCACTGGAACAATCCACAGCCCTACAGCCAGGCTCCTCGGGGCTTTCCTAGAGCCAACTTCAGAGGACCAGGTGACATGGGCCCCAGGTATGCCAGAGGGGGCCCTGGTAGCAATCAGGGCCCTCGATTCCCAGGGCCTGGGATGAACGAGCGTTTCCCTGGTCAGGGGATGAATGAGAGATTCCCGGGGATGGGCGAGCGCTTCCCCGGACCTGGGATGAATGAGCGCTTCCCTGGACCTGGGATGAATGAGCGCTTCCCCGTGCCTGGGATGAATGAGCGCTTCCCCGGGCCGGGGATGAATGAGGGGTTCCCTGAACCCAGCATGAACCAGCAGTTTGGTGGACCTGGGATGCATGAAGGACCAAGATATCCACCCATGAAAGATGTTCAGCATTTCCCTCCAGATGGCCCTAGATTCCCCGCTGGCGGGCCAAGATTTAATGGGCCAAGGCACAGTAGCGGTAATGACTTTGATGGCGATGACAATTTTTTTGATAGAGACAACTGTGAAGATGTGGGGTATGATCCATTTGATGGCCCAGCAGGTAGAGGAAGAGGAAATTTCATGAGAGGTCCAAGAGGCATGGGGGAGTTTCAAAGAGGGAGGGGTGTGGAGAGGGGGAGAGGAGGTTTTCCTAGAGGCAGAGGTGGAATGCTGGGTGAGTTGAGCCAAGAGGTGGCTGAAGATCCACAGAGACCAGACAGTGATTTTCTCATTGGACAAGAAGAGGCTCAGGGAAATGGAGAGGAGTTTCCTCGTGGACGAGGAGAGTTTCCTTGTGGACGAGGTGGAGAATTTCCTCGTGGACGAGGTGGAGAATTTCCTCGTGGACGTGGAGAGTTTCCTCGTGGACGTGGAGGTGAGTTTTCTCGAGGAAGAGGTGACTTCCTGAGAGGAAGAGGAAGAGGGGTAGATTTCTTCAGAGGAAGAGGTGCCATGTTTGGTGAAGAGGATTTTCTAGAGCCAGAACAAGGACCTGGTAGAGGGGGCCTCCACCCCAGAGGGAGGGGAAGGGCACCACTCCCTTCCCTGTTAGATGTGAGTTTTGAAGAGAGCATGAAAGAAAAATTTGCAGACTTTGATCCTGCAGCTGATGCACCAGATGAAGGTCAGGAGAACTTCCAGCCTGACTTCATGGACAGAGGGCGGGGCAGGGGGGGTGCTAGGGGCAGGGGTAGGGGATTTCAGGAACCTGCAGAAGATTACAGTGAAGGCCTGGACTTTGCTCCTCAAGGTAGGGGTATGATTAGGGGAGCCATGGAGCGGGGTAGGGGCGCAATGGAGCGAGGTAGGGGCGCAATAGATCGGGGTAGAGGTATGATGGAGCGAGGTAGGGGCGTAATAGATGGTGGTAGAGGTATGTTCAGGGGGCGAGGAGGCTTCCCTCCTGAACATTTTGCCCGAGAAGAGTTTGGCTTTAATGGGAGGGGCCGTGGGCGAGGCATGGCTGCACCCCCTGCCTTTGATGGTGGTATGCTCAATCCTGAGGAAGAATTTCAGGAAGGATTTGAACTGGAGGACTTTGACAGGGGTGGCAACATGGAACATGGTGATGGGGACTTTGACTTGAGAGGACGGGGTGTGGGGCGCGCTGTGTTTGGACGTGGCAGAGGGCGTGGAGCTGGCCAGCCAATTTATGATGCACCATGGGGGAATGATGAAGAAGAATCGATGGCAGAGTTTAACAGGGTAAGTCCTCTATTTAACAAACTTTTATTTAACTTGCTTTGTCTGTCATCATGGATCAAAACGGGCGAGCGAAATTTTGGGCACTTCTAACTGGCAGATTCGTTTCAAAGTTGGCACATGGGTCAAGACTTGAAGACAATGCAATATGGCATAAAATTTAACTAAATTGGATGCCTAATTTAATTTTTTATGAATTAATTAAAATTTTCTGAAATGAGTAGGCTGTCTCACTACCACTATTCAGCACTATTATATGCGCATAGTCATGTTCATTTGGTGCGAAGTAGTTTTTATTCATGCAACTCTATTGTAGAGTACTGAAAAAAACTAACAACAAGCTTTTAATATGTAATCTATATACTACTAAAACTCAAGTTTGTTTACATGTTTGAATATATATTTGTTTTTTTGTTGTTTTTTTTGTTTGTCTGATTGACTACTGTTGAATATCTACGCTACATGGAGAACTGTACTGTAAAATAGTATGTAGGTAGAGAACAATTTTTGTTTACAGACAGACTGTTAATCACAAATTTATTTAAAGACATTAATTAATTAATTGATTTATTCATAGGTAGATTAACCACATTAATTTTAAAGTTTTAGAACAATGGCTTAACTTTGACTGAATAGTGACGTTTGATAACTAATTTTTTTTTCTGATTTGTTATTGGGGAGAATCTGCATTATGTGTAAAGCTGTAAAATAGGGGTTTTGGGTGGTAAATATTGTTCCTTCTTAAACACACTGTTAATTACAAACTAATTTAAAGCCGTTAATTAATTCATTGATATATTCATAGGTAGATTAACCACATTAATTACAAAAGTTTAGAACAATGACTTTAGTAATAGTTAAAAGATTTATTTTCTTTTTACAACAATGTTTTCAATTATTTTTTTCTTAAGGCCTACATGTGAATGATAGGTTGACTATCAGGACCTGGGGGGGGGGGGGGGGGGGGCACAGGGCAGGTGAAGTAGAGTTCACCTGTTTCTATGTTCTCAGCATATGAAGGGATAGTGTGGTCAGAGCCATGCTCGGCGGGAATCGTTTTTTTTTAAAATTCTAACATGTCTGAGACTTGGCGGGAGACTGGGCAGGTGAAGTAGAGTTTAGTAGAGTTTTTAAAATATAAAAAACGTCTTTTTGAATGTGGGGTCTGGTTATTTTGGGATGATAAGTGCTGACAGACGTGATGTCATTTATGGATGACCCCCGAAACCCACAGTTATCTAACTAGTTAACGGGTAGTCTAGTAATACACTAAAAAGAAGAAAGAATGATTTTCTTTAAATATAATATAATATAATACTCTACTTATTTAAATATCTATACAGAAAAGAGTGGGTCTCTTCCTAAATATTAGTTATGGTATCCAATAGATAATATAGTGACCCATGATTTTCTTAATGGTTATTTAAATAGTAGAGTATTATTATATATTTAAAGAAAATTGTATATTTTCTCCTTTGTAGTTGAAGTTATTACATAAAAGCTTGTTATTAAAACGTTTTATGCATTTTTGTGTGTGTGGGTGTTGACACAATGGTCTTAACTTGTCCTAATGTCATGACTGGATCATGTCCTCACAGGTCCTCTTGTCCATGTCCTTACTGGTCCTTATGTCCTCACTTGTTCATGTCCTTACTGGTCCTCATGTCCTCACTTTTTCATGTCCTTACTGGTCCTCATGTCCTCACTATTCCTCATGTCCTCACTATTCCCTGTCCTCACAGGTCCACTTGTCCATGTCCTTACTGGGTCCTTGTCCTTTTTAAAAAAAAAAATTTGAACTTTCAGCCTGGCCATCCAGGTGGCCGAGGTGGTAGAGCTGATGCAGGGGGCAGGGGAAGAGGGTTTAGACTACCAGATGAGGAAATGTTGGAGCCAGGGCTTGGAGCTGATGATCTTCTTGCCAGAGGGCCAGGTCAAGAGCTAGTGGAGCAGCCTGATCTGGCCAGAGGTCAAGGGAGATTGCTGAATGAGGATGAGCCTGAAGCAAAAAAAGGCAGATTTGATGAGTACCCTGAGGAAAGTCTGGCCAGGAGGAATCTTCCGGTAAGTGGTGACGCTCAAGCTCACCCATGCTGGGCTGACAACTTTGACAAATTTTAAATAGCTCAAAGATAATAACCATAAACAACATGTTTGCACACGTGCTTCAAGCAAGGTTTATTTTGACATGTATTTATAACACTGCACATTATTTTAAATGACCCCTTCTAGGGTTTCACGTTTTTCATTTGCTGTCTGTATTCTTATTTTTAAAAGACTATTCAATCAGACTTGTTTTTATCTAAAAACTATTGTTACTGAATGACCTACTTATTAGTCTACATTTTACTTCTGGCCCAATATACACCTTCTTATTGTCTTTAGACCATATTTCTTTTAATTAATTGTCAGTAAAAAGCTATAAATTTTAAAATCTAAAAAATGCTCACCATAAAACTGATTTTAATCAACTTTTTTTACAGCCATTTCCAGCATTTCCCAGAGACCCCCTTGACCCATTTCTAGATCCTTATGGGGACCCATATCGTCGCTATGCTGATCCTTATTACAGAGACCCATATTTGGATCCTTATGGGCCGTATGGATATGACAGGAGAAAGTTTGATAGGTAAACATTTGGTCTGTTGTAGGTAAACATTTGGTCTGTTGTAGGTAAACATTTGGATAGGTAAACATTTGGACTGTTGTAGGTAAACATTTGGACTGTTGTAGGTAAACATTTGGATAGGTAAACATTTGGTCTGTTGTAGGTAAACATTTGGACTGTTGTAGGTAAACATTTGGTCTGTTGTAGGTAAACATTTGGTCTGTTGTAGGTAAACATTTGGTCTGTTGTAGGTAAACATTTGGTCTGTTGTAGGTAAACATTTGGTCTGTTGTAGGTAAACATTTGGATAGGTAAACATTTGGACTGTTGTAGGTAAACATTTGGACTGTTGTAGGTAAACATTTGGATAGGTAAACATTTGGTCTGTTGTAGGTAAACATTTGGACTGTTGTAGGTAAACATTTGGTCTGTTGTAGGTAAACATTTGGACTGTTGTAGGTAAACATTTGGTCTGTTGTAGGTAAACATTTGGACTGTTGTAGGTAAACATTTGGTCTGTTGTAGGTAAACATTTGGACTGTTGTAGGTAAACATTTGGTCTGTTGTAGGTAAACATTTGGACTGTTGTAGGTAAACATTTGGACTGTTGTAGGTAAACATTTGGTCTGTTGTAGGTAAACATTTGGTCTGGCTGTTAAAAATAATTCTGGCTAATACATGTTGTTAACATGTGCTAATGTTGTCTAGGTTCGGGCCATCAAGATTTGTTAACATGTGCTAATGTTGTCTAGGTTTGGGCCGTCAATATTTGTTAACATGTGCTAATGTTGTCTAGGTTTGGGCCATAAATATTTGTTAACATGTGCTGATGTTGTCTAGGTTTGGGCCATCCATCAATATTTGTTAACATGTGCTAATGTTGTCTAGGTTTGGGCCATCAAGGTTTGTTAACGTGCTAATGTTGTCTAGGTTTGGGCCATCAATATTTGTTAACATGTGCTAATGTTGTCTAGGTTTGGGCCATCAATATTTGTTAACATGTGCTAATGTTGTCTAGGTTTGGGCCATCAATATTTGTTAACATGTGCTAATGTTGTCTAGGTTTGGGCCATCAATATTTGTTAACATGTGCTAATGTTGTCTAGGTTTGGGCCATCAATATTTGTTAACATGTGCGAATGTTGTCTAGGTTTGGGCCATCAATATTTGTTAACATGTGCTAATGTTGTCTAGGTTTAGGCCATCCATCAATATTTGTTAACATGTGCTAATGTTGTCTAGGTTTGGGCCATCAATATTTGTTAGCATGTGCTAATGTTGTCTAGGTTTAGGCCATCCATCAATATTTGTTAACATGTGCTAATGTTGTCTAGGTTTGGGCCGTCCAGATTTGAAGGAGAGAGGAAACCATTTGTCCTTGCTGAAAGTATAGACTACGGGCATGGCGGAGTAGAGAAAAAAGGTAATTTCATCTGCCCATATTTAAGTACTTAATTATAATAAAGATGTAGTGTCATAGGCCGTCCCCCCCCTCTCCTCTTTTTAGACAGGAGCTGGACAATGCCCCCAGTTAGCCTCTGGTAGCCACCCCCCCCCCTTCACACACACCTATTTATAACCATCACCCTTTTCCCTTACTAATAAAGCACTGATATGTTGGCACAAAATGTAAACATCAATGGAATGTTGGTGTACTGTTGTTGGTTTTTAGGTGTGAATGTGGTGAAACTTTCTACAGAGCTAGTGTTTGATGTCTGGTTGCTTTGTCTCTTAAGATATATTTAGATCAGTGCCCTGTTGGACCTTAAGGTCTAGCAACTTTCTACAGAGCTAGTGTTTGATGTCTGGTTGCTTTGTCTCTTAAGATATATTTAGATCAGATATAAGCAGTATTCTGCTCCAGCTCACTGTGTTTCACATCACAGTATTCTCCTTCCCTTTAACCTTTAAAAATGCTGTAGGTCACTCATGTTTGTTGACTTACCCTTTAACCTTTAAAAATGCTGTAGGTCAATCATGTTTGTTGACTTCCCCTTTAGCCTTTAAAAATGGCGTAGGTCACTCATGTTTGTTGACTTCCCCTTTAGCCTTTAAAAATGGCGTAGGTCACTCATGTTTGTTGACTTCCCCTTTAGCCTTTAAAAATGGCGTAGGTCACTCATGTTTGTTGACTTCCCCTTTAGCCTTTACCCCAGCGGAGGTGATAGACTACGGCCATGGCCAAGCTGGTGAAGGTACAGCAGGACCAAGGGAAGCCAGTGGAGCACAGGACCCATCACAAGGTGACAGCAAGTTTTTGAAATCATTCACCCCAGTTTACTTCACTGACTAGATCTAGATGGTCATTGTGTCTAGTCAAACTTTCAAATCACAGGACTCTTTTGATCATATGATTCCAGTGTTTGGCATGAGTTTTGTCTGTAGTTATTCCACTTGTATCATTGTCATCTTGCACTTATTCCACTTGTATCATTGTCATCTTGCACTTATTCCACTTGTATCATTGTCATCTTGCAGTTAATCCATTTGTATCATTGTGATTCCAACAGGTGATCCAGACTGGTCAGTGGACAAAGATCTGAGAGAGATTGACCAAACATGTGGCTCACGTGATGTGGACCTGCGCAGCTTTGACAGGTCCTCAAGGTCATTGGGTGCATACCCAGGAGGGAGAGAGGAGGGGAGGGCAGAAGATGAGGACATGAGGTACAGGGGCAGAGATGGAGGGAGGAGATTTGTCCCCAGGGACCATGATGGGAGGAGTCAGGAGAGGGAGGAGCTAGGGAGGATTGACAAGGGTGAGGGAGGAGACCCAGAGCAGGACCTGTTCAGGAGGGAAGAGATGTATGGCAGGGGGGTGGACCTGTACAGGGGAGGTGAGCCATATGGCGCCAGAAGATCTGAGCATCACATCAGCAGAGCAGAATTTGGCAGAGGCCATGAAGAAGATGTATATGGTGAGAGGTTTGCCCCAGCCCAGCGGGACAGTTTGTTGTATGAGAGAGAGGACTCGCTCTATAGAGGTCAAAGGTCAGTACACATGTCATGTGACTAAATGTACACACTGTTGCTGTGGCTAAATGTACACACTGTTGCTGTGACTAAATGTACACACTGTTGTTGTGACTAAATGTACACACTGTAGTGACTAAATGTACACGCTGTTGATGTGACTAATTGTACACACTGTTGTTGTGACTAAATGTACACACTGTTGTGACTAAATGTACACACTGTTGCTGTGACTAAATGTACACACAGTTGCTGTGACTAAATAGACACACTGTTGTGACTAAATGTACAGACTGTTGTTGTGACTAAATGTACACACTGTTGCTGTGACTAAATGTACATGCTGTTGTAACTAAATGTACACACAGTTGCTGTGACTAAATAGACACACTGTTGTGACTAAATGTACAGACTGTTGTTGTGACTAAATGTACACACTGTTGCTGGACTAAATGTACATGCTGTTGTAACTAAATGTACACACTGTTGCTGTGACTAAATGTACATGCTGTTGTAACTAAATGTACACACTGTTGCTGTGACTAAATGTACATGCTGTTGTAACTAAATGTACATGCTATTGTGACTAAATGTACATGCTGTTGTAACTAAATGTACATGCTGTTGTGACTAAATGAACATACTGTTGTTGTGACTAAATGTACACACTGTTGCTGTGACTAAATGTACATGCTGTTGTAACTAAATGTACATGCTGTTGTGACTAAATGTACACACTGTTGTGACTAAATGTACATGCTGTTGTAACTAAATGTACACACTGTTGCTGTGACTAAATGTACACACTATTGTTGTCTACAGAGAGGAGTATGGACGTGGCTTGTCTCCCCTCAGGTCTTCCCCACCCTTGAGGCTCCCACAGCCAACTGCAGCCACAGCAGAGATTGTAAAGGTCAGTTTGACATACAAGATATGTGTCTTCTAGTGGTCAGTTTGACATACAAGATGTGTGTCTTCTAGTGGTCAGTTTGACATACAAGATGTGTTTTGTAGTGGTCAGTTTGACATACAAGATGTGTCTTCTAGTGGTCAGTTTGACATACAAGATGTGTGTTTTGTAGTGGTCAGTTTGACATACAAGATATGTGTTTTGTAGTGGTCAGTTTGACATACAAGGTATGTGTCTTCTAGTGGTCAGTTTGACATACAAGATGTGTGTTTTGTAGTGGTCAGTTTGACATACAAGATATGTCTTTTAGTGGTCAGTTTGACATACAAGATGTGTGTTTTGTAGTGGTCAGTTCGACATACAAGATATGTCTTTTAGTGGTCAGTTTGACATACAAGATGTGTGTTTTGTAGTGGTCAGTTTGACATACAAGATATGTGTTTTGTAGTGGTCAGTTCGACATACAAGATATGTCTTCTAGTGGTCAGTTTGACATACAAGATGTGTTTTGTAGTGGTCAGTTTGACATACAAGATGTGTTTTGTAGTGGTCAGTTCAACATACAAGATGTGAGTTTGCCATGGTAAGGTTAGGTGGTTGTGGCTTGTGAAGATGTTAAGTCCTATTTGTCGTGGTTGCAATAAGTTTTTCTGATGGTAAAACATGATGTAACAAAGCTTGCCCACTGTAACAAAGAGTGTGTACTGTATCAAAGAATGTCCACTAACAGTGTCCACTGTAACAAAGAGTGCCCACTGTAACAAAGAATGCCCACTGTTTCAGGTAGAAGACCTTCTCTGCCCACCAGCTCGAGAGAGTCGACCACCTCATGTTGTTGTCATCATCAGAGGATTGCCTGGCAGTGGGAAAACTTATGTCAGCAAGTTGATCCGGGTAAGTCAGCTGGCTGGGAAAACTTATGTCAGCAAGTTGATCCGGGTAAGTCAGCTGGCAGTGGGAAAACTTATGTCAGCAAGTTGATCCGGGTAAGTCAGCTGGCTGGGAAAACTTATGTCAGCAAGTTGATCCGGGTAAGTCAGCTGGCTGGGAAAACTTATGTCAGCAAGTTGATCCGGGTAAGTCGGGTTCTCTATGTTTGCTGGGCAGGGCAATTGTGCTTTTTGTCATTTTTTGCTATTTTTGTTTTTGCCTGTTCCCTTTGTTCCACAGTAATTATCTTAAGTTATATGGGGTATGTGATGGATGAAGAATCATGGAAACTGGAATTTTTAAAAACATTTTACTTGAGCCACATTCCTTTCAGATTTTAAAAATTCAGGGTCGATCAAATTTAAGGGTATTTAGTGTTAGGACTTGGTGGAAAAATGAGTCTCTCCCTTATTTAAAAAAAATGAAATAAGGTCTAACTGCTGATTAGCAATAACCTAATTATTTATAACTTTGTGCTGGTCTAAGAGTGAAGCATTACTTTGTGCTGGTCTAAGAGTGAAGCATTACTTTGTGCTGGTCTAAGAGTGAAGCATTACTTTGTGCTGGTCTAAGAGTGAAGCATTACTTTGTGCTGGTCTAAGAAGGAGACATTACTTTGTGCTGGTCTAAGAAGGAGACATTACTTTGTGCTGGTCTAAGAGTGAAGCATTACTTTGTGCTGGTCTAAGAGTGAAGCATTACTTTGTGCTGGTCTAAGAGTGAAGCATTACTTTGTGCTGGTCTAAGAAGGAGACATTACTTTGTGCTGGTCTAAGAGTGAAGCATTACTTTGTGCTGGTCTAAGAGTGAAGCATTACTTTGTGCTGGGCTAAGAGTGAAGCATTACTTTGTGCTGGTCTAAGAAGAATCCATTACTTTGTGCTGGTCTAAGAAGAATCCATTACTTTGTGCTGGTCTAAGAAGGAGACATTACTTTGTGCTGGTTACCAATGCTGATCTACTCTACAGGAGAAAGAAATGAGTTACGGTGGACCTGCCCCCCGCATGCTGTGTCTTGATGACTACTTCATGGTGGAGACAGACAAGGAAGTCCTGGACACAGACACTGGCAAGAAGGTCAAGAAGAAGGTCTGTATGTTTGTCTACATCCAAATTATGCTAGCATTTATTCAAGGGGAAAGTTAAGAAGAAGAATTGTTTTTTAGTATTTACTAGACTATCCGTCATCCCTTGGATAACTGTGGGTTTCGGGGGTCATCCATAAAAAACATCACGTCTGTCACTTATCGTCACAAAAAACCAGACCCCACATTCAAAAAGATGTTTTTTATCTTTTAAAAACACCAAAAACACCGATTTCGGACTCTCCCTTCATATACGGGCGTATTGTTAAAGTTATGGCAGACAGAAAATTAGCTTTAGAACGCATTAAACATCTGAATCAGCAACTAAATCTTGGATTGAAGTCGCCATTTTATTGTACTAAAAAGTAAACAAATTATGTGACGTCACTATTCAGTCAAGGTTAAGCCATTGTTTGAAAAATTCAAAATTAATGTGGTTAATCTACCAATGAATAAATCAATTAATTAATTAGCGTCTTTAAATAAATTTGTGATTAACAGTCATTCTGAAAACAAAAATTGTTCTCTACCTACATACTATTTTACAGCTCTCCACCTAGCGCCAATTATCTCCAGTATTCAATCAGACAAACAAAAAAACAAACAAATAAATATTCACTTCAAACATGTAAACAAACTTGAGTTTTAGTAGTATAGAGATTGTCAGAGTTCTTTGAATTTTAAAAATTTCCAATGGCTTGCAATAAGGCCAGGTTTGATGTCTGTACCATGTTGAATGTTGTGGTTTGCCATTGGACACAGGTGATGGAATATGAATATGAACAAGCCCTGGAAGATGCATACAGGCAGAGTTTGTTGAAGTCTTTCAAAAAAACAGTGGACGATGGCTTTTTCCCCTTTATTATACTGGATGCTACTAATGAAAGGGTGTGCCACTTCTCAGAGTTCTGGAGTTATGCCAAGTCTAAAGGCTTCCAGGTAACCACAGTCTCAGGTGTTCATTGTCTCAGCATTATTTGTTTAGATGACAGGTCCTAACATAGCTGAATGGTGTAATTGTTCATTGTCTCGGGATTATTTGTTTAGATGACAAGTCTTGTCCTAACATAGCTGAATGATGTAATTGTTCATTGTCTCGGGATTATTTGTTTAGATGACAAGTCTTGTCCTAACATAGCTGAATGATGTAATTGTTCATTGTCTCGGGATTATTTGTTTAGATGACAAGTCTTGTCCTAACATAGCTGAATGATGTAATTGTTCATTGTCTCGGGATTATTTGTTTAGATGACAAGACCTGTCCTAACATAGCTGAATGATGTAATTGTTCATTGTCTCGGGATTATTTGTTTAGATGACAAGTCTTGTCCTAACATAGCTGAATGATGTAATTGTTCATTGTCTCAGGATTATTTGTTTAGATGACAGGTCCTAACATAGCTGAATGATGTAATTGTTCATTGTCTCAGGATTATTTGTTTAGATGACAAGTCTTGTCCTAACATAGTTGAATGATGTAATTGTTCATTGTCTCAGGATTATTTGTTTAGATGACAAGACCTGTCCTAACATAGCTGAATGATGTAATTGTTCATTGTCTCGGGATTATTTGTTTAGATGACAAGTCTTGTCCTAACATAGCTGAATGGTGTAATTGTTCATTGTCTCGGGATTATTTGTTTAGATGACAAGTCTTGTCCTAACATAGCTGAATGATGTAATTGTTCATTGTCTCAGGATTATTTGTTTAGATGACAAGACCTGTCCTAACATAGCTGAATGATGTAATTGTTCATTGTCTCGGGATTATTTGTTTAGATGACAAGTCTTGTCCTAACATAGCTGAATGATGTAATTGTTCATTGTCTCAGGATTATTTGTTTAGATGACAAGTCTTGTCCTAACATAGCTGAATGATGTAATTGTTCATTGTCTCGGGATTATTTGTTTAGATGACAAGTCTTGTCCTAACATAGCTGAATGGTGTAATTGTTCATTGTCTCGGGATTATTTGTTTAGATGACAGGTCCTAACATAGCTGAATGATGTAATTTTTCATTGTCTCTGGATTATTTATTTAGATGACAGGTCCTAACATAGCTGAATGATGTAATTGTTCATTGTCTCGGGATTATTTATTTAGATGACAAGTCTTGTCCTAACATAGCTGAATGGTGTAATTGATGACTGCTGAATCATAATTCTGTTACTTTAAATTTTCATCACTTTCCAGGTGGCTCTAGACTCAGTTCAAATGGGGGGGGGGGGGGGACATCATTTATAAGAAACTAATTAAGAGCAGTGATATTATTTAATTAAACTTGATGTGAGGGGTGAATCTCTGAGAATGGACATGGCAAATAATTGTTACTAGTAGTAGTGCTTGATGTGAGGGGTGAATCTCTGAGAATGGACATGGCTTATAATTGTTACTAGTAGTACTTGATGTGAGGGGTGAATCTCTGAGAATGGACATGGCTTATAATTGTTACTAGTAGTAGTGCTTGATGTGAGGGGTGAATCTCTGAGAATGGACATGGCTTATAATTGTTACTAGTAGTAGTGCTTGATGTGAGGGGGTGTATCTCTGAGAATGGACATGGCTTATAATTGTTACTAGTAGTAGTGCTTGATGTGAGGGGTGAATCTCTGAGAATGGACATGGCTAATAATTGTTAGTCGTAGTAGTGCTTGATGTGAGGGGTGTATCTCTGAGAATGGACATGGCTAATAATTGTTACTAGTAGTAGTGCTTGATGTGAGGGGTGTATCTCTGAGAATGGACATGGCTAATGATGTGAGGGGTGTATCTCTGAGAATGGACATGGCTAATAATTGTTAGTCGTAGTAGTGCTTGATGTGAGGGGGTGTATCTCTGAGAATGGACATGGCTTATAATGTGAGGGGTGTATCTCTGAGAATGGACATGGCTAATAATTGTTACTAGTAGTAGTGCTTGATGTGAGGGGTGTATCTCTGAGAATGGACATGGCTAATGATGTGAGGGGTGTATCTCTGAGAATGGACATGGCTTATAATTGTTAGTCGTAGTAGTGCTCCACTGGGCTGTGGCCTTGATGTAGGTGTACGGTTGTGAATGTATCTGTTTTTATTCAACTATATGCAGTAAGCCCATATTATATATAAAAGTTATATTTCAAAGAGTTGTGCCCCATTTTTATGATTTGGGAAGGAAGAAATGGAGGTCAGAGTAAGATAGAAAGGTTCTGTGAGTGCTGATGGTGTGTTGTTGTGTTTCAGGTTTATGTTGGGGAGCTGAAGGTTGACATAGCCACCTGCATACAACGTAATGTCCACCACTGGACAGAGTGGGATATTGAGAAGGTAATTGGTTCAGCCAGTCATCAGGTTGGCCAACTTGATGGCATCATGGCCATGTTAAACTTGGCCAACAACAACCAACACGGATCATCAGGTTGGCCAACTTGATGGCCATGTATCAAGAAATGTTGTGTGGCATGTTGTATCAAGAAATGTTGTGTGAAATGTTGTATCAAGAAATGTTGTGTGACATGTTGTATCAAGAAATGTTGTATGACATGTTGTATCAAGAAATGTTGTATCAAGAAATGTTGTATCAAGAAATGTTGTATCAAGAAATGTTGTATCAAGAAATGTTGTATCAAGAAATGTTGTATCAAGAAATGTTGTATCAAGAAATGTTGTATCAAGAAATGTTGTGTGAAATGTTGTATCAAGAAATGTTGTATCAAGAAATGTTGTGTGAAATGTTGTATCAAGAAATGTTGTATCAAGAAATGTTGTGTGACATGTTGTATCAAGAAATAATGTGTTACATGTTGTATCAAGAAATGTTGTATCAAGAAATGTTGTATCAAGAAATGTTGCGTGACATGTTGTATTAAGAAATGTTGTGTGACATGTTGTATCAAGAAATGTTGTGTGAAATGTTGTATCAAGAAATGTTGTATCAAGAAATGTTGTATCAAGAAATGTTGTGTGAAATGTTGTATCAAGAAATGTTGTATCAAGAAATGTTGTGTGAAATGTTGTATCAAGAAATGTTGTATCAAGAAATGTTGTGTGACATGTTGTATCAAGAAATAATGTGTTACATGTTGTATCAAGAAATGTTGTATCAAGAAATGTTGTATCAAGAAATGTTGCGTGACATGTTGTATTAAGAAATGTTGTGTGACATGTTGTATCAAGAAATGTTGTATCAAGAAAAATGTTATATCAAGAAATGTTGTATCAAGAAATGTTGTGTAACATGTTGTATCAAGAAATGTTGTATCAAGAAATGTTGTGTGAAATGTTGTATCAAGAAATGGTGTATCAAGAAATGTTGTATCAAGAAATGTTGTATCAAGAAATGTTGTATCAAGAAATGTTGTATCAAGAAATGTTGTATCAAGAAATGTTGTGTGAAATGTTGTATCAAGAAATGGTGTATCAAGAAATGTTGTATCAAAAAATGTTGTATCAAGAAATGTTGTATCAAGAAATGTTGTATCAAGAAAAATGTTATATCAAGAAATGTTGTATCAAGAAATGTTGTGTAACATGTTGTATCAAGAAATGTTGTATCAAGAAATGTTGTATCAAGAAATGTTGTGTGAAATGTTGTATCAAGAAATGTTGTGTGACATGTTGTATCAAGAAATGTTGTATCAAGAAATGTATCAAGAAATGTTGTGTAACATGTTGTATCAAGAAATGTTGTATCAAGAAATGTTGTATCAAGAAATGTTGTGTAACATGTTGTATCAAGAAATGTTGTATCAAGAAATGTTGTATCAAGAAATGTTGTGTGAAATGTTGTATCAAGAAATGTTGTGTGACATGTTGTATCAAGAAATGTTGTATCAAGAAATGTATCAAGAAATGTTGTGTAACATGTTGTATCAAGAAATGTTGTATCAAGAAATGTTGTATCAAGAAATGTTGTATCAAGAAATGTTGTGTGACATGTTGTATCAAGAAATGTTGTGTAACATGTTGTATCAAGAAATGTTGTGTAACATGTTGTATCAAGAAATGTTGTGTGACATGTTGTATCAAGAAATGTTGTGTGACATGTTGTATCAAGAAATGTTGTATCAAGAAATGTTGTATCAAGAAATGTTGTATCAAGAAATGTTGTGTGACATGTTGTATCAAGAAATGTTGTGTGACATGTTGTATCAAGAAATGTTGTGTAACATGTTGTATCAAGAAATGTTGTTTCAAGAAATGTTGTATCAAGAAATGTTGTATCAAGAAATGTTGTGTAACATGTTGTATCAAGAAATGTTGTATCAAGAAATGTTGTATCAAGAAATGTTGTGTGAAATGTTGTATCAAGAAATGTTGTGTGACATGTTGTATCAAGAAATGTTGTATCAAGAAATGTATCAAGAAATGTTGTGTAACATGTTGTATCAAGAAATGTTGTATCAAGAAATGTTGTGTGATATGTTGTATAAGAAATGTTGTATCAAGAAATGTTGTGTGATATGTTGTATCAAGAAATGTTGTAACAAGAAATGTTGTATCAAGAAATGTTGTATCCCCAGGTGAAAAAGAATTGGGAGCCACTACCCAGTCACTACATCCAGCTGGACCTCAGGTGGTTGCTGCAAGAGGACTCCATCCCAGAGGTTAGTCTCCTTATATGGGGGGGGGGGCAGGCTGTAGTTTATGGGGGGGGGGGGGGGCAGGCTGTAGTTTATGGGGGGGGGGGGGTGCTGCAAGAGGACTCCATCCCAGAGGTTAGTCTCCTTATATGGGGGGGGGGGGGGGGGAGGCTGTAGTTTATGGGGGGGGGGGGTGCTGCAAGAGGACTCCATCCCAGAGGTTAGTCTCCTTATATGGGGGGGGGGGGCAGGCTGTAGTTTATGGGGGGGGGGGGTGCTGCAAGAGGACTCCATCCCAGAGGTTAGTCTCCTTATATGGGGGGGGGGGGGGCAGGCTGTAGTTTATGGGGGGGGGGGGCAGGCTGTAGTTTATGGGGGGGGGGGTGCTGCAAGAGGACTCCATCCCAGAGGTTAGTCTCCTTATATGGGGGGGGGGCAGGCTGTAGTTTATGTGGTCCCCAGTTTATCATGTTAGAGACATTTGTCCCCAGGTTATCATGTTAGAGACATTTGTCCCCAGGTTATCATGTTTGAGACATTTGTCCCCAGGTTATCATGTTTGAGACATTTGTCCCCAGGTTATCAGTCCCCAGGTTATCATGTTAGAGACATTTGTCCCCAGGTTATCAGTCCCCAGGTTATCATGTTAGAGACATTTGTCCCCAGGTTATCATGTTTGAGACATTTGTCCCCAGGTTATCATGTTTGAGACATTTGTCCCCAGGTTATCAGTCCCCAGGTTATCATGTTAGAGACATTTGTCCCCAGGTTATCATGTTTGAGACATTTGTCCCCAGGTTATCATGTTTGAGACATTTGTCCCCAGGTTATCAGTCCCCAGGTTATCATGTTAGAGACATTTGTCCCCAGGTTATCATGTTTGAGACATTTGTCCCCAGGTTATCATGTTTGAGACATTTGTCCCCAGGTTATCAGTCCCCAGGTTATCATGTTAGAGACATTTGTCCCCAGGTTATCATGTTTGAGACATCTGTCCCCAGGTTATCATGTTAGAGACATTTGTCCCCAGGTTATCATGTTAGAGACATTTGTCCCCAGGTTATCATGTTAGAGACATTTGTCCCCAGGTTATCATGTTAGAGACATTTGTCCCCAGGTTATCATGTTTGAGACATTTGTCCCCAGGTTATCATGTTTGAGACATTTGTCCCCAGGTTATCATGTTTGAGACATTTGTCCCCAGGTTATCATGTTAGAGACATTTGTCCCCAGGTTATCATGTTTGAGACATTTGTCCCCAGGTTATCAGTCCCCAGGTTATCATGTTAGAGACATTTGTCCCCAGGTTATCATGTTTGAGACATTTGTCCCCAGGTTATCATGTTAGAGACATTTGTCCCCAGGTTATCATGTTAGAGACATTTGTCCCCAGGTTATCATGTTTGAGACATTTGTCCCCAGGTTATCATGTTAGAGACATTTGTCCCCAGGTTATCATGTTTGAGACATTTGTCCCCAGGTTATCATGTTAGAGACATTTGTCCCCAGGTTATCATGTTAGAGACATTTGTCCCCAGGTTATCATGTTTGAGACATTTGTCCCCAGGTTATCATGGAAGACACTGAGCCAGAGAGCAAGGAAGAAAAGAAAAAAGAAGAGGAAGAGGAGGATTCAGCCTTGGGAGGGGTAAATATTTCTTTCTATCCAAAAACATTTTGTTTTATCCAACAAGATGTTGATATATTTTTTTCTATCCTGCATTTTATTTTATCTAACAAGATTGTTCATGTTTTATTTTATCTAACAATATGTTGAAAAATGTAATATAAAATAAATCTTATCAGAGTATATCCCAAATATTTATTACAAAATAAATCTTACCAGAGTATATCCCAAATTTTTTTTCCAAATAAATCTTACCACTTTATATCCCAAATATTTATTACAAAATAAATCTTACCAAGTATATCCCAAATATTTATTACAGAATAAATATTACCAGAGTATATCCTAAATATTTATTACAAAATAAATCTTACCAGAGTATATCCCAAATATTTATTACAAAATAAATCTTACCAGAGTATATCCCAAATATTTATTACCAAATAAATCTTACCAGAGTATATCCCAAATATTTATTACAAAATAAATCTTACCAGAGTATATCCCAAATATTTATTACAAAATAAATCTTACCAGAGTATATTCCAAATATTTATTACAAAATAAATCTTACCAAAAAAAAATCCTATCAGTTTTTGAAAAATACTATATTTAGTGCTTCTGGAATTTGGAATTTAAAAAGTAAATTGTGTCTACGAATAAAAAATTCCTTTTAACTTGTGAGGAATATATCTGAGTGAATTATAATTAGACTTGTGGGTAATGTGGCTGACCAACCTCTAGCCCATCCAGCCCACACTTGTCAGCAGTATTTCCTACCCACTTTTTGCTTGACAGTAATTAGATGAATGATTGAAGGTTCAAATCATAAGGATACATGCTGGACATTTCTTAAAATAAATGACATGCAAGATTTGGGTTGTAACACAAACGCTTGTTGGATGATACACATACAGTTGTTGACAGCTTTACATTGGTCATTTTATTGATGACAGTTAGAGCTTGTTTTAAAAGCAGTTTTAACGCTCTGAAAAAGGTGCCACATCTTCTAAAACCTGTCTCAGATAAGAGGCTGCCCCTCACACTTAGCATTCTAATCCCCCCACCCCTGGGTAATATGTCTTTTAAAGCTTGACATTATAATGACCACTACAATATAAGCAGATCATTTTAAACTAATTTAGAAAGTATAATAGTTTATCCTAGTCCCATAGTCTCAACAATTTTTTATAGATTACCATCCTGGCTCCCTGATAGTTTCTCACTTGTTTATTTATCATCTCCAACCTTCAGTCCCAGAGATAAAGACTGGACTGGCTATGGAACTCATCTTTACACAGAAAGTTACATTATAAACTTAAAAATTACCTATATATATATATATATATATATTGTGAATAATTATATAACTAACGAGCCGACTCGCGACGTAGCATGCGCCGCTACTTAGTTGTTTTATTTTCTACTTTCAGTAATTCATAATTTGTGAATTCAACACTAACAATGCTGCGACTGAAAATGTTTTGCTTTAAAACACTATCAGCAGCTCTTGAAGGATGATTATTATCACCCTCACTTTCCACCTTCATCCCCGTCGGTGAAAGCAGCCGTCCGTGATGACCTCGTCGTGTTACCTCCCCTTAGTTTCAAATTGTTTAAAAACTAAATTATCTACACCCATAATAGCCGTCACTAATTTGACCCGGCTCTATGATGGTAAACATTAGGCGTGAACCACAGGTGTGGTGGTGGTGGTAGCGATATGCCTAGAGAACGGGGTAGGAATGGCTAAGCCCTTACGTGGTGGTGTCTCGTATGGTCCCCTCGTATAGAATTGTATATATAGATTATTGAACTAATTTTTAGTATTAACCCCTTTTTCTCAAACTGTATGCTTATTTATATAGTACGCACAAGCTAAGCTTGGATTAAATTCTCTTGCTAAATAACCTGACATTTTATTTTCCTTCTCCCTCTAAAATGGAATTCTCACTAGATCTAGCATTTGGTTAATCATAGTTTCCCTAAAAGATTAGAGATCTAGACCTACCAGATGAATTGGGCCCCAAAGTTGTTAACTTGAGGGGAGAGATGAAATCTGTCTCTCACTGGGTAGATCAAATAATGGGAAGGTCTAACTGTGATTCATGAAATCAACTTGTGTACATTGCTTGCATCTTGTTTTTAAAAAAAGCTCACATCGTTTATGAAAGGCTGATCATGGACATTTAGAAGGACAATTCACTCATATGTCATGTAGCTCCTTTACATGTTAGTGTTTAGTCTGAGGTCATATGTCATGTAGCTCCTTTGACATGTTAGTGTTTAGTCTGAGGTCATATGTCATGTAGCTCCTTTGACATGTTAGTGTTTAGTCTGAGGTCATATGTCATGTAGCTCCTTTGACATGTTAGTGTTTAGTCTGAGGTCACACAACTGATGGCCAGACTACGCCAGATGATACAAACTGCTGTCAAAGTTGTCCACAGACTTCCTGACTTATCAATTCCTAAGCCAGCCAACTCATTGATTTCTTTCAGTCTTCAGTTCTAATAATCAATTCTTTCAGAAAAATGTCCCTACAATTATTTCAGCATATGTCCTAATTATTAATTATTTCAGCTTATGTCCTAATAATTATTTCTTCCCTCAGTCCTAATAATGAATTTTTTTTAGCACAACGTCCCTATGATTATTTCAGCCTTGAAGTCCTAATAATTCATTATTTCTTCACTCAGTCCTAATAATAAATTTTTTTTAGCACAACGTCCCTATGATTATTTCAGCCTTGAAGTCCTAATAATGAGCTTTTCACCTTTCAGGCAGACTGTGTTTTATTCATTCTTCCACTCCTTTTTTATCTGCTCATTTCATACTAATGACATTTTTCTCATTTTCAGGCCACTTGTGAGGAACAGTTTTTCAGAGCTATTCATTGATATTTGGAAAATTTCAGATCACTAAATGTACAGTTTTTAATTTGTAAAAAGTATCTCCATGACAACAAGACAGGTGCAGGTGCAGCCGTCTGCTGCAGGTTTTTAACCTCGGGGCCATTGTTTTTTTTTTCAAACAGGTTTATCAAAAGTCTAAGTGGGAACTAGATACTTCAGAGGAAACTTTAGGTGAGTGCTCCCATTGGCTGACTGATATTTAAAATAAGTGCTCCCATTGGCTGACTGATATTTAAAATAAGTGCTCCCATTGGCTGACTGATATTTAAAATAAGTGCTCCCATTGGCTGACTGATATTTAAGCCAAAATGAGTGGCCCTTGTGTAGATACTGAGATGTTTTTTGTGTGTGGTTTAGATAAGTTGGACGGCATCAGGGTGAGTAAAAAACACATCCAGGAGCACCAGAGCCTCAACGAGTACCTCCAGCTTGACCAGATGGACGACGAGTACATCTCACGCGAGTCCCTGCCTGGGAAGAAACGAGTAGGTTATCCCCCCTTTGTTTTTGCCTTGTCAGGTTAACACCAGCAGTTCGGCTGAACACTGGCTACATCCCCCACTTTGTCTCCATAGGTGCGCTGGGCTGACCTAGAGGAGAAGAAGAATCAAAGTCGTCGTCGTGATCTGGGCTTCATTGTTGGCCAAACCCAACAGGACTGGGAGAGGATAACGGACGATGATTTTGCCAGCAAAGCTTTGAACCGCACCAAATATTTCTTCAAGTCGTAACAGCTCCCCCATTCTTTGCTGTACTCCTCCGTGGGGGAGGGGGGACAGAGTAACAGAACAAGCCAAACCCAGTTTCTTCATGGTTCTTGTATACATTGTTTTATTTTTAATTTTTTAAAATTCAAATTGTAAAGTTGTGTAATTATTTTGTTGAAGAATATCAGTCAATGAATTGTATTTAGTAATAGTTTTTGATGTGGCTTGTGTGATACCTGCGAACAGGTGTTACCTGTGTGCAGGTTTTACCTGAGTAGTTGCATCACTGTTAAGATTTGATGAAGTGGTGTCATCTAGGATTGATCTACTGAGGTCACCTAGGATTGATCTACTGAGGTCACCTAGGATTGACCAACTGAGGTCACCTAGGATTGACCTACTGAGGTCACCTAGGATTGACCAACTGAGGTCACCTAGGATTGACCTACTGAGGTCACCTAGGATTGACCTACTGAGGTCACCTAGGATTGACCTACTGAGGTCACCTAGGATTGACCAACTGAGGTCACCTAGGATTGACCTACTGAGGTCACCTAGGATTGACCTACTGAGGTCACCTAGGATTGACCTACTGAGGTCACCTAGGATTGACCAACTGAGGTCACCTAGGATTGACCTACTGAGGTCACCTAGGATTGACCTACTGAGGTCACCTAGGATTGACCTACTGAGGTCACCTAGGATTGACCGACTGAGGTCACCTAGGATTGACCAACTGAGGTCACCTAGGATTGACCTACTGAGGTCACCTAGGATTGACCACAATGAGCCTTGTTTGTTATTTTAAATGTTGTGTAGGTGACCCAGTATTAGCTACCTATGTGTTGAGTGTTGAAGTTTTAACGTGGTGTAATATATCTGTGTCTCGCTAAGGTCCAGTCTCTACTGTACAGACACTCATTAATTAATAAACATTTTGGTTTTTATGTTCACTCCCATTTACAGGAGTTTGATTCATTGTGTTATCATAACATTCATCTGTTGCAAGGTTTTTCCCTGTTTAAAAAAGCTGAGCCATTATCCTCAATGAAAACTCCCCCCACTATTAACCAATGTTTTGATGTTACATGACTCCATTCAATGAGCGTCTTTACCTGGTATCATTACAAGATTGGCTTTGTAAACCTTTTGTGTTCATATCCATTTCATGTAATCCCTCTTGCAATTGGGGGAGGGGGCGGGGGGTAATCAGCTGGTTAACACCGCCTCATACATTAGCCCCTGCTCTAGGGCGAGGGGGGTGTCAGCTGATTAAAACCGGAACTGCTGATACACCCCGTTAGATGAATTTGTTGTGGCTGATTCTCACGAGATGAGGCGAGGTCTCACATGTGCTGGCCACATCTGATAGCCCCCATCCTCCCATTGAAGACTCGCTGTTTACAGCCAGACAACTCAATGATTCAGCGATCGCTCGAATCAAAACACGAACGCATTACTTGCTTGATAACTATCGCAGACGTAAAGAAAGGAAGAGAGTTACCCCGCTTCGGTTAGACCTCGCTTTCCTTGCCAGCGAGCGACTGCGCGTCATTTCCGGGATTTCCGAGTGCTCTCCCATCTGCTGTCAGCGTCGCGGTGATAATAGGGAATGTCAAAAATGTAAATAGTGATAAACGTGGCATATATGCTTTACACCGGCCGGCTTAAACAATTTACTTGATTCCCCCAACACGACTGAAAGCTGCGAGACCCGCCTCGAAAAACTACCGGGACCAACTTTTTTTGGGACCTTTTGTTTCATTTCTAAAACTGGCATCCTAGGTCCGTGTTTTGTTTGATGAAGAAAACATTGCAGATGGTGGTGGAATCATTCGTTGCTTTGGTCTAATTTATTAGGAAACATGCACATTGTGATTGTATGCATGTCTTAGAATACAAGGTTGATGAAGTAGATATGTTGGTGTTGGGGGCAGGTTGATGTTGGGGGCAGGTTGGTGTTGGGGGCAGGTTGGTGTTGTAGACAGGTTGGTGTTGGGGGCAGGTTGGTGTTGGGGGCAGGTTGGTGTTATAGGCAGGTTGGTGTTGTAGACAGGTTGGTGTTGTAGACAGGTTGGTGTTGGGGGCAGGTTGGTGTTGTAGGCAGGTTGGTGTTGTAGACAGGTTGGTGTTGTAGACAGGTTGGGGGCAGGTTGGTGTTGTAGACAGGTTGGGGGCAGGTTGGTGTTGTAGACAGGTTGGTGTTGTAGACAGGTTGGGGGCAGGTTGGTGTTGTAGACAGGTTGATGTTGTAGTCAGGTTGGTGTTGTAGACAGGTTGGTGTTGTAGACAGGTTGGGGGCAGGTTGGTGTTGTAGACAGGTTGGGGGCAGGTTGGTGTTGTAGTCAGGTTGGTGTTGGGGGGGGGGGCAGGTTGGTGTTGTAGACAGGTTGGGGGCAGGTTGGTGTTGTAGACAGGTTGGTGTTGGGGGGGGGGGGCAGGTTGGTGTTGTAGACAAGTTGGGGGCAGGTTGGTGTTGTAGACAGGTTGGTGTTGGGGGGGGGGGCAGGTTGGTGTTGTAGACAAGTTGGGGGCAGGTTGGTGTTGTAGACAGGTTGGGGGGGGGGGGGCAGGTTGGTGTTGTAGACAAGTTGGGGGCAGGTTGGTGTTGTAGACAGGTTGGGGGCAGGTTGGTGTTGTAGACAGGTTGGTGTTGTAGACAGGTTGGGGGCAGGTTGGTGTTGTAGACAGGTTGATGTTGTAGTCAGGTTGGTGTTGTAGACAGGTTGGGGGCAGGTTGGTGTTGTAGACAGGTTGGTGTTGTAGAGAGGTTAATGTTGGGGGCAGGTTGGTGTTGTAGACAGGTTGGTGTTGTAGACAGGTTGGGGGCAGGTTGGTGTTGTAGACAGGTTGGGGGCAGGTTGGTGTTGTAGACAGGTTGATGTTGTAGTCAGGTTGGTGTTGTAGACAGGTTGGGGGCAGGTTGGTGTTGTAGACAGGTTGGTGTTGTAGAGAGGTTAATGTTGGGGGCAGGTTGGTGTTGTAGACAGGTTGGGGGCAGGTTGGTGTTGTAGAGAGGTTAATGTTGGGGGCAGGTTGGTGTTGTAGACAGGTTGGTGTTGTAGACAGGTTGATGTTGTAGACAGGTTGGTGTTGTAGACAGGTTGGGGGCAGGTTGGTGTTGTAGACAGGTTGGTGTTGTAGACAGGTTGGGGGTAGGTTGGTGTTGTAGACAGGTTGGTGTTGTAGATAGGTTGGTGTTGTAGACAGGTTGGTGTTGTAGACAGGTTGGGGGCAGGTTGGTGTTGTAGACAGGTTGGTGTTGTAGACAGGTTGGGGGTAGGTTGGTGTTGTAGACAGGTTGGTGTTGTAGATAGGTTGGTGTTGTAGACAGGTTGGGGGTAGGTTGGTGTTGTAGACAGGTTGGTGGTAGGTTGGTGTTGGGGACAGGTTGGTGTTGTAGACAGGTTGGTGTTGTAGATAGGTTGGTGTTGTAGACAGGTTGGTGTTGTAGATAGGTTGGTGTTGTAGACAGGTTGGGGGTAGGTTGGTGTTGTAGACAGGTTGGTTTTGGAGACAGGTTGGTGTTGTAGACAGGTTGGGGGCAGGTTGGTGTTGGGGACAGGTTGGTGTTGTAGTCAGGTTGGGGGTAGGTTGGTGTTGGGGACAGGTTGGTGTTGTAGACAGGTTGGTGTTGTAGTCAGGTTGGTGTTGTAGACAGGTTGGTGTTGTAGACAGGTTGGTTTTGGAGACAGGTCGGTGTTGGGGGCAGGTAAGGACAATAACCAAGCAGGACTTGCCGGTGGGCGTGGCCAAATGTTGACGTAACCCAGAAGTGGACAACTCCGCCCATTAGTGATGGCCCCTCCCTCCCCTACACCCGCCATCGTGACGTCACCCCGTTGTGCGGGTTTGTGTGAGAGCATGGCCGTGTGTGTAGCACCAAGGAGTCACGTGCTCTGCCTGTTTCTTGTGTTGCCACGCCCACAATACCTCCTATGACAGCACATTTGAATTCACGTTTTAAAACTCTTTAAGCTCGACTCCTGATATCTTTACTTGATAGCGATTTTACTATCTCAAGTTGATAACTTATTCCTTGTTTTAAAAGTTACCATTACATGTTGATTTTACAAAGGTACCTGTAGATGTAGCTTTAAGTTACCAATAGAGTTTTATTAGATTAAAAAAAATGCCATTCTTTAAATTAAAAACCCAGGCAATCTGTCAGCGGGCCATATATTTTATTTCTTCCTACCCCGTTAATCCCCCCCCCCCCTCGCCCCCACCCCCTAGCACCGCCTGGCCGGGTTGATTAAAGAACTTCGTTATCTGGTCCCCGGCTCGTCTTAAGGCCGTCGTCGTCTGCTAGCGAGGTGCTGACGCGGGCAAGTTTTCCGGGGTGGTCCAGGGGAGGCCACTCTGGCTAACTTTGTTTCTTGCGTCTGCTCAAGCTCTGTCATCGGGCGGGCAGAACGAGGCTCGTCCATTTGATCCGGCACTGAGACGATACTTTAATCTTTGATTGGTGCAACTCGCGGCATCAGGCGCTTGAAAGCTCATTAAACCCAGACTCAGATAAATATTTAATGGCGTCTAATTAATCTTCAAGGAGTTGGGCGCTTCTACCTGTCGGAAACAAAGTTGGCGTGACGTCAGATTCCTTGGATCAAGATGGTCTTGTTGAGTGGCTAGCAGGCAGACTTTTCTTTCTCGGTGTCAACATTCTGGCCAACAGTCACCGTTAACATTTCGGCCACCGTTAACATTTCGGCCACCGTTAACATTTTGGCCACCGTTAACATTCAGGCCACCAGTCACCGTTAACATTGAGGCCACGAGTCACTTAGTGTCTAGGAGCCATGATTCACCTCCCCAAGGCCATCCGATAAGCTGTTTCTGCCAGAGTGCGGCAATTAGGCGGACCTTAGACAGATTCAATGCGTTTCCGGTGTGCCACGGTGCCCCGACATGGCAGTGCGATCCCTGCCTACCCCACACACACACTCACACACACCCCCACACATCTGTGTGTACACTTGGTTGGTTTTTTATAGTAGCTTAACTTTGGTTGTAGTACCAGCATAGTCGACATTGTGCAGCAAGCACGTCCAGCATACAGCAAGCACGTCCAGCATACAGCAAGCACGTCCAGCATACAGCAAGCACGTCCAGCATACAACAAGCACGTCCAGCATACAACAAGCATGTCCAGCAAGCACGTCCAGCATACAACAAGCACGTCCAGCATACAACAAGCACGTCCAGCATACAGCAAGCACGTCCAGCATACAGCAAGCATGTCCAGCATACAACAAGCACGTCCAGCATACAGCAAGCACGTCCAGCATACAAACACATCCAGCATACAGCAAGCACGTCCAGCATACAACAAGCATGTCCAGCATACAGCAAACACATCCAGCATACAGCAAGCGCGTCCAGCATACAACAAGCATGTCCAGCATGGAGCTAGCGCCCCTGTAGTGGCTATAGAGACGAGTAAGTCGAGACTAAAGATGTCGACTCTTGACAAACTGACAAATAGCCAGATGAGGAGCTTTTACGTGGCTGGAGATTACGTCATCATTGGAGATGATGGGGGGGGGGGGGGGGCAGACGCTAGGATGGGGAGGAGTTTGAGATGGGGAGAGGAGTTTGAGATGGGGAGAGGAGTTTGAGATGGGGAGAGGAGTTTGAGATGGGGAGAGGAGTTTGAACTATAAAACTATAAAGGGCGACTTTCTTACAAATGGGACTACAACGATGCCATTTCACATTGTTGCAATACAGGAGATTGAGGGGGGGGGGGGGATGTTTGGTGCAACACGCTCCATTACATCATCGACTAGCCATGTCGGTCTGTGTATAACAATGTGTCCGACATGAAGCTGAGCTAGTAAAGATGTTCTCGGCTCCATCCAACAGGCCGTCCACCAAAGAACGGCCGCCATTGTCGTCTGCTTATCTGGAAACGTGTTCGCCTTGTCCACTGACGTCACTGGCTGAAAATCCACATAG